CACACACACACACACACACATTACTGTTGTTATGGACAACAGACCGCAGCACTTATCTGTGATCATGTATGTATTTACATGCATCTGATCCTTAAACTGGATTCTCCTCCATGTTTCTATTCATCATGAAATGAGAACATGGCAGGCGATTAGGTCACAGATCTTGTGTTGATCACAAACTGAAATGGACGCAGGGACAAAGTAACTGGTTCTTGTGACAAAACACTTTCAGACACTTTGATAAAGACATAAACGTGTTTTGTAAGTGAATTTGTTATTTTGTTTCTTATATTTTCATAGCATACAGTGTAAATGTATTTTTTGTTATTTGTGCTTTTATTTTTCTTACATATCATTGTTGTCTTTCTCTGCTATGCTTCGATGCCAATGTGATGAATATTGATTTTTCTGTGTAGATTCAATAATATTGCACCTTATCATGTCTTTAAATACATTTAATGATCCAATTTTATAACACACGAAATAATTGACAGCTGGACCTTTTTTTTAACTATACCTTGTGTATATTTATCTTTGGTATCGTACTGAGCTCATCTTTGTACAGCTCATCTTCTACCTATCTATCCACACACATATTTATATAAACATTCAATACAGTATATGTACAATAAAATGTGAATTAAAACAAATATTTCATATTACAGTTATACAAACACTTTGAGAGAGAGAGGGGGAGAGAGAGAGAGAGAGACCCCATTTTTGTTCCATGGCAGATGTGACTGTTGGATGTCATAGTTAATCCAGTGCCAATCCAATCCAATGCTGCCTTAGCTACAAGCCAGATTTAATCACAACCGAGACAGTCACAAAAGTGGAATATTCCGGACTTTGTGCAGTCAAAAACCACAGGAGAGCGGTGACTGGATCCAACCCTGAGGTACGTAAGTGAAACAGGAAACAGGAATAATTCAAGCTGCAGATGAAGGATGTTTCATTCATTCATTACAACTTATGTAACATGTTTTTTCTACCTCTGTCTGGAGTCAGTCCCTGACGCATAACTGCATCACTGCAGTATTCAAGTATCATTACCAGACTTTAATGTTGTTAATAGTCATTAATGTACTCAAAAAAGCGAGTCATACGTTGGTTACAACAGCATGAACTAAGGGCCTCGATCTCCTTTGTTCCTGTTGTACTGAGTCTTGTAGAGTCAGTTCACTGGAGTTTTTAACCTGACCACAGGTGTGGAAGGAAGAGTGAACGTTTATCTTTTGGTCTTGGTTCTAGCTGTGGCCTCGAAACCTGTCTCTCATAGAGAATACACTGTGAGAGTTTGACCGTAGAGTTAAAAATGGGAAGGGAATAGATAGATGAATGGATGGATGGATGAATAGATGAATGATGAATGGTAGGATGGATGGTAGGATGGATGATGACAAATGTAATAAAAAGCAAAGCCACATATTGGTAACTGAATTCTAAGGGTGATTCAATTTATTTTTCATTACAACTCGAAGTAAACTTTAAAAAGTAAACAAAACAAAAGACACTTCATGTCATAAACCTGATTTCACTTCTCCATTTGCAGATGTCATAATATTAACTTTGTATACAGAAAAAAAAAATTGTTTTATGAATCACAAGTGAAATCCTTGATCTCGTCTCACTGTAAAATACGGAAGGAAATAGATATTTTTCAAAAGTTTAGTCTGGTAAAAAGATTAGATTAAAACGTACACATGTGGTATGCCAATTTATTTTGAAGATGTCAAATATAAACATAAAAAAGTAGGGATGTCTGATATTAACGTTGTGTCTATATCCGATATGCCAACATTTAATTTCCGATTCAGATATCAACCAATACTGATATAGCAGGGCAGTGGTGACCTGGTGGTTAAAGAACTTTAGGAAGTGCCCCCTGCTCACTAAGGTATTAAGTTAAAAGTTTTAACCCATCGACTTAGTGACTAGGCACTGAGGTATCGGATTGGTCTGTCACCGGGGCATTATAATATTTTTAGAGCGCACATCATGTGGTGAAACCCAGACATTGCATTATCAGGATTTCATTATTAAAGGGAAAAACCAATAGCTATTCTTACAGATATTTCATAATTATAATATTATCAGACATCCCTAAAAAGAAGACATTAGAAACACAGAAATGTGGAGGTTTTCAACAGGCAGTGGGCACTGTTGACAGCTCACCAGTACATCACAACCATTCACACTCACATTCAGTTCACAGTTCACCAATCCTGTGTTTTGGACAACTAGAAAACTCAGGAAAACCCCTGGAGAACGTGTGCATCCATTGTCATTATGTGTATTTGAAATCCAAAGGAACAAAAATTAGCCAAACACTTCTAAGAATGCACGCTCTGAATTTAAATGACCAACCAACAAAGCCAGCATCGTGCCGAGCATGGAAAAAAGCACAGCAGCGGTGAAATCAATTCAGAGAATCAGCGCCTGGACTCTTAACTTTACATTAAGTGTGTGTGTGTGTGTGTTTATAAATATAATACATATATGTATAAATTTATTACATATACAGTATATATATATATATTTGTAATGTGAAAAACCTGCCAAATAACAGTGTGGACTTCTACCTCTGAGGCGAACCCTGATAAAAATAAAATAAAAAAAAGGACAAGCTGAATGTGATTCTTCTTCATAGATAATACATACATCAATTTGACTACTGCGCAGAAGAATCCACGTTATCTATAAACCTTCAATTTTAAATTTATTACCACGATGGATTTTGTGCTGAGGCAACAATAAAAGATTAATGTTGTTCTTATTTATCACAGCTGTTGCAGCCATGGGTAAAGTAGGAAGTAAAGTCCTGAGGGAAGCTACGGTGGACGGTGTTCAAGTCCAGGTATCAGTAATCACGCACACTCACACACTCCAGGCTTGAACACACTTAGAAACACAATGTAATTGTGTTGACCAGTACACAAAGGAATAAGAACAAAATCTATGCTTTGGCAGTTTGCTCACACGCTTTGTCTTCCCCTCCCCTTTCTCCCTCCCTCCCTCTATCTAAGTGTGTTCACGTGTATGTGCATCCTGATTACGGAGAACTGTAGCAGCTAGCTGACTTTTGCCCTAGACACCTCTTTCTTACACAAGTGATCATCATAGGCGACCATAAATATATAGAATAAAACATTTTTCACCCTAACATTTAAAGACTAAATTGAATTGAAATTTCAAATTATATAATAAACTCCAAATCAGATGGTTGGTTTCGTATGTATTTGGGTGTTATTGATTAATGTAACTGAGGGCATCTAGATTTTCAAAGTGCGGGGCGCAGCACAGCAAGGATTTTCAAATATTATCTCTTCTTTTCAATATCTCTTCAATTGTCTGACTAATAATTTGTAATTCTGTTTCTTTTTTTTAACATCAGTAGCAGTTGTAGAAATGAAAGCATTAAAAATAAAATTAAACAATCAAAAGGGGGCGCTGTAGAACAGAGTTTTGTGACCTTCTGCAATAGAAATGTAGCAATTCTTTTGAACAGTAGTTGAACTCAGGGGGGAAAACAGATTTTTTTTTCTAATACTCCATCATCTGATGTTAAACGTACTCAGCCTCAGTCAGACGGTGCCGTTTTGAGAGAGTGATTATGGAGTGAAAAGTTACATCATTATCTTGTTGTCTTATCCCTGTCCATCATCAGAGCCCCGTCTGCTTCTAATTTTCTATTGTTCGTCTCGTCCTTGTACTTCTCACTTCATCGTCTCCCAAGAAGTCACTGCCTATCAGCCTCAGGTCTACGTGTGACAGCTCTGGGCTCTGTCAGGCTAGAGATGGAGAGTGAACTGATTCCCTGGGATTAGGGATTAAGATTTCTCTGGCCTCGTTGGTGCAGTTAATCTGTGGGATTATGATGTGAACAGCCAGTGGCTGCAGCAGAGGAAATTGAATTGTGAGCAAAGGGAGTGACAGTGACCCAGGATTATGCATACTGAGAAATTAGAGGTGGGGGAATCCACGGCTGTGGAATAATTCACCCATTCCTTACTCCTTATATAGGGAATTATATACAGTTCACTTTATAGTGGACTTGACGTCTAAGTGAAAAATAGTTTCAGACGTCAATTTGTCAGGCAGTTAATTATGTACTCCTCTCTCCGCAATGTTGTTATGACTGCGATGCATGATGGGATATATTGCATGGCTAGTGTATCCTAGATTTTGCAGTGCATTGTGGGATACATTGAGTGTCCTATATAGCGAACAACTTCATTCACTTTACCACCACAAAATGGCATGTCCTCCCTGTAGTGCACTATATAGGCTGTAGAGGGCAATAGAGGGGAGCCTCTACTGTCTCTGTAGCACATTGTCATCTTTCAGGGAATATGAATCACTGATGAAGGACGAGTTCGTTTTGAATAAAGTTTTGGATTTAGGCTGTAGACAGATTGATAAGAGGATTTCTTTGTAACTTGTGCTCCATCCCTGGGCCTGTGAAGTGGCTGGTATGTAGTGCTGAGTTCAGTACTGTAGTGGGGAACCTGACAGAGAATTCACTTTTAAGTAAAAAAAAAAAACTCTGTAGTTACTTCTTTGTGCGTCTTTGTCTCTTTCCTTGAAGCCACCTCCTGCTGCAGCCTCTGCGGCCCCCGCAGTAAAGTTTAACAGGCCCACAAAGACCAAGAGGATGAAGGTGAAATGGACTCTGCTGGGGTTGGTGTTCTTCCTGCTTCTGTCCATGGCCATGACAGGAGGCTTCATCTGGCAGTTTCTGCTGCCGAAGCTGGAGCAAGGTAGGAACCAAAACCCCACGTCTGATCAATGATGAGTGATAAATCATAAACGTGCTATAAACAATTGACAGATGTGTTTTAATGCACACTGTAGTGTGTTATAAATACTGTCCAAATTAATAGTTTTATATAAACTGTCATGTTCAACAGAGGCAGTCAAGGGTGAAGTATCACAGTCTTTAAGACAGACAGCAGTTGAGCTAATTATACATAAGTCTTCAGGGACAACCGTGGTTAAAACACAAAAACAAGGCAGAAGTACCAAATCACAAGTCAACAGCACTCAGGGAAACAAACTAAAGAAAAGGACAGTTGTAACTAAACAGGGCACGAACTGGCAACTAAAGCAGGGATACGTACAGACGAGGGGGAGGAGTTAACAAGACAAGGTGGAGATGGTTAGGTGATCACTGTGGAGGGAAGCACAGTAGGCAGGCAGAGGGCATGTGAAAGAAAGAAACACAAGATAAGATGCAGGAAAACTACAGATAATTAGCTAGGAAAAAAAACAACTGGCACAATTTAACAAGGAATTAATTAATCTGAGATTAATCTGAGACAACTGTTAAAGGAAAAAACAAGTTCGGCTCAGAACAAAGAAGACAATATCCACTACATCAGATCCTTATCACTGGTCCAACTGGTCCAAAGACTTAATTAATAATTTACTTTATTAAAGATAATCAGTTTATTTTCATTTTTGTTTAAAGATAATCCAGCAATTTCTCTAAAATTATACCTCATTTCAAAATGCAATACCACCAGAATTATCTTAAAAATACCTTTTATTTTGAAAATCTATTGATCCTCTGTAATATTGGAGCTTATTGATACAAAATAGGGTTATGGGCCACTACATAATAAGCGTGTTCCTGTGATATTTGAAAATGTAAATGTTCATTATTCTAAGTATGTTCTAGGTTTTCAATGTCCTATAAAACATGTCCTGCAAAGCCAGGAGACACTGGGACACTGGGGAGGACAAGGCCTCCTGCATACATGTATTCACACTATCCGATATACTGTGACAAATCTGTTATATGATTGGGGGGGGTCTTTTTCAAGTATATGCTACTCATTGAGATTGAAAATGCAAATACAGCCTGAGACGTATTGAGATTTCACAGTTAACCCACAGTTCACAGTGGGAGCAGAACAAGTCTATTTGGATTTTATCCCATACATGCCATCTGCTCGAATCTTAGAAGATCAACATAGTCCTCCAGCAAGCAAAGAGGAAATAATGAAGCCCCAAGTCAGCCAATTATATCTGCTTATAACACGTTGGCTTTTGTTGCTGAAAATACATTATTCCGTGGTTGAAGTGGTGGTTATAAAACCGACACACGCCGTATTACCTTCTACCTTACATTTCCTTTTTGTGTGGTTTAGATGAAGGGATGGGTCGAAATGCTGGATTTGAGATGACGTGTCCTCGTTTCCCGGAGCCCGTGCCACTGGAACATCCTATCCCCAGCCTGAAAGAGGCTTTGGAGAAGGTGAGAGGAGTCCTCCATCCAGCTATCAGTTCAACCATACGCTCCAAATTCTGTGGAAAATTTGCACTCTGAATATAGTAACTCTTCACACCAAGTGCTTCTGCCATTGACAGAAGGCGATTAAGAAGATAGCTAGATGAAAAAGTGTCTGGTTATCTGTGTGAGTAAAGAGGATGTGATGTACTGTGGCAAGAAGAAGCAGTGTTCTCAGGAGGATGGCTCAACAGACATGATGACATCACTACTGAGTCTTAGAGGGAGCCTGTGGATGTTTAGTTCCCTACGCTATGTGGGCAGAAATGACAGATGAGGTCCAAAATTAAACTGACCCGATCGTACGTTTCCCTAAAATAATATTAAGTTTTCTTTCTCCTGGAAACTTCGTCATCCCTGCAGTCAAGTAATACATTTTAGAGCAGGATGCTGCATCATCTGTGGCCTCTGGAACATAATTTTTCTTTTATTTTGGGGGGATTTACTCTTCAGAGAGGTTGATACACCTGTAATTAATATGTATTAAAGTTCTCTAAAGGAATTATTCTCCAAGAAGTCAAAGCCGTTTCGTCTGCTCAACATTCTTTGCGTCCAGTAACAAGCCCAAAAATTTAAAATAGTTTTTTTTTTAATAACAGTTAGCGTGGCAGAATGAGGTTAGAAATGAAACATTACATCACTGACTTACTAGTGCCTTCTATTGGACATATGGGAGGCTTTATAATAGTTTAGGTTTGTACTAATTTAGCCAGTTGTTTTGGTAAGTTGTTTTTCTTTTAAACTTTAACACTGTAGTATATTTAGAGACGAATTACATTGAGTGTTGCCTGCCAGTGTGTGAGGTCTGTCTGTCTCCCTGCCCTTCTGCTGTAATCAGTGATATCACACTCACCTGTGTCCTGTGATCACCTGTGTCATTTGTCTCACTGGTGTCACCTGGTGCCCTGGGTATATCTCTCTTCCTCACTCTGTCCTGGTGGGGTCGTGGTTCCGCTGAGTTTAGGCTGACGGTTTAAATTAACTTTTTGAAACTGACCAGTGTCTTTTCAGTGCTGCATTTGGGTCCTGCCTGCATCTCAACATTACAAAATAGAACACGGTGTTGTGTGATTCCTCATGGGTAGTAGAGTGTCTTTAAGTCTGCGGTTTGGAAGGATTTTTAACATCAGGGTAAAGACAATAGCCAGACTTAGTGTATGTTTTGCTCAGTTTTCATACCAGCAATTTAATAAAATATCATTGAATATGTTAATGGATAGATGAGGTGTTCAAAGTTCAAAATAATGAGTCACACACAGCAGTCTCTATAACCGCCAACCAAATCACATTGCACCCTACCAACCCCCCTAAACCTTCCTGTGTCTTCACTGTGTTTTGGGTTGAGCTCCCATACACACACACGCACACACACAGATCACCCTATTTCCAACAGGGCTGTGCCACTTGTATAACACCGCCATTCGTATTTATTGAAACTCAACCAAAAGAAATATTGTCGGTATAATAAAACTCAACCAAAAGAAATATTGTCGGTGATACTTGGTATCTGTGCCAAAAACAATATGGGGCCATGCAGAGACTTCGTGATCATATCGTGGTCATAAGGAGTCCTCCCATGTGGTTTCCGTGTCTTCATGTTGACCTTTAATAAACTAGATGCCCTTTTTCCTGTGATGTTTTAAAGGTTCTTTTCAGCCCAAAGTCTCTGAGGGTACTTGGGGCCAAGCAAAAGAATTGTCCTGTTAGTTCTTGAGCATACTGACCATCACCGTTAATATCATCATCATTTGGCCAAAATGAGAAGCTGACGTTAAACAGACATGACAGACTGGAGACAACTTCTGACCAAATTGTGCTGACAGCTGGACGTCCTCGGCCCACATTGAGAAGTTAATCTCCTGTTGATTATTGTCCTTTTCGGGTAGAACATTTTCAGCTGCCAGGAACAATAAATCTACCAAGATTTGACATGGCCCTGCTGGACACAAATGCTTTCTTGAACCATTAATTCGAGTCAGGGAAAGAAATAGACAGACAATATTTGTCCACAGGTGAAAAAAAATGCGTCAGAAACAGAATGAAATTGCATTTTAAGTTTTTCATTAAAATAGATATTTTTGTTTTGTTTTGGTAATGCCACTGACTGTCTCTGTTATTTGAAGAGCAGGTTTCCGTTGAGAAAATGGGTTTGAAACTGAAAGAGCACAGAAAAGAGATAGAGAAGGAGATGATGTTCGACCTGATGGGCTAATTATGATGAGAACAATAATTCTAAACTGGTTCCAATACTTTGTCTATCCATCTGTCCACCCATCAGCTACAGTCCATTCCTTTTCAGGGATGCTGGAGTCAATCCCAGCAATCCATGGGCAAGGGTGGGGTACACCCTGGATAGTTAACCGCACATAATTAAATAAAAATGGAAGCTCTTTTCTAGGCATCAGGACCTGATCCTGAAGCCCTGCTCGGTTTTCTTGCAGGTGGATCTTTTGCTCCGACGAAGCATCAACACGGTCAGTCTACCTGCTCTGTCAGCCATCGTGATCCTAAATGACACTGTTTTATGGACTGGAAATTTTGGGAAAAAGAATTCCAGTGACCCTCGTTCAGCAGCCCCCAATGAGTACACCATCTACAGGTGAGTACTGGTACTACACCTTCATTTTAGAAGAGTGACACGACCTGCCAGAGTTTGCATATTTCCCAGGAAGGAAATTATTAGTACGATAGAGGGCATTGACCAATCAGAGTGCAGTCATTGGATTACTACTGTATTTACTAGGCATTCATGTCTCACAAGAAAAAAAAAGTACATAAAGTGGTTTCACAGTGGGGATCTTCAATCTCAGCATCTTCATCTCTGCCAGGCTGGGCTCAACTTCCTGTCTTTAACACACTGCCACACACACACCGTCCCTCTCAGTACATTTGATTGAAACCTCCTTGGAGGAGAATGAGAATATTCAAATCACACTTGTCCCTCTCTCTCTCTCTATCTATCTCTCTCTTTCTCTCTCTCTCTCTCTCTCTCTCTCTCTCTCTCTCTCTCTGCCACTCAGAATCGCCAGCTTGTCCAAAATCTTCCCGACGCTGATGCTGTACAAACTTTGGGAGGAAGGAAAGGTCAGCTCCCTGGATGATCCTCTGGAGAAATACGTGGAGAACTTTACCATCAAAAACCCCATGAGGAAGACGCGAAACTCTGAGCTGAAATATGTGACTGATGGTCTGATATTTGTCGACAGTGGAGAAGTTCAAGTTCGCTCGTCATCAGTGACTCTGCGCCGAATGGCCAGCCAGCTCTCAGGTGCTTAGAAAAGAAAAAGAAAATTACAACATTCACTGTTTGATTAATCTAAACTAAATTTAGAAATAGTTAAGCCATTAGTATTACTCAGGACGCATAAAAATCTAGATAGTACGTGGTTAGAAAAAATATTTTTAACATTTTTTTTTCAAATATGTTTTAAATTGTTGTAGATTTTGTGTTTGTTTTTGTTTTTTTCCAGGACTCCCGAGGAGACTCCGGGCTACAAATCTGCTGTGGAAAGGAAAAACCCAGTCGGCCGTCAGTCTACTACAGGATGATGTACTTGTTGCAGATCCAGGCACCAAGTAAGATGTGTTGTTCTGTTCATTGTATGAATAAACACCTGAACATAATCCGATAGAATAGATCTAAACTAGTAGTAGGAATTGTATGTCAGCTGTGGAGCTGCTTTCTAATTCACTCTTAGCCTTTAACATTCACTCAACCCACATCAGAGGCTGGTGGTGGAAAAGGTTCACTTAATCAGGTCCTATTGAATATCAGTCACAAATATCAATCAGTGTTAACAATAAATATGTATTTATTAAACAAAATACAATAAAGCGCCTGATTAATGTCACTAGAGCCGTGATGTCTTCTTCTATTTTATTTTCCAGTAGAGGGCGCTCCCCTAGCTCATATTTGCAGCCATTTTAAAATAAAAATGCGCAAAAAAATTGTTTCGCACATACATTACCTATAATTTTACTTATTTATTTATTTTATCTTTTAGATGTCACTACAGCAACCTCGCCTTCTCCCTGCTTGCACATGTGATGGCCGAGATGATTGTTGGTACAAATTACCAGCGATGGATCATGGACAACATTCTGGACCGACTAGGAATGGAAGACACCGGCTTTGACATCAACCCTGGAGTGCAGAGTCAAATGGCTGTTGGAGTTTACCCAAGTGGGAAGCCAGCTCCTCTCTATGACCTGGGCTGGTACCGGCCATCAGGTCAGATGTTCTCCACAGCGGCAGACCTGGCCAAACTAGCCATGGTGCTGATGGGTGCTTATCATCGCAAGCTGCTGGAGCCAGACGCAGTGAAGATCATGCTGACCCCACTCTACAGGTGCAGCAAAGACTACTTCGCCAACCACACTGGGACACCGTGGGAGGTGAATGAGCTGATGGGTTACGAGGTGCTGCGTAAAGATGGAGATTTGGATGGCTACTCTGCCACCTTCTCTCTGGTTCCAAGACTTAAGCTTGGTTTTGTTGTGCTCATGGCTGGCAGTAGACCTCAACACCAGGATATTGTCACCAAGGCCTACAAGTACGTCATCCCTGCCATAGAAAGAGCCTTTAGGGAGGCCAAGAAAATCCTCGCTGCTCCGCCTGAACCACACCCCTACGTTGGCTTCTTCACCTATGGTAACATTACCTTTTACGAGATAAAAGTTGGGAAAGACGGAGTCTTGACCATGCAGCAGTTCGGACCTCAAATTCAACAGCTGATTCCAGAGAAGTACAGGACAATCAAGCTTAACTACCTCATGGACCGGGTCTTCAGAGTGGTCTTTGAGATAGAGTACCCGTGTGTGTTGCAAATTGGCACAGCCTCAGTATCCCTGGAAGCCCAAGACGGTCAGTTGTTCAACTTTTACATGTTTAATAAACAAGGACTGTCCCCCGGTTTTGACGCTCCGGGTCTAAATACATATAATGTGATGAGAATATCACGCAAGCCAGCTTTCCAAAGCTGAGCTGTTACAATTTCATGCTCAAAAAAATCACGTATCCTGTTATTATTGGGCGTGAGAGAGACTGGAAATATAAAAGAATGAAAACTGATTCTCAGGTGCAGTTGTTGTAGACTGGATAAGAGCACATGAGGAGGATGTGATAATCAACCAGCTGCCTGTCACCACGCACATACAATGCTGTGATTTTCTACTCTGAATGATGTATGTCTGTTCTCTCTTGTCTTGCTCCTTCATTATGTCTTCTAATTAAAGAACAATGTGAGGGAGACCTAAGTCCTACAGGTGTAAGAACACACTTGTTACTATAGGGTGTATACACATACATACATGTATATTGACAACGTATGTACCACAGTTGTGGCACCTCATATACATATTTATATTCCATTGTTAAAGAGCAAGATGAGATTTATTTTCCATCTCACTCTAGCAACAAAAACAAGTTTGTTTGTTTTTTCCGGAAAAATAATATGCCTTTTATTTTAATAGGCATGTTGTCATGGATACAGTGATGCTTGTCTAATATCAGCAGCCATGCATTTACATATAAATATAATGAGAAATATTTTGCCCGCACAAGGACAACCATTAGAGCTACCCTCTAATGGTGGCTTTTCGCTGCCCATGTGACGCTCATCTTCCCATTGACTGAAAAAAGACTCCAATCCGTCCTGACCTTGAAGATCACAGTAAAAGACACTCTGCTTTGACTAGAGTACAGCAACAGATTTGAGTTGAAAAAAAAAATTGGAAATCTTCCAAAAAGGAAAAGCTCACGTTTCCCATTTCTAATGAACTGACTGTCAGAGGAAGAGCTGACAATTGAACAGAGACAGAAAACGATGAGCAGCCCTGAGGGATCAGGTGCTACCAGGGAAATTGAAGCAATGTGAATTCCATTGTTGCCAAAAATAAATGTGTTACATCTACAAATGTCTTCTCTGATATCAGTGAAATGTTGATGCTAATGCTGTGGCCTGTGAGCCAGCCATGTAACAAATATTGATGTTGAATAAAAGACAGAAGGGTGAGAAAGAAAACCATTCTAGCCATGTTATATGTGGAGACAGAGTTGATGTCAAATCCTGAAACATTCAACTCTGTGAGCAGCCACTAAAGAGTGAAAGAAACAAAACACCAACAGCTATTACAGACGTCAAGGTTTTATTGTAAGCATTAAACTGAAGCCATAATCACTTTTCAATTTTGCCGTGACAGTGAACGAGAACAAAGCCCCTCGGAAATCATAGCTACATATAGCAACAGGTTATTTTTCAGTAAAAAGAAGAAAAGAAGTTGACCGACTTTGTTTAAAGGTTCCACTGAAACACTGACATTGGTTTTGTTTGTTTGTTTGTTTGGTTTTTTTTTTATTCACTGCTCAGCAACAAAGCAATTTTTCCATACCAGATAAGTTCAAAACAACACATCATCAGTCTGGTCAGACAAGTGAACTACACGTAAGTTAAACAGCAGTTTAGAAAACTAACACAGAATGTGAAATGTACAAGGGAACAACATGGGCAGATAAATCAATATGACATTTTTACCCTAACTGGGGTCCCTTTTAAGGCCCTCAGAGAAAAAGCCATACATTTGTGCAGAAACAGCTTTCCATTCTCTGGACTTGAACACATCTGAAATGTCCTGATAGACGATAGAAACCTGTGAACAGATTAGTCCACATTAAGGAATCAAAAAATTGCAGCCATTTACAACCACTTGTAGGCAAAGCGAAGGCAAATATGTGATATGATACTTTTTGGGTAATCTATGTTGTATTATGCTAAAAATAACAACAAATTTGACACTCATAGAGAGAGTGTTTGTGTGTGTATGTGTCTCTATGTGTGTGTTTGACTGGCCTGCCTGCAGTCCAGATCTCTCTACTGTTAAAAATGAGAACAACAATCACAGGGTTTAGCAGCTCAAGACTTTACAGCAAGAAGGGGACAAAAAAATGCCCTTGCAAAAATCAAAATGAAAAAAAAAAACACCCAAAGAATTGTGGTTTCAAGTGAGAGATAGGACCTTTTATTTTCATGCAGAGCTCTACATTTAAGTAAAAAAATATTATTTATCTTACGGTGACAACTGTAAAACATTACAGAATATGATAATCAAGGTGTTGTTTTGGAAAGCTAAATAAAAAATACAACATTCAAATGCATGTAAACACGTTAAAATTAGTTTTTCTCTTTTTCATTGTCCTCTCATAGAAACAGTATTCAATTCACAGACTCTGTATTTGGTCCTTTCTTTTATGTATGACTTGTTGACTTGAACTGCAGTATAATTTACCTCTAGTAAGTCACTTGACTGGAGTAATCTCCTCACTGAACTCACTCTTAGCAGGGAAGGTAATTTTCTTTGTAATTATCAACCTGCAGTGAAGTGGCTCAGGATCAGTGTGTCTTTTATTTTTTATTTTTCATTTCATTTAGGAGACAGACGTCATACAGGCTCCATCCGCACAGGCACATGTCAAGATGGCAGTGTCCATACTCAGTGTGACGTTGGACGACAACAGAGGGATAAGAGCCTTAGACTCCTTGCTGTTGGCCTGCAGGGATCTGGAGGTGGAGCTTGAGCGATCCAGTAAGAATTTAGGGAACTGTGGCGAGTCCCTGACCGAGCTGTTGTCCACCTTGTTGGAGCACACGAGTTCTCTGAAACACTCCCTAAACCTGGTTGAGAGCAGGCTGTAGATGATGGGATTGACTGCCGAGCTGAGGTAGAAGAGGATCCCAGACAGAATGTGGACGTACTGATAGATGTTGTGCATCAGGTCGGTCCATTGGCTGATGGAGCTCCACAGCAGACGTTCGATGTGAAAGGGAGCCCAGCAGACTCCAAACACAGTCACCACGATGGCTGCAGGAGAAGGTCAGACAGAGGGAAGACAGTTAGACGCGCCCACAAATTTCTCTTTCACTGCCTTTTGTCTGTCATAGATGAGGTCATTGGAAGTTTCTACACAAAACGCAAACAATAAAATAATAATCCATACATTGATTTTGTACAACTTAATGGTACTGGAGGTCCTTGGTGTACGACGTCCTTGACCTACGGCATTTCATGGTTATATCGTTATCACCCCTACCCTTAGTAAGAAAGTCTTGTTCCGATGTGCAGTGTTAAAACAAATTTCGCACTGGAATTAGTTGGCGAGTGGAGCGGACGAAAATGCATCTTCACTCGACACTATGCAATAAGTCAGATTGTGCTGATGTTTTTTTAATGCCCTAGATCACATGTGTCAAACTCAAGGCTCGTGGGCCAAATGTGGCCCACCAAGTCATTTTGTGGGACCCAAGGGACCTTAAAAAGTGTTTGATTACCTTATAATAAAGTCCATGGTGATGTGTTTGATAAATTATTTTTTTATTATACAGAGCAATGTACAATATTTTTAATTTGAATATATAATAATCAAATGCAGAAACATGTATTAATATGTTATGGAGTAGTTACATCTATATAGTCTTATAGCTAGAACCGGACCTTCAAAGGTATTGCTGATGCGGCCCCCGAGTGAAAATTAGTCAAACACCCTACTGTGTTAGCACAGGTGATTACATACGTACTTATGTACAGTATGTGAATTCCAACTTGTGGAGAAAATTAAGTTTCGCCAACTGATTGGCTTAATTAATTATTTACTCTTCATTAATTGGCAAACAAGAGTATCTGTATTGTAAAGATCCATAAAATGAAAATTCAACAGTCTTGTCCTTATTAATGGTTTATTAAATGTAGGCTAAGGTATAGTCAATTCTAAACGCTTGTCCTCATAAATTACACTGTTCCCAACGCCCGTTTGTTTGTCTTCATTGTCTTTAGTGGTTGGTTAGTCACTAAACATTTTCAGCAGAACCCTCTGTCTTGTTTAACAGTTGATGACTCACTAGCATGAATAAAGAAAATGGACAGTCACTGTGCCTTTACTGGACTCATACAGGTTCCACACTTTACAAATGCCAAAACCCACAGTTTTAGCCTAAATGATTGTTATTCACGGGAGGGACAGAAGTCATGTGTAAGTCACGTGTAAAGTACACATTTGTTGACATTTATAAAAAAAACAACTCTGCTGTTTGACTGCACCATTTTTGGAGCTGGTCTTTTTTTGACAATTTTTTTTCTCCATTTAAAGAAATTTGTCAAATTTGCACAAAGAGGAAGAAAATTATGATGAATGTCCAGAGTTATTATTCCAATAATAACAGGCCACTCGAGCTAAATGTTACTGTGTAAGACTTAAGGAAAACAATTTTCACTTGTTTATAACAGGATGTAAAAATAATATTCCTGATGATTTTTCAAGTGCACGCTGACATATGCTGCTCGACAATGCAGCACATGTGCCTGTCGGTGGACACTGCCAAGAAATCTCACAGCATATATTGATACATACTCTAATATATTTTTGGGCCCCTATCAGTCAGGGACCCATGGAATCCACCTAACCTCCTTTGCAGCGCCTTTGTACCTGCTGTGTGCATCAAAGACCTCCATCAATAAGGTTGTTTAGTTTAGTTTTTTATGGAAAAAACTCACTGCTTCTCCACTCAAAGTGAACTAGGTTTGCACAGACAAAAGCTCCAGCAGAAATCGATTGCACCGGCCTTGGGAGACTGAGTTTGTTTGATGGCTAACCTTCTCGGCCGAACTTGACTTTTTAAAGATGGATTCAAGCTGACTGGACTTTGTGATTTTGTCACAGTACATTTGATGTGTGCTGGAAACACCAGTGTTTTGATATGAGTTTAACAAGAAAAATAGACTGGGTCACGGCCCCAGCAGCTACAAGATAATGGTAAAATAAGATTTTTGCTTGCAACGTGATCTATATGCGGTATAGACAACCTTAGGTGGTCATGTGCCATTTTGTTGGTCTTTGTGAGCATGTCGTGGCATAAAGAGCCCAGATTAGAGATACAGTCATTGAAATTACAGCCTGCCACCTGAGATGTCAATGCTGTACATGCTATCTGCCGACAAAAAAAGAAAAATAAAAGTCCGACTCACAAAGCATCTTGATGACCTGTCTCCTGCGTCTGGTCTCCACGCTGATCCTCCTTCGGGGGTTGACGCTGTACTTTTTCCTCAGGTTCTCACTGGGCCGCCGCGACTCTCTGCCCAAATGCAGGCCCATCACCAGGTACAGGACGCTAATCACCATCATGGGTACGAAGTAGAAGCACACAGTGGTGATCTGCATGACCATGTTATAGATCCACAGGGGCTTCAGCACAGTGCATATGGCAGACTCCTCCATCCTCTCTGGCAGGTAGAAGATGCCGTGCAGGGAGGTGTTGGGAACAGCACAGATCATTGACACCAACCACAGGATGGTGATGACCCGCTTGGCATGTTGATTGGTGGACAGATATCGTGTTTTGAGTGGATGCACCACGGCTATGTACCTCTCCACGCTCAAAGCTGTCACATTTAGAACTGAGGCGAAGCAGACTGTCTCAAAGAGGAAGGTCTTGAAATAACAGCCACATTCGCCAAAGGGAAAAGGATAGTTCTGCCACAGGTCGTAAATCTCCAGGGGCATTCCAAATAAAAGCACCAGGAGGTCGGACATTGCCAGGCTAACCAGATACAGGTTGGTGGGGTTCCGCATTTTCTTGTGTTTGGCTATCACTGCACAAGTGAGCAGGTTTCCAGACAATCCAATGAGGAAGATGAGAACGTAAACAGTGGTCACCTGGAGGGAGAACGGGGATTGTTTGGGGCCAAGGATTTCGAGCAGGTTGACCTGGTCGTTGGTGTAATTCCCAGAGTTGTTAGTGGCCATGCTGGTATTGAGCCCCATTTTGGATCCGTTTAAATACGAGCCGTGCAGGGAGAGCTCCATTTCAGAGAAAGGAGCTGGAGACATAGCAGAGGTCGTCAACAGGTCCTGCAGTGTTTTCTTTGTTGATTCAAGGTTGGTCAAAAAAGACAAATTATGATTAACATTTAGTTTATTTAATTTTCTTGCACCAAACCTGGCCATTACTGCTCAAACACCCCCTGCAGGGGAGAAATACAACCTGCATGTACTATGTATACATTTAGAACAATAATAATAATAATAATAATAATAATAATAATAATAATAATAATAATAATAATAATAATAATAATAATAATAATAATAATAATAATAATAATAATAATAATAATAATAATAATAATAATAATAATAATAATAATAATAATAATAATAATGTGCCATATTACTGGAGTAAATAATAAAATAATCTAATTTAATCATATATATTTTAATCTATGTCTTTTTTAATCTTACTAGTCATGAGCATTATTTAATAAAGATAATGTATTGGGACACAATTTTACTTGAAAAACATCTGCTGGCTGAACATGAAACAAATGTTTTCTTTTTTCAATAAAAAAAGATAATTGAATAATATCAAAAGAGTAAATCAGCAAATTATGAAATAATTATTAATTAAATAATTATTAATATTTTATTCACAATTAAAACATGTCTCCAGGTACTGTATGTCAATCATTTCAATGTATTCTTTTTTTATTTTGGAAATTTCATTTGAATTTTACTCAATTATTTCTGAAATGATTGCTGCAGCTGTAATCTTTGATACACATTGAAACAATTCCCTCCCCACTGAAAAACCCTGATGACATTTCTGTGTTGATCATAATCAGAGAACCAGTGTGTGTGATGGTCAGTTCGTCCTGTGGGATGAGAGATAAGGATTTTACTGCTTCTGCTAATATGGCTCAGTCATTCTCATCAACTTTGTTTTTTTGTTTGTTTTTTTCATTTTAACCCGGAGTTAAATTGTCCTAACACACACAGTGATTATTCTGGTTAATTGGGTTAATTATAACAGACGCACAATTGAGACAATATGTCAACGACCTCCGCAGTTGTTCGGGAGTATTGCTTTAAATTTGGTTATTATCATCATCCTCATCATTATAATGAATATTATTATTTTGTATTACAGCTCAAAGTGCATGATATATGTTACAAAACCACAACTTGATCAAAACAAATCTATATTTAGAGTAAATGCTTACCCTGACGCCTTATCGCTCTCCTTAGAGCCCCCCCTGCACGTTCATGTTTGAAAAAATATCGAAAATTTCTTTCAATATGAATGAAAAAGTTAACAGGGAAAAGAAATCACGACAGGCAACAGCAGAGGGAGAGAGAAAAAGATCCGAATGATGCTGCCGCATCTTCCTCACGCTGATTTTACCCTCTCAGAGAGAGGAGAGAGAGGGGGAGAGAGAGAGAGAGAGAGAGAGAAAGAGGAGAGGGGAGAGAGAGGGTACGGGAGGGCGCGTGAATGGGCTTTCATTAAAACAAAAAAACTCCACATGATTTGTGTCCATCATGTGGCGTTTGTTGTTGCTGCATCGTAATGCAATGACATTTTACAACTGATTATTAAATACCTGTAAGATCTGTGGGCAGACGGGTGAAACCTGAGTCAGAATAGAGGAAATAGAGGCAGTGAATGGTTGCTATGGATCAGTGGATAGGAGTTTGCCTCGCTACAACGGTTGTGGGTTCCAAAACAGCTGAGTACCAACGTGTCCTTAGGCAACACTGAACTCCACTTGCTCATCACAGTCTAATCAGTGCAGGTCTGTGTAAAATCAGTGCACCAGCTGTTGGGTTGTGTTGTATCTAACTCTTGGTGGATTGAAAGTAATCTATTTCAGTTCAGAACTGGAGGAGCCTCTACATCAATCTGTCGTCCATGAAGGTTCCCCAGTAGTCCCGGCTTTCCACATGAAATAATTTTGCTCCTGATCAAAGAAGAGCCTGAAAGTGTTTTTCCCAGCAGGTGATAAACTTGTTCAGATCCATTAAATCACTACTATAGAGAGAACAACGTGATGTCATTTGGCAACAGCTGACTCCCAAGTTTCTGGTTCTTTTTTCATTGTCAAGCTCAATGGTGCTGGAAACATAAAATTGACACCTGTTGAGTATAAGCCAGGCAAATTGAAAAAGTCTCCAACTGGGAAAACAACTTGCTATGTGAAAGAGCAGTGCTGCAGGTTCTGTGCTGACCTGCACAGCTATATAATCTAAACTCTAAAAATACAGTTTTTAAGGTTTAGAGCAGACAGGAAGTCAGAATCAAACTAAACCAATCCAAGTATTTAGGATGAGGATTAGGTTAATAGTTCACGTTAATTTGACAATTGTTGTGAATGAGAGTGCTAATGAACATGCAATGAAGTGCATACCTTTAGAGAAAATGTGTGTGCAATATTATATTAATAATAATTTTATGGAATGCTATTGAAACAGTGTTTTAAAGCTGCTGTCAGGTATATTGTTTAACGTTTATTTATTTTTTGTCATTAAGCTGCTCTCTTTATACAGGGTCCATCACAGTTTTTAACATCATTTAATTATCAAAGATTAAAGGCTTTAAAAACAAGGACAAAAATACCTGAAAATATTGCACATGGATAAAGCTGGACTAATTCATAGGCTAGGCTAAAAGTTGAGTTAATAAATGCTAAGCCCTTGTAGAGACTGGACCACGTTCATAACACTTCAACTGTATTTTTCAGTTACAAAAGCAATGTCCATAAAACAGACATCTTCAATATAGAAGATAAATAAATTATGACGTATCACGTAAATAAGCTGCCTTCACATGTGTTATGTAACAGTACATACTGTAACACCAGAGCAGTTTTCCTGCCCAGATACATATCTAGAAAAAACACTGACGTTGCCTCTTATCCTGTCAACAGGGGGCAGAATATGTTCAGTTTGTTGAACGGGCAAGGTCTCAAGCATCAACCCTGAGTCATCTAATCAGACAAAGGCATAGAAATTAAAGTTAAAATCATTTAAATGTTGCCTCCACTGATGCTTTATATGACTTCTTAATTCAGCCAACACAAAATCTGGTTGATTTAAATTGATGATGATGATGATGATGATGATGATGATGATGTGAATGGAGGATGGCTGCTTTGTTTCTCAGTTGTTTCAAGAATTTATATTTAATATACTGTATATTGTTTTATTTTTTTAAATGAACGATGAAACATTTTCAGTCAAATTGGACAGTTTGGTATCTGGTTACCATTTCACATGTGGCAACTGGAGTGCAATTGAGACATCTGAAAATACAAAATGTACTTTCCATTAAAAAAAGATTTCAATGAAAAAAGTTTCCTTTATTTGGCTTGAATGAGAAGCAGGTGAGTGAAGGCAGGAACAGAAAGTAGGTCACGACACTCAATCTGAATAGTCTACACACGTGCACACACACAGAGAGAAAGAGAGAGAGAGCAAGTGACAGAGGGGGCGAGAGAGAGAAAGAGAGCAAATGAAATGAAAAAATGTAGCATTGGCCATCTGTTTTACATTAAATGGAATTTTTAAAATAATAACAATAATATTATTATTTTATTATTTTTATTATTATTAATAATAATAATAATAATAATAATAATAATAATAATAATAATAATAATAATAATAATAATAATAATAATAATAATAATAATAATAATAATAATAATAATAATAATAATAATAATAATAATAATAATAATAATAATAATAATAATAATAATAATAATAATAATAATAATAATAATAATAATAATAATAATAATAATAAAATGAAATGAAAGACTGGTATTTGTTGCTCCGTCCTGGGCTGTTGTTCTGCTGCTGTTCTTCTTGTAACAGCTGCACTGAATCTGGAGCTGATGAGTTAGAACACTAGGGGGCGTGGCCTACAATTAAGGAAGGGCAGTATTTAAGCTCCAGCTCCAGATGGATTTAGAGACACAGAGTTTGTTTTTGCTCCGTTCTTCTAATTTTTGGAGTTTTTTTTTTTTTTTTTTTATCATGCAGGCTTTTGCCACCACTTGTGAATAGAGCACAAGTGAATGTGCTCGTGCTTGTGAACTTTTGCCACCACTTGTGAATAGAGCACCTTGCACCATCTGGAGATTCACCTCCTCATGGAGTCAGAGCACTTCCCCTTCACTGGATTCTGAGATCCTCCCAGAGACTACACTTACCTGTGAGGAATAAACTTTGTTACTTACCATCGTTCACTCAGTTGTCTGCTCCTGGGTCTGTCCTCCTTTGTCGTATCAACCAATACGTAACAATAAGCAAGTGTAACATTTTAAAAAAGGGAAAAAGAATAAATCAGGAGCTGCCAACATATATTTCTTATGCCCTTCTTTACATCCTATGCAGAAAACCGCAATGACATTAAAAAGCAACGACATTTAAATGTTTCTTTGCTGCTTTTGTAAAGTTTAGCAGCAGAAGTTTTTTGTTTTTCTTATATAATTACGCACAGACAGAGGCTAAAGGAACTTAGAAAGAAATGAAGCAAATTACATTAATCCAACTTCCTGTCTTCTTCTGTACCACAGCAGAGTCAGGCTACAGGTGAATGTGTTGAAGGCAGATAAACAGACATATTTCCCTGTGGAGCCACACCAACATTCACTGTATGAAAAACTGGTTGTTTATTAAATTCCCAAAAACATGAGTCGAAATAAATGCGAGTGTTGCTCAGTGACTGATATAATTTCCTCAAGAGTAGATGAGAGAGATGAACAAGGTCCGTCACCTCTGAACACTGCTCCTTACTGTTTAGTGATGACAAAGTACAACTCTGTTTCAGTTAGCACAACAGTAACAAAGTTAGCTTTACTAACAGGCACCGGCGGTGCAACTGTTTCCCCACTGGCATCCACAACAACTTACAATAAAGTGTCAACATCAACAGAAAGTACAACATCTCTCCTAGAGCAGGCTTCTAGAAGGCAACAGTGACACATGAAGGTAGGAAATGAAAACATAATAAGTTCAACAGATCAGGAACTCACACAAATCTTATTTTTTAATCTACAAACTCTTTGAAACATTCTGTAAAATATTGACTTTGATCAAAGATGAACTTTGTTGTTTGTTTTCCTTCTGGAGACATAGGTAGTTTATCTAACTACTGTACTAGGTCAGCAGTTTGGAGGCAGGAGCAAGACTTACTGGCTTACGATTTGTTGTGTTACGATTCAATTTAACTTAATTTTGAATCCGTACAATTCTGTTGAGGAGTTTGCACCTCACTGAGTCACCTATGTGTTGAGAACATTAATTGACCAACATTGTGTTCATTTGTTTAATAAACCTTTTTCCACGCTATGTCCCGCGATAAATGAGGGACAACTGTAATATACGTATGTAAATATATTTTATCATTAATTTATATTGTCTAATGTGACAACAGTGTCAGTGTGGAGACTTTCTGTTCAATTCATTAATAATAATTGAATAATTGAAATTACCTGTTAATGAGAATAAAATGAAACTGGCTGTGAGTATTTGACTGCTTGGTGTCCTCACTGTGGTTTGGGTTCAACTCACTCAAACACTCACTGTATTACCCACGGAGCTGTACCACCTACTGCGTATAACACAGCCCATATAACACTGCCGTCCAGTTAATTTATCACAACCCTGAATATTTGTACCCCGGTGCTTTTTGCCCAATGTAATACATGTATTAGGACAATATGACAATAGAAATTACTTAACAATCTAGAAGTTTAAATTCCACTGATTTTTAAGCATCTCTGCAGATACAGTCCTTCAGTTCACCCACACATACACACAGAGCGAGGTCGTGGGGTAATGACCTGCCAGGTGGAGCACATTCACACCCGTCTCAGAACAAAAGTTAACACCTCACAGATGGTTCTATTTGGCAGAAAAAATAAACGATGAGTCAGAGCAGAGAGAACATCAGAACATGTGCATTAACGCCCGCTCCGGCAGACAAACACCTCTCTCTCTCCCTCTCTCTCTCTCTCTTTCTCTCTCTCTCCGTGTGTCTCTGAAACCTAACTGGTTTTGAAAAGTGCAAACAAAACGTACACTGCTAAACACACAACGAGGGGATTTGTGTCTGTTCAGACTCAAGGTCGTTGGAGGGGTCAGTCCAAGCCGTTAGCTTGGGTTGAGGGTGTTTGTCTTAGCAGAAAAGTGAGGGATAGCTCTCTCTTCAGGTTGAGCTCTCAAGTTGAGCTCTCAAGTGTTTCTACATCGCAGACGAGGGAGGACAAAAAAAGTGAAGAAAACTTTGTCTGGAAGAAAAGCAGAAACAATCCATCCATGAGTTCCACAAACTCAAATCCTTGTTCTCTTAAACAAACTAAACCAATCTAGGCTCAGTGTGTGTAAGGTAGATACTGGGAACGACACCTGCACTAAATAGACGGTGCTTAAAAAACTCTGGTAACAAGGGAATTCATATTTAATTAACTTCACCTTATCTTTGTTGCTTTGAGAGGTTTAAGGATTTTTAATCCACCAGTGTTTATTTTAAACTTTTTTTACCTTGTTTATTATCATTAAAAGGTAAAGAAGTGAATGGTTGATTAATGTTAATCCTCGGAGAAATGTCTTACCTCATGTTCTCCTGCTGGATTGTTAAATAATAATACGTTTTTTGTTTTGGCAAAAGTTTAGCATTGGATAAAAGTTATCATCAACTGGTGGCCCGCTGGCCAAATCTGGCCCACCAAACCATGCAATCCAGGCCTGTGATTGGATTCCAAAACAAACATCAAATAATTATGTTAGACAAGAAGTGTCCACACCCCCAAGGTGTCTGTCCAGAAAAACAAAAATAGTTGGTGACGCCTGGTTTTTAGCATTAATATGAACAAAATACCTAATCATGCTTTGCTTAATAAACAGCTGTGCATAAGTTTTATGGAGTCGAGAAAGTCAAGATAGCATAATCCCAATTTAATCGTACTTGCAATTACGCTGACAGCTATTCTATTCTATTATATTATATTCTACAAAGTATGTTCTCCTTGAATTTATCTTTAATAAAAGTGAAGTAAAGAACAAATTAGACCAGACTAAATTCTTGACCGGTGGATCCACAGCACTCCCTCTTTATCGTTATTAAACCAATGTGTTCGACTTTTTACTACATGCTTGTTGTCACAAGTCCTTAAGAGATTGATGTGAACAAACCAGACATAAAGTCATACAGCGCTGCTCTTTGCTTCAAGGTGATGATTTACAGACGCGCTGCGTGGAGTGTCTGAAATATAAACATACAACGTTTATACAACGTACTGGGAGACAATAAAATATTTAACAGGCATCTTTATCAGTTTTGTCGCTCATGACTGAAAGTGTGAGCTCATGCTGACCTCAACAAAAAAGACTTATCTGGTTTCCTCTTTCAGAAGACCACTCCCCTTCTGTCTACTGTCATTTTATTTTGCGTGGCTGGACACCAAGGCAATGCGGGAAATCGTGTTTCTCTATGGGAATGACGTAGATTTGTGTATTTTTAGAGCTCTTTCACTGGTTGACAATGGAAAATGACGTCACTCATTTTCACTACTTTAAATGAAAGGTAACTTCAGGTTATACTCAACGTGACTCTGTGCAAACAATTGATTTTCCCTCTCACCTCAGACATTCATTTTAAAATTCCATTTTCAAATCAGCATAAATCACCGTCAAATAAACAGGTTTGTGGAAGTGGAGTATAAAGTGAGTTTGGCCAGCTGCTTTAGTGGTCAAAACTAACAATTGACATTTCATAACATTTCATGGAGTCAAAATGGTTTGATCATCTTGTTTGTAAAATGTGACAACAACTAAGAAGAAACTAAATACCCTTGTCTTTGACGATTGCTAAAGTCTCGTAAGATTCTTTATTATTAAGCAAAACTCTACATAAAACTCTACAAAAAACTACATACTGTAGTTTGACTTGGAGGTAAAACAGTGTGTTGATATCCAACATGACATGCCGAGATTTTGTATTTTATGTTGTTCACGTAGCATTTGAAAATAAAAAATGTCCCTCGACAATCTCCTACCGACATTTGGAAGACAGATCCATTTAAATTCTGCTGCTGTGCTCTTCTTTGAAGCAAAGCAGATATCTCCGTCTCTCTCTGTTCCTGTTCCTCCTTCCGTGTCTTACAAGGACACATTGGCTTATAATCAGATCCATTTACTGTCCTACTGTTTATACTGTATTTACAAAGGGCCAGCTGAGGTCAAATCTGCTACAAATTCTCCCTCATTCTAAAAGTGCGACTTACAAAAATAACAGATACTGGTACACAACCCTAGAGTGCCCTCTAGTGGATGTAAGGATGAAAAAAAACAAACGTGAAATTATATATTTTAATACAGTATATAAGCTGCACCTGAGTATAAGTTGTAAACCCAGCCAACTTATAGTCCTGAAAATACAGTACTCTCACCTACAGTAGACCTGTGACAGTGAAGGCACTCGGTCTCATGTCTTAGCTAAACGAGACCCGGATGTGTAAAAGCGTAAGAAATATATATATTTTGATGAAAACCCAGCGGCTCAGCTCAGCTCAGGAGTTCTGGATAAAATCACTGTGCTCTGCTTTGTATCTAATTGGCTAATCTTATGTTGCTACAATTAACACCAGGTGACGCTACACCTGATAGCATGTGAAGCAAAGGTGTACTTGAGCTAATAAAGAAAATTTTAATTCAATATAAAAGAAATACTGTATGTATAGCAGCAACAACTTTTAACTTGACAAAACAGTAATTGACAAAAGAACTAAACAAATGACAGTAGCTGTTAAATCAAGTTTTGGAGGAAGACACTTCTTCTAGGGCTTCTTTTAAGCCGTTGTTTTTCATTTTGGTGTCATGGGTAAGTGAAACAGAATATTCAGAATTTTTTCCCATTTTTTAATTTTACACTTGTTTTGACTTGATTTAATCAGCAGGAGAGCTGTTATCGAGCCTAATGAATAACTGTAGGTAATAAATGCTTTAAGACTAATCAAGAACTGCTTATCTGTTCACACTTCATAAAAACAAAAGAAAAGAAAAGGAAAACACAGGAGTTTGTTAGTGTGTGGTATAGAACAGTACAGAGGGATATGTTTTTAATGCTAATGTGAAGTTTATTTTATTGTTGAGATGTCAAATTAATTTTACAAGGTACACATGATGATCTCTCATGGCACACTAAGGTTTTTGTGAATCGCTGAATTGCGCTAATGACTATTCAGGGAACCATATTTATTTTTCACATATACATTAGTGGTGGTGTACAGAACTTGGACGATCTAAATATAATCGAAACAAAGTTATAAATACATCAACGTTTCGATTCTTCCATCTTGATTCTACACCTTTGGAATGTCTTGCTGTGTAGGAAGAAGTAAGAAGAACATCAAGACAAAAATGTGACAATGAAACTAAACAAAAAAAACCATGAGAACAAAGATCCCCCTGAACTAGTCTGGAAGTGTGTATTTCATGTCTTTTCAATATGTGGAAAACACTGTCAACACTGTGTCTCCAGTATTAGGCGGGGCAGCAAGTTAGCAAGTACTGTGAGTGGGTGAACAGCAGATATGCTAAGACAGTGACTAATTGGTGCAGGTGCAGCTAGTCAGACGGGTGGGCAGTTGATAAAATCGCGCTGCGAAGCCACTTGACTGTAAAATGTCAGAACGAGGGAACGGGAGAGTGAGAGGTCAGGGGTCAGATAAACACTCAATCACGCTCTTTTCATGACCAGGCTGATGATTTACTGCCCTCGCGCTTTATTGGCCGGCATCAGTCTTTACCTATCCATGAATAATTGCACTTTCTCATGACTTCGAAAGTCTCTGCGACAACAGAGAAATGTTTGGGCAAACAGTGGGATTGAAGAGGAACTGACTTGACAAACACACTGGAGTCAATTGGTTTTATATGGGGTTTTAATGAGCGCCTCTTGTTTTTACAGCGTCCGTTTACAATAGTGAAGGACAATCCTGATGGCAGGAACGACTGTGAGAGCGCAGCTTACTTCCCCTTTGTCATTTCTGTTTGTTTCCTAAAGCTCGTCCAACTAACTCACCTTAATATAAGCTATCTCTAAACTGGTGTTTTTCAACCTAAGGGTCGCAATTCCACGTGGGGTCACCTGGAATTTTAATGGGGTCATGTGAAATGTCTAGTAATTCATGACAGAAAATGACTGATAAAAATGTTTTAAAATGTGATTTAAAACACCACAAACAGTAGCTAAATGGGTGGGCTAAAAAATGGGCTAAAATGGGTGAAGCCAAAATGGGGTCACAAGTCAAAAAAGGATGTGAACCACTGCTCTGGTCTGACAGTAAAACATCAAACAAGCCTTTCCTGTCAGAACTAAGGATTAATAGATAACCACTGCCTCATACTGTAATTCACTCCCACCTGTCTGTGTGGACTTTTATGATGCATCCAGTACAATGTTACTAATTGTGACTAATGCATTCTGTAGCACTGTCATTGTGTGGTTGTTTGGGTTTTTTTTATCATTAGTCTGTTTATCCAGGCTTGGGTCACTTAGGGCAGTAGTCTATGTAATTACATGTGTGGGTGCAAAGCTTCCACTTCCACACCCAGCATTTATGTGCCGCACACACTCGCGCATAGAGCGTTAAGGGCAGACCTAATTTCCATGGTCTGTATAAAGAATTGTTTCTAATGAGCTCATCAGAAATGTGGCAGATGTGTCACTGGTTCTGTCACACCCTCGTTCTGCTGTGGTCAATGAATTAGCCCCGCAGCTCTTTGTCAAAGTGTTAGAGAAGAGCTCACATTGTTATTTTATATGTGGCTCGACCCAGGAGCCAGAAGTGACAAATACAGTTCTGGAAAACAGCCTGTGAAGCCCTGAAGAATTCAGTCTTTTATACCAGACCTGGATAACCTACGGCCCGTGGGCAACATACGGCCCACTGGACTTCCTAATCTGGCCGGTCAAACACTGGTATAAAGTATGGTAAATACTGACTGATATCACTCCTTCTGTGTCATGCGTTACAACGAATCGACTGTAAATTATTTTGATGCAACCAAATGTAACTTTAAAATTTTGGCTTTAGATTTATTCTTGTACATTTCATTTCTATAATTTCGTCCAGCTTTCTACATCCAACCAATACAGAACTGGCCCGCCAGTCAAATACTGAAGCTCTCTATTTTATACGCAGATGAAAATGGATGGATGGATTTTAATATATTCATATAATAAAATGTATATATGTACCAAATATATGTAGATGTATGCAGTCAGAATGTGTATACATATATATATATATATTTTTATACTGTTTAAGTGACATGACTTTTTTAATGACAAGTTGGGTTGGGTGGCAATCTGGTGTTGAGTTCAAGGTAGGATTTATAAATCGTTATTTACAGCCTTGTAAAAAAATTGATCACTAATAATTAACCCATGAGAAAGAACTCCTATTTGTAGTGCCTCTGGTCACATGACCATGGAGCTGCAGGGCAGGTCTATTTAAAAGAGGAGCCCGCTGTCCAAGAGGTATGAAGACAGTAAGTTGAGCACCTGCTGAGCATAACGCTGCAAAAGTAAGAATCTACGAGACAAACTGGTGAGTAGCCGTCGAGATGAAGACCTCACTCGTCACCATCACTGTCCTGGTGCTGGCTCTGGGCTGGAATTCTGAGGCTGTGGAAGTTGAAGTAAGTGCTTCACGTAGCCGTTCGGTTTTCCAGGCTGTACTATGACCAGTTCACTCACTGACAGGCGTGTCTGTGTTTATCTACATCAGCTGTAAATCAGTGCAGCAGAACAACAAACGTTTGTTTTCCAGTCTTCGGTGTGACTTTGTCACGTGCTGTAAAATCTCTAAAACGTTGTTTTCAGTATTTCCTACAAATCCCTCATTATTTTACAGGAAAATGGACTGGTTTTCTCCCTGGAGGCCGTTAAGAGACTCCAGGAGCTGACTGAGAGCAGGGGGGTGATGGGACAACAAAGCCCCCGACTCAGGGCCAACTCCATGTCTCTGTGTGCCGACCCAATGCTGCCCCAGGAGTTTCTGCCACTCTGTAAGCAAAGAGGAGCAGCCGCCTCTCTGTCCAGACTTGGTAAGAATAACAAACTCCACGCCAATAAAACGGAAGGGGATCAAGGAATGCATGGTGTCTGGGTCTAATCTGTCTCTGTTCTGTTTCCACTTCATTTCAGCTATGGTTCCCCTGGACGTGTGTGAGATCTGTGCATTCGCTGCCTGCACGGGCTGTTAAACAAACACACCACAACCGCAAACAACTCGCCAAGCTTTAGAATCATGATCCCTAGAACGTCCAAACAATAACAAAAAAAGGGAGGATATCTCTTCCTACATTGACTAGTTTTTGCCCCTGACAACTATGATTCCGATTATGGTCCACTGTAACAATTGTTTTGTTTGTTTGTTTTTTATCATTTTAATTATTTGTGCAAACTGTTACTTTGTACTGTGGCATTGAATGTATTTAAATGTATCTGCTAATAGATTTCTCTTGTTACACTCAGCTGGAAAATATTAAAGTCCTTGCAATTATATCGTTACTACCTACTTTATTTCCATTGCTTTGAATTAAACAAAACCTGCACTTATACTACAGAGTCTGTGCACTCGTCTTTGGTAAATATTCTATGATACTAAAATAGAACCTGAAGGATCTCATCCACTCATGGAATCTGTGGTTTGACATGATGAAGCCAAATCTAGGCTGCTTGTGGGAGGAGGGAGAACAGATGGTTTTTGCCTATGGTGAAGCAGAGAATGGGAGCAGTGAGGATGTCACTTCAATGACTCTGGGGGGAAAAAATCATATTGGACCGATAACAGGTTTTGTCTGGAGTTTGACCTGTTTTTTTTATAATAATAAAAAGCAACAACTGTTTAAAAAGTTTACTCTGTCAGCAAACAGAAAAACAAATGTCCATTGTCACCATTCCATCCAAATGTATGGACTGCAAACTCAACATTGCTTAGTCAAGGTTATGATAATATTTATCACTATAACTTTACTTTAATTGATAACAATAATGACAGTTGAATATTTTTTCAATTATATACAAAAACACAAACCAGAAGTAACTGCAGTATACGGTGTTTTAAAAGGCCATTTGAAAAGACATGTTCTACGTGTGGTGCTAGTAGATACAAACATATACAGTGGAGAAGGTCAAAAAAAACTGCACCGTGTAAGGACAGTAAATAATGTGTTACTAAAACATATGTAGGAATCTGAATCAGAATTTGTTCATTGATCCCTGAATTCATGAGCCTCTTTACAAACGGCACCCCATAAGGAGTGGCATTAAAGTATGTGAGGGTGGTGCACATTTAAGAACAGCAGGATTTTGTTGACGTGTGCAGTTAAAACAACCAGTGGCTCCAAGGATATCTTAGAACGTTTGTTTAGGCAAAAATATGTGGATCAGACATAGTCAAGATGGAGACGTTCAAATACCCAGTTACATATTATTTTGATGCTGCACGATGACGGAATTCACTGCTACTGTTAATAAGTAGTTATCGGAAATAATGAAAAGAAAGTACAGCGTGTTAAATGTTACAACATTTTGACTTATTTTAGAGTGTATTCAGTGGGCTGAATGAACGGCACGTATGACCAGTAGATATTATTACTGTTATATAACACATGCACAAGGAATCTCTTTTGATTTTCTTCAAAACAATGCTTTTTTCATTCAGTTTTTCATTAACTTTTAGTATTATACATTGACAGAAAAATATTGTATGCTTTTTTTAGATGGAAAGTTAAACATTGTGTGGTATAAAGGTCTGGGTTAATTATTATTCCTGCCAAACCACCTTTTTGACCTTTCTGTTGTAGAGGTTGAAGACATTTTATCAAAATCAATGAAGAAAGTTCATTTTACCAAACTTAAATAAAAATAAATAATAGTAATTATAATAGGATTTACAAATGTTGTAAAACCTCTATTGAACATAGTAGGAGGTGAAAAAGTAGAAAAATAAGTGAGTTTTGTTTGAAAACATTTTCTGAGGTTAGACGTCAGGCAACAGTTCCTGGACGAGTTCCTGGAAGAGCTGCAGACAAGGAAAATGACATCACACAAGCACCACATCACTGTCTGCTTCTTTTTGTATTATTTCTTGTAGTTTAATAATAAAGAATTGTATTGATCCTACACTGGGGAAATTGTTGTACTAAAAGCAGATCTGTTGCCCATGGAGGTGCCAGGAACCTAATGTACCAAACAGTTAAATATAATATCATTAAATACAAAAAATCACCCTGGTTACAGTTTTTATTTTATTGTTTTTTTATTTAATTTAAAATAAAATACATGGCTTTTATACAATTGACTAAATCATATTTTCACAGTTCAACAACATGTTATTCCAGTCCTTTACTTGAACCATTCATGTTTTCAACCTAATTTTATTTTATTTTATTTGTCAATATCTGATACACATGTCTTGTTCAAATGTGAAATAACAGTAAAATCAGGCATTAATTTAAAAAAAAAATCATTTTAAAATTCACCTCCTCCGTTTTCTAAATTTCAGTGATATATTCATATTTTATCAATTTACGTTCTCACTGTCTACATTTGGCATAAAACGTCACCAGCTCCATGCAGTGGAACCCATCAAACAAATGACCTACATGGTCTGGTGGAGTAAGTATACGACCCCGGGCTTATCAGACAGCTTTGTGACGAATATCTGTGGGAGAAAAGGCAGGAGGGCAGATTTATTGGACAGCACTGAGTGATCGTGTGCTTGGTATGAATACCAAAGTCAATAACGGAACATTGTTCTGACGGAGGAAACAGTGAGATGGAGGTTATAAACAACAGGGACAGGGGATGTGGGCTGTAAAATAATGAAAAAAGAGGATCCACGGCCGCAGCAGCCTTTGGGTTATCTCCCACCAGTCAGTGTCACCGTACCTTCAGTCGTCTCAACGAGTTGTTAATAAATCACTCACTAATCTGTCTGCAGGCCTTATAAGAGGCAGCACAGATAACCTGCGACCACAGAAGAAACCTGCAGAGTCCTCTTGCATCATCTGAAAAATGAGATCCCTCGGTGTTGTCGTTCTGGTGCTGTGTGTGTGCAGCGGAGCTCTGGGCGTGCAGGTTAAGGTGAGTGAGTCCTGTTTTGGGATTTTTTTTTTTTTAGTTCTGGTGTTCATTTTAACTCTTCCTTTCACGGAACGCATCTAAGACAAAGATTCTGGGTCATCAAGAGTTAAATACTCACTCTTGGTCTAAAGATCCATTCGACAAAGTCTTGACAGAAGATTTCTTTTGTCTCCTTTCTTTGACTCTGCATTCATCAAAGACACATTTCTCTCTCTCACTACTTTTTCTGTATATTGAGGTGCTTTTCGTTCTTTCCTTTGACTCCAGGTTGGAGACAGTTCCTACCCCTTGGAAGCCGTGAAGGAGCTCAAGGCCCTGATGGACTTAGACAACAACAACGTCAGTCCTCGTCTGGCGGACACCAGTGTGGTGGCTGCTTGTTCCAACCCTCTCCTGCCTCAGGTGTTTCGGCCAGTTTGTCAGACAAAGGGAACAGGAGTTGTTTTCTCCAGACTAGGTAAGACGTTTGCTCTTTATATATATATAGTAGAAAAATGTGTAATCTTATTCATCTCCATAATGATGAAGTTTTGTTGGTAAAATGTTCAATCAGTAAATAACAAAGAAAAAACCCACACCCATTTAATTTCTCTTCATCAGGAATACAAATCTTTACAGGTGGATCATAGTAATGATATTTATTTATTTTCTTAGGTACAGATAATGTAACTTTAGAAAAGAGAACCCTAAAATTGTATCAAGCTTTGAACGTACAATCATTAAAAAACCTGGTTCTTCCAACATTATGACTAACTGTACGTGTCACTGTTGTTTAAGGCAATCGTCATATCTGTGAAAGTTATCAGTTAACTCTGTGTTTCTTAACCTTGGGGTTGCGGACCCATTTGGGCTCACCTAGAATTCAAAATTAGGTCGCCTGAAATGTCAATTCAAAAGGCAATTAAACAAAAAAAAAATGATCATGCAACTGCACGAGTCACAGCTGCTTGAGTTCCTTTGAGCCTTTGTCCTTTGTGCACTAATCTGGCTACTCTACTCTAACCATATTTGTAACACAGTACAACAAACATGAACAAAAAAAGGGTTTCTATTGAGAGAACATCGCTGTTGACATTTGACAGTCGTTGAGTTCATGTGAGAAGGACAAATGTTTTCTAAGGTGACTTTTCACAGCCAGTTTTATGACCAGGACACACATTCTTTCCACAACACCTGTAAACATGTTGCGGTGGATTCCTAGATTTCACTCTTCACATCCTGACACTGTTTGTAATATTTGTGTCAGACAAAAAGCCTCTGTAAAAACAGTGTAAGGACGTACATATGTACATAAGCCAGAGACAGAGACGTGTTTGTCCCATCCATCAGAGTGAAATAAAACTAAATGGACCTTGGCCCCTCATCCATAAACATTATTCCATGTTCATTTTTCTTTTTGTCTTTCCAGTGTATATCATCACTCCATCAGATCCTTGTGAAATCTGTGCCAATCCTTCATGCTACGGATGCCTGAACTAAGGCCTGAATACACAAAGTCATCAGGGGGTCACGGAGTGGAATGAGGTCGTCTGGTCAGCATGACGTCCACTGATCACAGTAAAACACTCCATACAGTTTTTAAGGGTTACCTCTCCACAGTAATACTACAATTTGGATTCTAAAACAAATATTTGTCACTCTACTTTACTCTACTCTACTCTACTCTGTTCTCTGTCCATACATACCTACGTAAAAGGCCGTGTATCCATTTCACAGAGAGCCGTTCTGTATATTAATGAATATTACCTTGAAGTCTTTAAATTGTTTTCATGTTGAACTCCTAATTTATTGAGTCTCTATAGTTTCCCTGACAATAAAGATGTCTATACTTTGCATTAAAAAAGTATCTCTTGTATTTTTTTTTAAATATATAAAATAATATGTAATATGTCATAGTGTCACTCACACATGCACACACACACACACACAACCACACACACATAATGATTTTCTTTGGGTTGTGACCAATTAAAAAAGACAGAGCATTGGCTATTTTCGCTAACCATTACAGTTACAAGTTTAGGGCTTATTCTATCCCACACACTTACTCTAATGTGATCCTAATCGATGTGATCCTAATTAATGCTGTTGCATAAATTTATTAACTTTATACATTTCTTTGTATTTGAATGACTTTTTCAAGACATTCTATTAAATTAAATGCTTCAACAGATTAAAACATCCCTTGTTTTCTGTCTTGTTAACAATAAATAAATGCAAACTGCAGGCTGAACATATAGGTCAATTAAAAAAGATAGGAGAGGAAAGTGAAAACACTGAAAATAAAAACGTTTACATACAGCTTAATACATATTATCTCATCAATGTACAGTTTGAATCATTTAATGGTAACTGAAGTTGTTTGATTTCCTATGTGCCGTGTTGCATGTACCAAAAGAGTTCCACAGACAGCCAACTAGAGCAGCTAATTTATGCAAATTGGATGAACAGTGACTGTCATTAGTTATTAGCCTGGTTTCTTACTCTGTGGACAAACGGAAGATCGAAGTAATAAAAGAAAAATGTTAAACTTGTTTTGGTAAGTACATAATATAATACTGTTGCCACACTGAATTATATATTTTGTTTTTAAGCACTGTAAATAATTGTTACAAACGAAGGAAAAACCACGGTGCAAAACGTCTTTGTTGTCGAGGATAAAATAAGACGCGGAGACAAACGAAACCGGAAGTGATAGGATGCGTATGGTCTTAGTCTCTCTGCTCCAAGTAGTCTTGGACGTGTGCACTTTAGATTTAATCTAAGTCACAGTTGATTCGGAAGATAACCAATACGTTAACAATATAAAAGTACAGTTTCATTGTTTATTTAGGGGTATCACGTAGGTTGTTGGTCTAGGGATATGATTCTCGCTCAGGGTCCAGGTACAAGTCCGGAATGAGCCCTACATTTTTCTGTATGAACCTCACAGATAGAAGTTTTGTGTTCCTAGATTGAGCTCAAACTATTACATCTTTTGTTTCCTCCAGATTTGTACTTCCGATCATGACCACCAGAGGGCACACTTTCTTACCTTTCAGCTGCATTTTGTATATTTCATAGCCAGATCTAATCCTCTGCATTGATGTATGATGTGTTAGTTGATGCATGAAGACGTATGAATGTGAGTTGTGGTATGTGAAGAATTCTAAAAGTACATGTGTAAAGAATAAAACTAGTGAATATTCTGGGTCCATCAGTTCCAAAAGTAAAACATCCACATCCAGGGAGCTGGCTGTGTTCTTTAAAACATCGCTTATAGACCTTTGTAATATTACTGTTGATTTCAATGAATTAGTTTCGCAGAATTTTAAATTACTATTAATTATAATTACGCTAAGTTTGGCGTATATTGTTTTTATATAATTGCCTAGCTTTCTTCTGTTTGAGGATGACAATAGCTGACCCACAAATAAAATAAGAAAACGTTTAGCACCGAGAACGTTTATTTCACTTAGATTTCACGACCAACGGCTTACACACATGGCTCGTTGGTCTAGGGGTATGATTCTCGCTTAGGGTGCGAGAGGTCCCGGGTTCAAATCCCGGACGAGCCCTCTTTTATTTGAGTCATTTCCTTAAAAAGATACAATAGAAGATTATAATAGACTCACCACTGGAACCCCGGATATAATGTTTATTTATATATACATATATTATTATCATCATCTTGGGAAACTTTTAGGCACAAATGCAATTACTTTGATTGTTGATCATACATATATTATTATCATCATCTTGGGGAAGTTTTAGGCACAAATGCAATTACTTTGTTGATCACAGACACGTCACAGAAACGGTCTTGTCACATGACTTGTTCACACCAATCAAACGGAGCTGTTCATACACATTTGAGCTTTTTGTGGCAGTATGTGTCTGTCGGCGACGAACTGGCTCTAAGAGCCGGTGCTTTGAGCTGAGGAAACAGTGGAGGTGAGGAAATGAGTGACTCCGGGCGACGAACTGGCTCTAAGAGCCGGTGTTTTGAGCTGAGAAAACAGTGGAGGTGAGTAAAAGTACTAAAATTTGGTTGCATTTCGACTACAATAAGTAACTCATTGAACAATACTGGGTTTCGTGCAGACTCCATTGCAAAAGATATAACAACAGCTAGATTGTTACATAAACAATGTTGTGTTCGCGTGCAATGAAGGTCAGGTGTGTCAGTTTTACCCCAGGTTACCTTAGTTTCGCTAATTGAGTCAATGTGACGTAATAGTGTAACGTTCAGTGTGATGGAATCAGTCGTTGTGTGCATGCACACTGGAAATATGCATTTGGTGTTATTTCAGTAGTACTAAAGGTGAAACAACAACAAATGGTCAACTGCACTAATGACATGCTCTATTTACAGTCAGTGCTGCCCTTTTGTCATATTTTATATCTTTCGTCGTTTATTATTATCAATTTAAAGAATCTGAAGAATTTGCTCGTTTTATTCTACAAATGTCCTTGCTCGTGATATTAGTTCTTACTACCTACTGTATCAACTAAATATAGTTCTGTTCTCCCAACTTATGTTCAACATGCGCGTGTCCTATTATAGCCACCAGAGGGCAACCTTAACCAACACTATGTGCTGCACACTTGACGGTGATTCAAGGCTCTCGGCTTGAACTCGGTGTTGAAATGAATTCAGTGATGCATCAAATTAACTTGTTGTTTTATTCGCATCTTTGCATTTATCCAGAAAACAGCCGAGTTGTTGTTGTTATCATACGATCAGACACAGACGTTTTAAAATCAGGAACAACCAATGGAAAATGACAAAAGCAATTATTCTTGATTTGATTTTACATATTTGTAAAAATACAATACTTATATCTGCAGTGACGTAATTAAATTCAAGTGTTAACTTAGGAGCAGCTGGTTCTTAAGAAATCCCACATGGAACCAACCTGAATGTGCTGCCAGTTTACAAATGTAATGGAAATCAATATTCCACTACAGCTATTTTGTTTAGTCGTATCTGACTTGAAATAACTTGAATAATCAAGCCTTGGTGGCTTGGACCACATTATGATGTTATTTGAAGAAAGACAATTGTACAGTCTGTTGTTTTGCTCGTGGCCTCATTGTCTGATCACTCTCCCCACACCCCAGTCCATAGTCCACCGCCTTCTGCGGTTAATCTTAATTTATATCCAGATGGACTGGTAAGGTTTGAGTTTCAGCAGCAAGAGATTACATTACGATTATCAGCATGGTTTGCAGCTCACGTTGTCCGAGGGTTTATATTTTCCTTTCGCACGATGACAGACAAAGATGTGAGGGATAAACAGAAGGAAATTGTGAAAAAAAACAACAAATGTGAGATTTAAGAATTTATTATGATGATGATATATAATCAGCTGTTGTCTAGATTTATTTATTTACAAGAAAAATGTTCTGCTCACGTAGTACGTTTAAAGAACAGACGTTCTGTGAATTCATAGGGTACATGAATAAACTATGAGCTCATGTTTGGGACTGTTCCCTGTTTTTGAATCATTCTAACAAAGGTTCCTCTGTTTCCATAATATGTCACTCATATTGTATCACCATGAACAGACAAATGGGATGTATGGGATTTCACAGGGAGAGTGGACACACTGGATAATTGCCGTGTAATGAAGCTCCTCGGCCAAACGAGCTGCTCTAATTAGTGGCAGGACATCACAGTAGCAGCAGTTGGAATAAGTTAATCACCAATCAGGTTTGCTGAATTCTAGCTGAACTTAGCAGTTTATTCTGTGAGCAACGCATGAATCAATATGACGTAGAAGTTTTGAACAAAACTCTTGAGGAAAAGAAATTGCAGTAAAAATGAATATCATATTACATGTCTAGTGTCCGATCAAATGATCCCACCATCTGTTTACATATGCTTCACAGTATGTTGTCCATGGATTAAAATGATGTGTGTTGCGGTTGATCCTCTCTGGAAACCCTTGCTCCTGAAGGATTGCGAAGTAAATCTAGATGAGATATAAATCCACAAATCCATGACCTGTGACGTGTCCATGAGATTATTTGGTTAAACAGCCTTAGAGTAAATATAAATGGTCATATTTGAATATATATATCCTGCACACAGGTCCAAGAAAGACAGTCCAGAGTTTGTTTATTTAGTGAACTGTTTTCCTTGCACTCTACACACATTTGTTGTTAACTGACGACTTCAGTATGATCTTCAGTATGGTCATACACTTTATTTTAGCCTAGCTTTTATTATTATTATTATTACCTAAATGCTTTTGCAAGTGTGATGATTTCTGAAATATTCCTGTCAGGCCATCCTGGCGTTCCTGCATGCCTTTCACCATTTGATAATGTTACATAACGCAGGTGTTCTCAAAGTTTTGGTCAGTGCCCACATGGGGATTTTTTTCTCTGTTTTGCCCCAACAAGAGCTTGATAAATTACATTTCAAATTTATTTAACTAAATCCAAGTAATGTCGTATTTTATAACAAATCAATTTCCACCTGTTTGTTGCGCCCCACCTTTCATGTCTGTTCCTCATCTGTGGGGCCTGCTCCACATTTTGAGAAGCAAAGAAAAAAAATAGTCACTTACTAATATATCCATCTGCAGCCATTTTCTACAGCAATTGTTAGCTAAAATCTAGATTTGCACACTGGCTTTGAGACCATATCCCTTTAAATGTTCCAAAATGGCATTGAAACCAATTTTATAGAGAGTAAAAATCTAACCATGCACTAAATAATATTAAATATATTATAGATATTTAATAGAAATGTGTTAGCATCAACAAGGACACAGATAATGGATATTGAGTAGTTCTGAATGTTTCCCAGTCTACAAAGTGCGAGTGAGTCTCCTTTCTGTTGGCCCCAGTTATTACAGTGCAATCACTGAAAGGCATAAAATCCGCTTTAAAGTTTTTCTTGGCGTCCTTCCTCCCACAAAGGTTTTACTTTCTGCACTGGGGAGGGGAAGATAGTATTCAAAGTTTGGATCAGCTTATGCATGCAGTTGCGGAAGACAGTCAGAATGTTGTGTGGGGGAGGTGAGGAGCAGCTCAAAGGAGAGGTCAGAGGAGACGTGTGGGAGCCAGGAGACCACAAAAGACGACGGAGAGACTTCTATTCAATGAGGGAAGAAAGCGATTCAAGAAATTAAGATTTATTCTAGATACCGGGGTTATGACTTTTTGAGTTTATTTTCTCGTAAGCATGCTCTGTATCTTGTTTGGGATGAAATTATCTTGGGGGGAAAAATCAAACTTACGTCACGTGTTGAGACTTGAATCAAACACACATTTAAAACACGTGTTCGACAAGAAGCCGTTTAATAAGACACTGTAGCTGCTCATTAACAGGGAGCAGCAGCAAACACACCACACCACTGTTATTGCTTCGCAAAATCTGGTATTGTTCACCTGTCACATTTGTTCTCATCACTGAGGTCATAGTGACTCTGTAGCTGTGAAACAGTGGCTGCGGCAGCTCTATAAATAGTATTTATTTACAAAATGACAGAGTATAACTAAAACCACAACAACTTGTTTTTTTTCATCGGTTGGGTTTGTAACTGTAGCACTGCATCCAGTGACCGCCACTGAAGCCTGTTTTTTTCACCAACCTTTTTTTGTCAAAATCATAAAGTAACAGAGAGAAAATACAGATAGAGGGTAGCATTCTTGCAGCTGAACACAGCAGCATACACTTCCAACAACCTGACAAAATCAACTGGTGTGATTACATTGGTAGGGTTCAAGTCATGGAATTCCTTATATGCACAAATTATCAACATGTTTTCACAGCTGCAGACACTGACTGAAGCGGTCTACTGTGAGATGACGTTAAAATACGTACTGTGTTGTGTTTTGCACACAAGCCCAGCAATCAGTGAACGGTTAGGTAATGGCCTTGTCCACAAAAACAACAAAATAACCATAGCAAACACCATTTGTCAATCTTTGTTTGCGAGACTTTGTACTTTATTAACTGGGTTACTTGCGCAGGTGGACGTGTGCAGAGATGCACATGACTGACTCTCAGGAATGACAGGTAGGAACTCCAGTAATTGCCACTCTCATTGGCTACAGTAGCCTTTGGTTTTTCTATGTTCCCTTAACATTAGCCAACCTTACTTATTGACCCAGTTGTTTGGTAACTATTTAAACCTCAACAGTAGTGTTTAACGTTCTTTCAGACCATGGATGCTCAGACTTACAGAGAGATGGAGGTGGAGCCCTCTACCATTTAAATATACATATATAGTGTAAAATTCTCTTTAATGTCAAACTGGGCGTATAAGTGTAATTTATAAACACACCTTATTATTCCTTATTTTATTATTATATATTATTTCGTTATTTTACATCAGATAATAAACCTTTCAAATAAGACAAAAAAGAAACAAAAAAGTATAGTAACAGTATGTCTGGGTTATTTTTTAACTATACAGGGGTCCTCGGTTTAAGACGTCCTCGACTTACAGCATTTCACTGTTACGTCTCCACACCTATGATACATTTATTAAGAAAGCCTTTTTTCTTATTTCTGACAAGGAAGACAGACCTGTTTATATTCACTGGTGGTACGCCATATTTTGTTGAAACTTCTGCCGTTCATTATGGCTAACAAGCATTGTTTGTACTCAGTTGCTGTCAGTGTTAAACTTCACGTTTTTGTCACACCAAACTGAATTTAAAAGCACACTTTGCGTGTGGTTTAGTTCCTAGCGGTGACTATTTCGAATTATGGTGAAAAAGTGAGTTAGTCACCGCTAGGAACTAAACCCCGACCTAAGATCCCCTGTATTTGCTTTATGTATATGATATATGGGTTTTTTTTTAGCAGTTGTTCAATTCTAGGTGAACATTATTTGACTCAGGCATCACTATCTCGCCTTCACAGTATTGGTATTTCCAGGGTAGATGTATTGGTTGTTTTTGCTGAGTCTTGTTTACGGTGACCAGTTCCTAATCTATGAAATGTGGGACCGAGATAATATTTGATCTATATTCACTGCAGTGCATCTGATTAGGGCACACACTAGTAGCAAATATTTGCACCACTTTACGACCTAAGAAATAAATACAGTGGAACCTCAAGATACGAGCATAATCCGTTCCAGGACCAAGCTCGTAACTCGAGGTCCTCGTATCTCGAATCATGTTTTCCCAGAAGAAATAACAGAAAAAAATTAATTCCATTCCGGACCTCTAAAAAAACGAGTGATGTGGCATGGGCTGCTCTGAGTGCTCGTCCACCTAGCGTCGACATCTGTAAGCGTGCTTGTATCTCGAGTCTTTACTCGTATCTCGAAGCCAAAATTTGCTCAGCGGCTTGCTTGTGACCCTAAATACTCGTATGTCGAGGTTCCACTGTATATAGAATGGCAAGTTGTACATTTTTCTTTATTTCCTTTTAATAATTTGTAATAATTTTCTCTTCCTTTCACTGGCTGTGAAAGACGTGAATATGTAGTTTGAACATCAGTCACACCTCTGGGCTGACGGCTTGGGGTGTAATGTCATGGTCATCATGAACAGTTTTACCTCTTCATGTCAGTTGCATTGACGTTATTGTACACAATTTTATTGGTAGAATAACATTGAGAGAAGAGCCTAGGTTAACATCAGTTAAAACTTTTTTATGAAACTTGGCCTACTTAGTAGAAGTGGTTTAAGACGTATTGTTCATTCAGTTTTCTTCTAAAATCATGAATGACCCTCAAGAAAAATGGACCTTGAATCTCGCTTTGCTCCAGGAGAGAAAACTGAATTAAAAATGTATGAAATGGCATGTTCCTGCTCCAGTGCTCCCTTTTATAGAGCAGCTCCTCTGCTGTCAGCCTTGCTTGGCTCTTTAATTCTGATCTATCTGAGGCTGTCTGAACTCAACAAGCTACCACAGGCTAGTAGATTGATCATCGCTTCCAGTAAAGTGGCCAAATCAAAGTGAGCAGGACAGGCGGAGTGAAAGGGAATGTACAGAGCCATCAGGGACCGATGACAGGCTGGTCAAAGTGATGGAGGTGATGAGTTTGAATTCACAGTAAGAGGCATAAATCAAAATCCCTACTGTTGACAGAACATTGTGTCGAGGCTTGACACAGATGGCCCAGATGAAAGACTGATCCACGTCTCATAGAAATAAAGAGTAGGCGTTGTGGATTGAAGTGATGTTCATCAAGGTCACAGCGCTGTAAAACCTAATCTGGGTTAAAAGTTCTGAACTGCTCACTGCTAATTGGTCTGTTGTCTGATTTTAGTCCTCATTTCAACTGTAGGTGGATCTGGACTGCAGGCAGGACAGTCAGACACACACACTAAAGTGATTTCTGCAGAATGAAGCCTGTAGTTGTACTGTTGCCAGACATGAGTCTATGATGAAAGAGTTTGGTTTTTTTTAGAATAATTTTGGTGATCTCTGTATGACCCCCCCACCCCCTCGTTTGGCTGATAATTTTGTGACATGTCCAGTCTTACTTTTTTAGATTGCGTTTCACTTTAGATTTTTAAACTTATTTCGGTCGTTTTACAAACAACAACATTTTGTGATTTTTTTTGTGTGCGTTTGTACCGCCCTCGAGTGTCTACCTGCGATTCTGATTCTGCTGTTGTGTTGCTGTGAGCGTGAGAACTTCACTTCCCTCGTTGAAACTGAATCAACCCTTTTCATGCTTCAGCCAACATGAGTCCTGTGTTGTCCTGATGAGCATGTAATGCAATAGAATGCTTGGCTTCTGTCCATTCACATTCCAAATGGACCAGAACAGAGAAGATGGGAGAGTAAAACATATGACGCACATTAGGTCAAAATATTCCCTGTCTAACGCCAAAACTTCTTGCAACCAGGTCGAGACATTTTTGACCCTGTGCTGTCCCACAGGTTGTGAATAAAAATAGCAGTTAATGATGCTAAATTTAACTTTAACAACAGTTAGTACATAATTAAGGAAATTAATGAAAAAGACAACCAATGCGGCTTGGAGAAAACATTTTTATTGACTCTAAGACAAAACAGTACCAATGTAGTTATTAACAAGCAGTGTTGGACCACCAGGGCCAGCAAGGTCTTCTCTGCTGGCCTAAACATCAGTGACTTATTTTTCAATATATTTATCACTGTTCTATTTATTCATCCTCACTCCTGGCTTTTCTCTTGGTTAAGTTTTTTATCCAATCATATTTCAGCCTCATGTGTTGCCCGGTCTCAACTCAACTCTGCCCCTAAAGCCTTCAGAATCACTAGTGCAGGCTTTGAGACGTCCTTCTGAGAACATCATAAACACTGTGGAGACCAAGTCAGCAGAGGAGTTGGGAAACTGTGAAAAGAACTACGACACTGGCAATAAGGGGACGTACGTTTTCAGCCCCATTACCTAACATACAGTGATCCTTATTCTGGCCAATGCAGGCAGCGTACGCCATGACATGAGGGATGTAGTTCTGCTCATGGACTCCATGAAGGAGATGAGCCATGGGGCCTTTTGCAAACACGGCGACGTCTTCTCCTCCGTGAGTCTCCATAGCTAGAGGTACAGCAGACTGAGCCTGGTAGTTGTTATCCACTGAGAAGGAAGCAACAAACAAAAATACAAGGTTTTGGATGTGCGTTGTATACATGGCCGTTGAAATGAGCAGATGACATACTTTTGTCAAGTTCTCTGAAGTGAACTTCAGTGGCTGCATGTGTTGTACTTACTGTAGTCAACTGTAGACACATTCTCCCTGCTTCCTCTCACAACTTTGTAACCTGGTCCGTTTCCATACAAGATGGAAGTGAACGACATCTGATCCACATCACTCAGCATGGGGGCCAGACCTGGGGTTTGTTTTGTTATTTTTTATGTATTTATTTTCTATAACCAGCTGTTATAGATTAGTCACACTGGACATGTACAAACCAAATATGGTGTTTCCTCTGTCTGTGTATCCTCCAAAGTTGAACATATGGGAGTGGTCAGCTGTGACTACAGTCATCGTGTCGTGGACGCTGGTCATCAGATCTGCCTTGCCGATGGCTCTGTCCATTTCCACAGCTTCATGCAGAGCTTGCTTTGCTTTACCATCGTGGTGTCCGTGGTCGATGCGTCCACCTCGAAAAAAAAACAAAACCAGTAGTTTGAACAAGATACCTTTATTTGTGGTGTTCACTAAGTGTGAAGAATAACATCTTGAAATAAGAAAGTCAAAATCTCTTCATTCATCTCCACCAAAATGGTCCAGAACTTAAAAGAGTCTTTCTTTAATTGTTTAATGTTTTGGTCTGAATAGCGAAATTACAACATGGCACTCCAGCCCGGGTCTGAGTAGTAGAGTAAGTAGAAGAATTTGGAAAGAAAAAGGACCAGAGTGCTAGTTTGTGTACACAGACTGGTATGACTGACATAATGCTTGTGAGCCTGTACAGTCACTGAATTGGACAAAGGAGACCTACTCCACACTGGAACAGTCACAGCGGTTGTGGTCAGCGTCACCACAACATGTAGTTACATTTTTAGGCATTTACATGCCACAGTAAATTGCAGGGTTTTACAAAAATGGTTGGGATCTGTTCTACTCAGTTAAATGAATGGGTTAATTTTTCTGTCTCTCTTCTGTCCAGGATGAGAAAGACAATGTTTTTGTAGACTGATGTCCAACGTTTAGGGAATACTTGAATTCTTTGCTCAAACTGTTTTTTTGCGACTGCGACTGATTCCTGTCAGTGCTCCGTTCTCCAAAACTTTCTCTTCCTTGGACCCAAAACCTACTACAACCCACAGGAAGTAACTTTAGCCCAGTTAGGACCTACTGGCAACATTTCCAACATGTTCCAGAACAACTTTAACACCACACTAAGACAGCTACAAGACAAGCCAATATTGTGATATTTAACATTCTCTCTTACAACTCTTCACTTTAAGTTTCTTTTTTATTGGTTAGTTTTCTTTTCCTTTTTGTGACGAACTAGGACATTTATTCCTGACTGTCGGACTGTATAAACAGACCTACCTTCAACCAGCAAGTAAAATCCAAGGGGGTTCTTGCCTAGGATCTTGATGGCCACCTCCACCATCTCTGTCAGTGAGGGATCAGACTCAGTGTTCCTCTCAAGGTCATACGGCAGATCCGCAGGTTCAAACAGACCTGCAGTAAGAACAGAGAAGTTCTAAGAAGTTGTACCGAGTACCCATGCAGGGACCACAGTGAGTGCTTTCTCCCTTATTTCAACCCTAAAGACCTTAAGGTTGGAGACTCACCCAGTAGGTATTGAACGTTGTTAGGATTCAGAGATAAAAGCTGCCTCTTGTTCCAGACATAGTGAGCTTTCTGTGGTATAAAACAGAGACATAATTTCTACTGTGTGACTTGTAAGTTACTTCAAACATTATGTAAAAGTATTTCCAACAAATTACTTTATCCTTCTTTCCATCAATCCACTCCTGAACCAGGTTTCTGCCATCTTTGCGTGTGCCAAAGTATTTTGCGACATTAGGATACTCGACATCAGAAGTGTTTTTGGGAAACATGTACTTCCTCCCTCCGCCCATAATCACCTGAAAACACACACAGCAGAGGTCATTCCAGAAGAAGGGTATGTACTGAATGAGCGATCCGAAACTTGGTATTGGTATCGTTATGATATTGGTTCAATCTCAGCATTGAACATGGAAAAAAACTATAGTCCGACCTGATACCTAAGCTCAAATGCTGAAGGTATTAGGTTAATATCGGTATTGGACGATACTCCTAAGTTACAGTATCAGTATCAGACATAAAAAAGTTGTACCACGTCATTCCTGGTAATTACTACTAAAGAAAAGGAGTTATTCCCTACAGCATTGTTTTCCAAAGAAACCCTTTTTGGGTTGTCTCGCATCATGCTTCCCAGGAGTTTACGTATAATGTCTATTGACTTGGGTCGCAAAGGATGACTTTTAAAATATGGGTCCTGGAAAAAAAGTTTGGGAAACACTGCCCTGTGTGCTATTGACCTTAGAGGTCAGTGTTAACCAAACTGAGCTAAACTTAAAGTGCCAGTGCTGAAATACTAAACAAAGAGAGTTTGTTACAGCGTAACAGCGTAAAGGATCATTCCTTTATCCATATCAGTTAAACTAGGACTTAAGCGGCTGTAGTCAGTCAGAGACTGCGGAGTCCTGGAGTGAGGTCAGTAAATCAAAATAGAAATGGTGATCAATAAAACCTGAAGTGTGTGAATCAGGAGACAAAACAATTGTTCAAGAATTTGTTAAAATTATTACTATAATATATATATATATATATATGAGGTCATGTCTGAGAAGCCCACAAGCTTCAAACGTTTTTTTTTATCTTATTCTAATTGTAACCTGCTGCTGTTCTCTTCAAAGGAAGTTGAACTAAAGTTTTTCTGAGAAATGACTCTGACTCAGAGTTCCACTGAAAAGAACAACGTACCAAAAAAGAAAACAGCGAGACCAGCATCAAGGCCACTATTAACTGTCTTTGACCACCTCTTCAGACTGCTGGACCCGTTACTCAAAGTGCAATTATCAAACTCACGTCAATGTCGGGAATGTTTTCGAATAGTTGTCTGGCGATGTCCTTGCAGCCAGCCTGGACGGCATCCTCCGGCATCTCGTGGTCAGAGTACCATTCTCTGTCCACAGAGTGAGCATACGCAGCACTGGGGGTGGCGTGGTTGACGCGTGTGGTGGTCACAATTCCCACAGACTTTCCTGCAGTTGACACACACACATGCACACTTTCATCAGAGAAAAAATATATTCTCTCAAACTTTATTTCCATGACTTATTATCTCCTCATTTACTGTAACAACTGCTGAGAAGATAAAGGGAATGGATTTTGGCAGCGTTTAAAAGCAACACTGATTCAACATATCTATCTAATCCACTGTGGCTTTTCTTCTATTTTACCTTGAACTTGGATAATAATTTACAAAACCATCAGTGTGTTCTATTAAAAGATGTCGAGACTGACAAATGAGTCCACAAAATCAACAAAAACAACAGACCCGAACATTAGTACAACATGGTGAGAAATCGTCTCATTTTCTACAGGATACAATAACAACACTCTCTGTTCTTTTGGTTTTTGAGACTTACCAGCCTTATATTATATACTTATATTTTAAAGTAACGGCTAAATTCAGCCAATAGGAAAGAAAGGTGTTTGTGAGATGTAGCTCTCTCTATGCCACTGTCAGTTGGACCATGTGACTGCATTTCAGAAGATAAAAACAAAGCAACAAAAGCATTCAACACACGGCATTCAAGGACAACAGTGTTTAATCTGATGGATCCAAAGAGGAACAATATGGAATTGTTTAACGCAGATTTTAGCAAAAGCCAATAATAAAGTGAGACAAAGTTCAATGAGTTGTTTATATTCACCAGGCCAACACACAGGATATGTCAAAAAATCATATACAGTGTTCCCTTTCTATACCACGGTTCTCCTTCCACTCCCTCAGTACATCGCAGTTTGTTTGTTTTTAAATCCGATCTTGCAAAATTTTTGCTATATCGCAAGATATAGCAAAAAAATAAGCTAAAAGACATTATTACCTAATTAGTTTAAAAATGTAGATTCTCGTTTTGAAATTGAGATAAGCGAATTTGCGAAAGATCGCTAGTAGCTTTGTTTACCTTTGTTTAGACAAGATTGTATACAGCATACTATTGGCTAATACAATGCGTACTCGGTGTACTATTGTACCTTGTTGCGGTGGGTCTTGGAACGCAACTACTGTGATAAGGGAGAGGATACTACGACAACAAGTGTTTGGAGTGTTACTTTATGTTGTTATGTTAGTGAGTAATGGAGCCAATTCACATATGTAGGTCCATTTCAGAACTCACTTTTCTGTTGAAGTTGGTTTCTCTTTGGAAGTAGTTTGATGCTGCTGCTAATCACAAGACGCTTCATGACATCATGACTGTCCACAAATCTTCTAAAAATGTGATCCTGTCGCAGTTCATTCATTGTTTGCAACAACTGGGCATTGTAGAAAGTGCCAAAACCAAAATGAAGCCGACTTCAGCAGATGCTGATATGAACCTCAGACATTATTGTCGATCTGGCCTGTCATCACGGACTCCCACGAAGACGTACAGAGAACGATTGCCATGAACAGATTTCTAGTTTGTTTAAAAGACACGACTTCTTTTATCGACAAATCATGTGGTGGTAGAAAACAGATTCTCCTTATAAGGGCCGATGGAAATAACATTTCCCATTCTTTTAGAACTGCCAACATTGGATGGGCTGCGCTGTACCTTCCCTGAGGACTGAGTGAATTTCTTATTACCCGTGAGCCATGAACCTACTCTCAAATAACTTTCTTTTTCTCACACACACCGCTCACATGGTGACCCTCACCACCCCCACAAAGAAAACAGTGTACAAATTCCTCTCACATTTGCTTTTGACATTTAATATTATCAGACTGCACAGATGCACAGGTTAAAGAGAAAGACAAAAACTGATGGCTCACGGCAGGTTCTTGCAACAACAGTGGATCTCTGTGTGAAAGTTGTACTTTATTTCACCCTACCTGCATCCTTGGCCCACTTGAGGATGGACTTGACCTCGTTGCCCCGTGTGGTGTTACACTGGGCTCGCACAGCAGCTGCGCTCACGCCCACCGTGCCTGCATTGGCTTTGACTCCACAGAGGAATGCTGTGGCTGTTCCTGCACTGTCCGCCACCTGTGCATCAGTGTTGTACGTCTGTGGAGTCGCCAGTCAGAAGTGTACAGTCAGATTAAAAAAGATTCTAAAAGTGCTCTGTTTTATATATGTTTACATACGTATACGCAATTGTATTTATTGCTAATTAATAATAAGAATTTATTTTCTATTCATAAGAGAGTTTTCCAAAAAAAAGCGCGGCCTGTGATTTCAATTCTTTATGTGAATGCTGGATTTTAAGAGTGTGTGAGCAGCTCTGTGCTGTATACATTATTGGTGAGTGGACAAATGTCAATGATGATGTCATCGCTGACTTTTGCTGTCCTGATTTCTTGACATTTAACAGATCAAACATTGGACCATGTCCAAGATCTTAATAAACAGACAACTTTTTTAAGTAGGCTATGACACATTGACATGATCATGTGGTTAGTATAGATTATAAGTTAGAAAATCAAACTAAAAAAAAACCAAGTTGCATGATGACGTCCAGGGGTTCTCATCTGGTTTTGGAATGAAATCTTTGTAGGAGTAATTCTATGACAAACTTCACCTCACCATAAATGAATCTGAAGGAGTTATAGTCCAGATGATGCATATGGTATATGTTTTTTCCTGTAACCAGGCTTTGTGCAGGATTGTGCTGCATTTGTACATCGTTTTTTGCCACATTCTGACGTTTGATTTTTTTTTTTTTTTTAACGATGCATCAACTCTTAATGTGATGTCAGCTACATCCAGGAATGATGTTCCTCAAATCACAGGGCATGTCTCAATCACAGGTTTGAGGCCAAATCAAAACCTAATTCCTAAGACCAGTAACTGAGACTTTGAAGACGTTTGTGGAACCTCCTGACGTGATCTAGATGTTTTATAGTGTTTCGGCATTTTTATTGTTACAGTAAGTACAGTATAAGCGTAAGTATAGTACAGTACACACAAATATTGCTCAGTACTGTGTTGTACAGTGTGATAAACAACAACATCAATAAATCTGACCTTTGCCAATGAAACAAAAGGGAATTTTTCCATCTCCAGCTGTGTCTCTTCACCACTCTGTCCATTCCGCTGTCCCTTCAGTATTCGAGCAGCTGTCACCGTGGGAACGCCCATTCCTGTAAACATTTTATGAAGTTGGTTTAATGATCTTCTTTGTCCTTTCTGAAGTCAGGTTATTTAAATTCCGCTCATGAAAAACAAAGTAAAGTGTTTTAAAAGAGGACAGGGTTTTTGGCTAACGAAGGGGTTTGTTTTTAAAAGTTCTGAAAAGTGTGGTTTGAGGAGATGGCAATAAATCTATCTTCTGGAATTTTAAATTGCCATGACTTTCAGGACTGCATTCCTGAAATGACATGTGATCACAGGGGGTTGTGGGAAAGCACTCTTTACGTTATAATTTGAAACATGTCAGGGATTTTACATGAGGGACGTGAACAGTTTCACGGCAGAAGGAATGAATGAAAGAAGGGTCCTCATAACGTATACGTATACATACATATATATATATATATATATATATGCAGCAGAGGTTAATAGTTGTTTAGTTATAATTCCACAAAATTGTTTTATTTGTTCTACCTGATGGAAGTGGGTTGTTCCTCCCTGGGCGGAAACTTGATATATACGTATATTTTTGATATAAAACGTTTTTTCTGTTGGTCCTTGTTTTCAAAAATTTATTTTGTTCTTTGTGAATTCCGTCAGATCAATAAAGGCATTGGTGACAGCAGCACGACCGCTTTGGACGGTGCGGCGGTTGGCGGCGGTCAGACAGGTGAGCGACAGCGTGTCCGCGAGGGCGCAGAAGGCTACTTGCCCGCAGGGGCGGACGTGCTCAGGTGGGCGCAGGCTCGAGGCTGTGCCCGCTCATCATAACAAAGCCCCGGTCCCTGCTCTCACTTCTTCCAGTGACAGGTTGCCATCTTTATTTTTACAGGAACATAACGTCACCTGTAAACAAGAGCGTGTGTGTATTTGTGTTTGTGTTTAACGTATTACTCCTGCATATCTCACTGCTGTCTGTTGTTTTTATGTATTTTTTTCGTTCTTCATGCCAATGCTAATGTTATACTTTAAAAAATGGTCGGTGCGTTATCGGTTTTTAACGCGTACACAGACCCCAAAACGCATTTTTTGAGGGGGAAAATGGGGGGGGAAAGAAAGAAAATTTAAAGGTAGTTATTAATTTGCTAAATGAATTCTACTATTTATATATATATATATATAATTTTGCATTCCATTTTCATTAGTTAAAGGGAACGTACACAAAGTTTAATCAAAAGTGTGTGTCTCCTCCGTGAATTGCATGCCTATACTTTATGCCTAGTGGAGCAACTGCCTACGTTTTATTGACATATTAAAATTCTAGTAGTTTGTTGTACCTGCTGTGTAAACATGAGGGATATTCAGTTATAGCAGCGTTTAATATTTCTGCAGGGACCAGATACCAGGGGTATCAAACTCATTCCACCTTAATTAGATGTCAAGTGGGATGGACCATCGTAACATAATTACCTTTAAATAACAATAAGTCCGTGTTTTCCCTCCTTTGTTTTCATGCAAAGAAGTACATTAAGATAACTCTCAATTATATATTTTTTAAAATTAATTATAATGAAATATAATTTTACATTTCCTGTATTTGGAAATTCATCAAGTGTGCTGGCCTGTAACCCCAAACGGGCCGGTTTTGACCCGCAGGCCATATGTTTGACCCCCCTTTTCCTCCTTTTCACACACACACCCACACACAAAAACTAAAATAAAATAAATGTAGCTACTTTGCGTTAATGTCGGAAATACATAGGCAATGTTTTTTTTTTATACATTTTCTAAACCCCACTTTTAGAACCGAATACTTTTGTCCATTTCGTACACATGAGCCAGGGGTTGGAATTTAAAAATATATATATATATATATACATTTTTTTAAAATAAAGTTGGCCTGAGGAAACCAACACGTGTTTTGTAAACATATTAAACTGAAGAGAAATAGTAGAGTTTCGAGTTTCAAATATAATTACACCAATATTACAGTAGTATTAGGCTTTCACCTGTCAGTTACCATGCCATAGCAAGTTAGCAAGTAACACAGGGTAAGGTTGGGGTGAAGGGCTTTTTCGTCAGAGCTTTGTTCACACTGAGGCTCCCAGTTTAAAACCGTGAAAAGCTCTGCTCCGGGGAAACCTCTCCCACCTCTAACTGAATGCAGGCAGAAAAACAAACCTTGATGAACTTAACACCACCACTAATGTGGTTCGTTTGTGTTGGAAGATTAAATGCTCAAATGTACAAATTAGTTTCAACCACAGCCTGTAGTGTGACAGCTAGTTTCCTGTCTGACAACTGTTTCCTGTTCCCATTTTTTTCTCCTGGAATCTTTGATCCTCCATTGATCAAGGCAGGTACTACAGTACTATTGTTATTAATATTGTATTACAGACACAGTAAAAGGTGAATATGAGAAATATATTTTTAGGTAGATACGTTGTCAGCTTACCATCTCCCAGAAAGAAGATTAGATTCTTTGCTCTGTTGACATTTAAGGTTTGCAGAGTCACGGCGTTTATCAGAGTCTGCTGGGCCCATGAATTCCAAAATTTGGGGTCTTTTTCTTGCTCTAGTTAAAAAACAAACAATAAAATGTATGAAAAAACTCTAAAAGACAGATGATACAGATTTGTATGAACCTGAGAGTAGTTTGATGGTTCTCAGCCTACAAACTCTTAAAAAACAGGAGTTCTTTCGAATTGGCAGCAACCAAATAATTCCACGTACTGTAAGGATTAGTATTCACATCATCAGTCGACAGGCATGCAAAGAGCTTTTTGAAATTTGTGTTTGCATTTGGCTAACAAAACAGTCCTGTACCGGGGAACAGTGGCTTCTCCAGAGACTCCAGGATCAGACAGGAACACACGAGGAGCAGCGCCGTCACCTTCATGGTCCGATGGTGTCTGTGGTTCACGACGTGATTCTCCTTCACACAACTGTAACTTTGCACAGATTGAGCCAGTGAGCTGAGACAGAGATAGAATTAAAAGCAATAATTAGGGTTGCATACTTTGAGATGTTAATGTACTGAATACGGTAGATTTTGATCTCTGGTCCTAGCCATATCAGAAAATAAAAAAGTTCGCTTCATTTGCTCTTAAGATTTCGTTTGTTGGCAGGAAATGAAGTTCTTTGTTGTCAAATGTTGACAAACCAACACCTCCACATAACTTTTAATATCCGTAAATACGTTCCTCATGTTTTCAGTCATAGCCAAAGTGTGACCTTATTTAGAGAAAAACACTTTGACAACTGTGAATCACACTACGCTACATCTCATTCAGCTGTTGTTGAGCAGACATTTAGTTGAAGACTACGAACTGACGAAAGAAAGAGAAGAAAGAAAAACAAACATGTAGTAATTGTTCTGATGAAGCAGGGCATCCACGCAGACAACTGATGATCGAAACTGTTGAGTTTCCAGTAAAACATCAGTCTGAGTGTACAGATAACCAGGAAATGACATGTAACCACCTCCAAGAGAAGGAACCAGCGAATGTTCCTACATAGACGAATGTTTTTACAGTCACTGTGATTTCATGGAGATGAGTCTCCCCAGCTGTGAGAGGTTTACAGGAGGATAGTTAAGCTGATTATTCCCAACTGACTCAAAAATGTATCTCTAAATGAAAAAAAAAAAAGTTTACTTTTGCGTCAGCAGTTGCCGTCAGCAGTCTTTGTAGAATCACATGGTTTATTGAAATGATCAAATTTACATTTGTTTGAACTAAAACTTGTTTTTCCCTATAATCGTGTTATCTACAATGTTATTTTAGATAACACTTTCAAAAGCTTGTGCCGCTCACACAAAAGGACACATAATGCTGTTCTGAGGTAAGTCAGAATGTTCAGATGACATATGTCAAAGTTCAGTCACTCAGTCAAGGCAAACTGAAACATTTTTGATCGAGATCCATGTGATCTCTTTTGTCAAAGCCATTGTTATAAATAATATTGGCTAAATTGTGGCGCTTTGGCCCAGAGGCAATGTCTCTGTCATTGGTGTAAAACCCCAGGGTTCACCTCCTGGGCAAGATCGAGTCCCGGTGAGGGTGGTTGGTACCTTCCAGTGGACTCTGTGTAGGAGGGTTTATGGGGGGTTGGTACGGTGCAGTGTGATTTGGGTGGCGGTCATGGAGACTGCTGCCCCCGCGACCCGGTAACGGATAAGCGAATGAAAATAGATGGATGGATAATAGCTAAATTATTATGATTATTAATTAATATTAATTCATTTATGTTAGATGACATTGTAGGACCAGCACCTGCCACCAGAATGTTCTAGAGTCAATACCACCTTGTTCCTAACTCCTAGGTTGGTTTGCGTCAGGTTTACAGACTCTCCCAAAACACAGTGTGGACTTCACATGGCTGTGGCGACCACTGTCGAACACACTGCTAAGAAGCCTGTTGTGGCGTGGTACTACTACGTCCCCCGGAGTCCACATGTTGAAAACATTCAGATAAACAGCGTTGTTGTTTTTATAAAGTCCTCAAACCTCTTGAGCTGCTCTTGAATTCAATATATAATGATGTTCCATATCAGTACTCAGAGGCATTGAACATTCCTTACGTGTTGGACCTCACAGGGGCATCAAAAGTGGCCAAGTCCACCCAGAGGCTGTGGACCTGCCAACCTGCAGGTGAAGTAGCACAGCAGTGCCCGCACAACCAGCAGCAGGATGGAGGACAGGACGGTGGTCAGTGTCACTTTAAATCCCACTTCAGTCATGGTGTAAACAGAGGGCCAGCTCCTTCTTAATCTTTGTAGAAACAAGGATTCTTGTCTCTAACAGGGTGTCGAGGGGTCTTCAGCTCTGAGGGAGTTCCGATGCAAGTAATGCACCCAAGTACATGTGCTGCTCAGCAGGTACTGTACCTTCACAGCATGGATTAGGCTTCTGTTAATGCTGGCGTTCTCTTGGTTAGGTTACATTTCATATTGGCTGGAGGATTAGGTATGAGGCTAAGTAGTCAAAGAAGATTAGTCCTCACCAATGTGTGTGTGTGTGTGTTCATGGTACATATATATATATATTCTTGAACAGTTCTATTTATATATCTATATTTATATATTGATACATATTTATATGTTTTTGGAAATCATGGGCTATGACATTGCACATGGTGCAAAACTCCTAGACTTTGTCTTTTATAATTAATTTAGGCTGACAAGACAACCACGTCCCCCGCCCCACAGTGATTAGTCGAATTTCAGAGGAAATTTCACGGCTGTAGTCGACCAAAACTTTCTTTGAGAATAAGGCCTAGGCATGTACTTGTAATGGTTAGGGATAGGGTCAAAGGTCAGGGGATGCTTTGTGTCTCTGTGAAGAGCTCACGAAACACAACAACCAGTGTGTGTGTGTTTCTGTCAATACTATGTTGTGAAGACCATTTGGAATCTTTTAACAGTTTATGTTAAGTAAATGAAACTATAGTTGAATGAAACTATAGTTGCATTTACACATAGATGATACGACTGCGGATCCCGGAGCTATAGTGCTGATGTAGCCGTGTATTTAGACAATGACAGAATGTTGGGGTGGGAAAGATTTAAAAACAAGCAGAGTGAGACGCTACTCTGCCTCTCTGTAACCTTTAAATCCAGTATCCCTGCTCAACTCCACACAAGAGATCATGCTACTTCTGACCACACTGGAGAAGCTAATTCAGCTAGTTTGTGTGCTACAGTTAGTTTGTTTACAGTTTGCAAGCATTATATGCATGCTCTGTGGCTCAGTTTAAACGTTGAATTTTCTTGCTCCAGATCTGTGTTAACGCTCTGTATCCAGAGTCGCTGTAGTCATAATGTATCGCAGTTGTGTAAACAGGACCTGAGCAGTGTAATGAGGCTGTAAATACTCCTTACAAGTGTGTGTGAGTTGCTGATGTATTTATAGATGCACAAACCGGTGGATGCAGAACCACATTTGACTAATCTTGCAGGCAGTGGTTAAAGTTAGGTTAACAGTATAAGTTGTGGTACGGTTAGAGTGAGGAGGATGGACGATGTGGCTAAGGTTTAGCCTCAATTATGCTGTATGGAAGCATCAATGCAGCGGGCTAAGAAGACAGACTGTGTGAGAGCGTTGGGGGGTGAAGCCGACCTCTGAAAACACTGACATTAATCAGTGCCAGGAGAGTAAAGCTGATGAGTGTTCTGTTCTCACTCACTTTATCTTCTCCTGTCTTACTTCACTCCCACATTACTCAGTCACAACGTGATAAACAGACAAACTTGGTTTGCTTCTCACACCAGTCTGGCCCGCAGTGGGTTTCATATGCACACAGAATAGCTGATGTTTAAACACACTGTCACGCTGACAGCAGACATCCTGCTTTTTACTGCTCCAATTTTCATAAAGTCTTACTGCATACACAGTAAAACATATGCATAAAGAAAATAGAAAAGATCATTGAGAGATCAAATATTATGTTGTAGCAACATCATTTGGACCTTTGGACCACAAGTTGACAATAAAACCAATTTCAGTCGCAAATTCTCAGCTTATGATTTTATTTTAATCCTTTAACTGCTGTCAATGTTCTCATCATGGCCTAAAGAAAAACACACATTTAACTGATTGTTGAACACACACTAGTTTGCCTCAAAGATAGTTTTGATGCTTGTCAGTGTTTTTGTTATTATTTCAACACAGGATGTTATTCAAAAGAACTGTACACTTCCATGTTTTTTTATCCATTTTTATTTAACCTTCAATTCAACTTTGAGTGTGTCATTGGGAGTTTTCAAAATTATGAAATTAATCTGATGAAAAAATTCCAATTTTAATGCAAGGGCAGAATGACACACACTCTACAGTATATCCACTAACTCTAACTGCCCATCCACCTGTTGCTGCCCTGACACACATTATTGGGCTGAAAATACAGGTGGACATTTTTTCTTCCTGTACCAGCAAGACACTTTAATAGTAGAGTAGTATTTAGCACTGTTATTTTATTGATAAACATAAAAGGTGTCAAACTCATTTTCACCGGGGACCATATCAGCAATACAGTTCCCCTTGAAGGGCCGGTTGTAAATGGAAGACTGTGCAGATGTAACTACTCCATAAAAAACTCTTTTAATTTATCAGGTTAAAACTCAATGCTGCATTAAAGTTAATCCTCCATTGATCAAGGCATTAAAGTTAATTAAGTTTTTTAATGACTTTTCGGGCTGCATTTGGCGCCCGGGCCTCGAGTTTGACACATGTGATCTACATTAATCAATCGTGATTAAGGATGGTCATGATTAATCGTGATTAATGACGTATAATCGTAAACAATCAGCAGCTAGACGGTGATTTAATTTTAAAATTTAAATTAACAGATCTACAGTAACGATGTTTCGTGTGACTCTCGTCCGTTCATTCACATAAACTACCTGTCACGAGAATTATTAAAAGTCTGTAATTCTCAATAATCTGAGTTGAAGGAGGCTGAGCTGCTGAATCTTCATCAACACCCAAATGTACGAAGAGAGTCTGAAAATAGAGGATGCTGGGAAATCCTACATTCTCACTATTTAGGCTTCAGTTCCACTTTAGAATGCAACTGAAACCGCAGTGCAACAGCTACACAACTCGTTACTATATCAAAGTCCAGAAAAGCTGGTGAAAAAACAAAACTAGTGATGTAACAGATGAACCGCGGTTTGAATCAGTTGACATTGCAGAGACAATTCAAGCGTATGTCCTCAATCACGCACAAAACATAAACAAACAATGGGAAAAGAAAACAGCAAATCTGAGAAACAAAAGACAATAAGAAAAATCACTGTGTTTGTTCGACTCACTCAAAGACTTTTTGTTGCTTTTTTCTCCCACTGGAAGTTATTTACACCCGAATGTGCGGTCGCCACTTCATCCACTTCTCCCTCATTGACTGTGTCTCCGCAGATCTCACGGGCTCTTTTATAAAGCCACGACTGTTTCACACTGCGTCCTCCTCCGGATGAGGCAGAATAGCGGGCTGTATCCTCTCCAAGGGAAAAGAAAGAGAGGGAAAACAGGGGGGGGAGAAAATAAATAACGGTGATGATCGGTCCAGCGAGTAGGTGGAGTTAGCGCTCTACCTGGCGGACAATTGAAGAATTGCATTAGGTTGTTTGTAACCTGCAGTATGCAGACATGTTTAATAATATTAAACCAAAATCCCTTAATGTCAAACTGTATGTAGTTGGGGGTTTTTTTTGTTTTTGTTTTTTTTTTTTTGTATGTATAGCTCTGTGCTAATAAAAAAAGTAAAAAAATATTTCTACAAAAAAAAAAAAACTTTTAGTTGCGGGAACCATACTGAAGAGTAATCAAATCAACTAACAAACCAAACTGATCATATAATCATATAACTAATAATACTCAAATTACTACACAGGAGGTTTGCTGAATGACATCGGAGCACTTTCACAAAACTGTGAAATATATTTGTGTATGTATTCATGTCAATGCTTTAACCTGTAAAACTGTTTTAATAAAACACTTCTAATAACAAAATACACTTTAATAATAAAAGGACTTTTAATTAAAAAGAAGATTCATGGACGAGCCACCACTTCCGGTAGTGGCAGTAGAGAATTATCTTGACACACAGCGCAGCCTCTTTGGATGTTTTTACTGGCGCTCACGCTCAGTTGCTCGGTCAGAAAGCACGTTGGAGTAATAGCACCAACAGCAGCTACAGGTTGAAAACACACTGCGAACACAAATCGCCTTTTAACAGTAAGTACTAAAACATTTGATTTGTCCAAATTATTCTGAAAGCCAGAACCATACTACGCTGTAATTTCTTTTTTATTTTCTTTCTGACCAAACAAGTCAATGTTTTCCAAACTAAAGTAACCCGTTAATAAGTATAACTGTCTTTTACTTCATTGTCTATATGACAAGCTGTCTGTTCCTACAGCGAGTCGTGTTTTTAGCGTTTTAAGCGGTGTTGTCTTTGTGTTTCAGTGTCCTAACTGGGACATAGGTTTACACGTATCAGCCAAAACATTCGCTTGTGTAATGCTGTACACATACTGTTCGTACACTCAGTTCTGTGTATCACTCCTTAGTCGACATTGTTGATGATTGTTTTGGCTCAAAAGAACATCATATCTTTTAAATCCTCAGGGCTACTTATAGTATATGTACTACTGTAATTAAATGTACTGCTTTACGTAGCTGCTGTTTTAAACATGTACTTGAAGAGTAACAGAGCTGGTATTTAAATCCTGACTTTTACAGGTTATTTTCTGTGATGTATTCACATTTTTTGTAAGATTGTTGTTCATGCCTCAGTGATGAACATTGATTGTATGTTCAAAAATACTTTAGAAACTAGTCAGGAAATGTTGACATTAAAGGGGAAGTAGAAACCTATATCCTGTGTATTTCTTGTCATGAGGAACTAAGTGGAAATTTAATATGAAAAGTGATGGGATGGAAAATCTTTACAGATCTCTCAGAGGAATATGTTTCCACTGATTAATCTCCAGTTATTTAAGTACAGTCTGACCTCCCCCGCTCCCAGGCTTTGTAATAGTTTGGGGCTGTATTTCAGCAGTTTTTAATGTAGATACTTTTTTTCTGTTTTTATTCACTCATCACACAGGTTTTTTACCCTCTGGGGGTCGTGCCCCTATGGAGGCTGCAGAGCCTCACATGGAGGGAGCTGCAAGGCAAATTAATTTCAGTTTAAAAAAAAAGTTATTTGTTTGTGGTATGGTGGGAAATATCCACATATTTATTTTTTCCTGTGTCCTGTGAGGATAGAAGTTTGGTAGGAATTAGTGTTTGAAATAAAGGTCAACAAAGTGAGAAACAAGAGCTGTGATTGTGTGAGTGGTGGTGAGGGACTATGGAGCGGGGTCAACAACTGTCCTCTCATTGAAATCAGGGCCCTGTGGGACAACATTTTATTAACCACTGTACGGACCTAAAATGTCTGTAGTTTAAATAAACCCATGTCTTATAAGCGGCAACATTAAAGAGCGTCTCAGTCAACTATCCGTACAAAGAAAAGCCAACAGTGGATGACTAGATTATGTAAGAGTGACAATGGAGCCTCTTGTCTTTTTACTTCTGGACCTGTGTCCTTGCACTCTGTCAATCCTGGGGGCAGGAAGGAACTTTGTGACAAATGTGTAACTTCATAGTGACTCCATCTGCCACAGTCTGAAACAGGAACTTTAACAGTTCAACAAGTGAAAAAGAATACCTGTGTTTGTAAGCTGATAGTGAAACAGAGTGATTTCAGACAGAACACACTTCCTGTATAGAGTTGGATTTGAGTCAACCTTTATTTTTCACAGTCCAAAGATATGTACATGTGGGATAAGGCCATAGGAGACGAGAGTGTGGGTCATCGGATGTTTGTTGACCTGTGAAGGTGAAGCTACTTGCTCAGACTAAGACTGTGACATCATTAGAAACTGATATACTGTTTTAGAAGAATATTTCTCTTCTAAAACAGGGCAAATGTTCATTTTGGTTTTTTTAAATGAACTCACTTGTGCCTTAGACCAGAGCTGTTTATACTGTAAGATCAGTTAGACTAAACTTTTAAACCAAGAAATTCCGCTGTGTCAAACATTTTCTGTGGCAATCGGACAGAAGCTAACTCGCTAAACGGACAGCTTTCATTGATAATTGTATCTTTATGCTTTGAGAGAGACATGTTACAGTATATGTAATGGCATGGGCCTGTTTAATTGAACATAATGCAAATATAGGCGCAGGAATTGAAGAAAGATACACATACATCTGACTTTATAACCATCTGCAGCCACCTAGTGGAAGATTATTCACAGTACTGACAGCCACTGTTGCACAGACAGAGAAAGACAAATTATTTACAGTAAATAATGTTTTTGTTTTTAGAACAATGAATTTTCAACAGTAAACCTGATGATCCCTCACAGCAGTGGTTGGGAGTCACTGCTCTTTTTCATCAAGGGCCTTATGTGGTTAGCTGATTGATTTAAGCAGATTCACAGTAAATGAATCTTAACGACCCTGCGCACACCTCAGTAACGAGCCACACATGTTGAACTCCTTCAGCTTGGTTTTACAACAGCGCAGGGAAAATCTGATTGTCTGGCAAAGGAGCTTTTTTTAATACTTGACATTATCAGGGTGTTTTCTGCAGAGGAAACATCTCTGTGCTGCGAAAGGAAAGAAAATCCCTGCAGTGTTGTGACGTCAGAGGTCAGGAGCTAATGCCCGAGACAAAGTTGTCTTTATCTGCGGCCTTGAAGGCAGAAACACAAGGGACGGGACAGAAAGATAAAATGCAGTAAAAGGCTGAACGTGTCAGCGTCAGTCCGTCATCTGGATGTGTTTGTTTACTTATTTGTTTGTTTGGTCAGTTGGCTGGTCGGCTGAACGTACAGTGCAGGACAAAGTGGTCACAACCTTATGTGCAGGTCAAAGGTCAGAATTAATGTCACTGCAGCAGACAAAGTCACATACATGACACATGTGTGTGCACCCAGTAAGCTGTTGATTCTTAGTCTACGCAGCGGTGAATCACATCAAAGCTCTTGTTTATTCCCGACGGAGACGTTTTTTTTCACTTGGCTGATGTTTATGTGCAACACTGCTGTGGTATTTCTGGAATGTTTTCCCAAACCTCAGACTTCTTCTCTGGGATTCAGGAGGATTAAGGGTTAAATGTTCATGTTAACGCCTTTAAAGAAATGTCAATCAGGTTGAGAACAATCATTAGGTGAAAAGTCATTACATTTTAATTTATTCATCATTATTTTAGTATGTTACAGTATTTTTCTCATCATATTTTATTTTAACTCTGATAAACTAACAGCATTTTTATCATAAGTTACAAATTAATTCCCATAAATGCAATAAAATTACAGATTTATTTCTCTAACCTAACAAGTTTAAAAGAAAAACAAGAAATTCTCAGCTTTATTCTCATAATCTCAAAACTTTATACTTTATACTAAAACTTATTCTAGATTTTTTTCCCCTCACCTCGTGATTTAATCAAAACTGTGGGAAGAAAAAAGAGAAAGAAAATAAAGAAAATATCGTTCTTGGGCTACGCCCCTCACTCTAGGAACAATTTAATTAATTAATACATTAAATTAAATTAAGTGGATGCTGTACATAAGCAGCACATGACTATTAGACATTTGTGTCTCAGCTCCAACTACTTATTATTAACTGATAATGCTGTGGTGTTTGGTACCGGTGTCATCATCTCCACTCAGGTCACAGCTGCTGAGGATCAGCTTGTTTGCTATATGAGGTCTTCAATTACTGACTGTCTGTGGTCGGGGGCTACATCTGCCAGTCACCACCGTGCCTTAATGAGGAGCCTTTCTTTAGATTTTCTTTCTTCAAATGTGTTTACTAGCAGCTTACGTAGAAAGTAACCATTAATCATTTGTGGTGCTCCTCCAGAGACTTCCCTGCGTAGATTTTCTTTCCTTTAGTATTGTTATATTTGTTTCCAAAGTTTAAAGTCATTTAAGGCCCCACTATTGACTAAGTGCTTTAAAAGCTACACACCAGTGTCTCCTCTGTGCGTCACAGTGGAAATCCTGTGAGAAAACATGATGCTGACTGGAGACCAACTACTGACCAATTACTAACAATTCAGAACAGATGTTCCTGTCGACAGCTGCTCTGACCAGTGGTGGACAAACCGCTGTCCAAACTTTAGTAGCACAGGAGAAGTTTGAGATAAGTTTGAGGTATGTCAAACTAAAGGCCTGCGGGTGGAATCCAGCCCGCCACCTCCTTTTAACGTGAATATCATTGACAACAATGGACTCAGTTGAGCCAATCAGGTGTTGAGGCCTGATAACATGCATAACTGCATTAATTGGCTACTGAAACATAAGAGTTGTAACCAAAGCACCTGACTTGAGAGGTTCAGTAAACATGGTAATTTTATATTATTATTATTATGTTAAACAATAAAAAAAGACTTTCAACTTACAAACCAAGGCAGTTAAACTTTGTTTGTAGCACCACTTGCAGAGGTGCAACAAACAAACAAGTGTAAAGTTAGCAACAACAAAATTGAGAATTGATAAATCTCAATCAGTTTTATTTTTTAACAAACACAAAGCTGAGCTCCACAGACTGTGACGTGCACTCACAGGAGCTGCTGCTGCTGCTGCTGCTGCTGCTGCTGCTGCACAGTAAGTGTTGAAGTTCAATTCTTGTCCTGTTCGGTGTTTGCCCCAGCAGATTTAATCTGAGAGAGAGTCTACACTATACATACAGTACATGCAGCACTCAATTCCAAACACAAACACACTGCAGTTATTCTTGGAGGAATGCCCCTGCACTACAAATAATCGCCAGGTTGGAAGGTTCAGTGACGCATGTTGGTGCTTTTATGGCCTTACTCAAAGGCTGTGGCCACACACTGCTTCCAAGTATTGTGGGATAGTGAGCCCTCCTGTTACCATCTCTCCTGTGGGAAGACACCTTCACATCCTGAAAGACACACAATAGGTGACTCGCTTCAAAGTTTCCAGATCGCGCGTTGCTGAGAATGTCATCAAGGAATAATTCCATGGGTCCCATCTGAGTTGTTAGCGTGACTTACAGTAAGTCTGGGCACCATCAACAGGAATTCCTTCTCACGTCTGGTCAGTTTTTACAGATGTTAATTCACAAATAGGTCATCAACTGCTTTTACAGTAAGTGATGGCACGTCTGTGTTCTCTGATTTTTTTTTTAATGGCTTGTTTTTGTGATTGTTTAGAGTCATTACAGATGTTTCAGGGTCAGTTCGTGTAGGTGGGAGTGGGGTTGTGTGGATCATGAATGAAGGTCTTAATTATTTCCTCAGGATTTACCGATGTTAGTTTCCAAATTTTGTCAGATGGGGAGGGTGTTGTTGAGTCACCTCAGGTTATGCAACAACATTTCAACACATTTGCAAGACAAGTGTTTCAAAATGGTTTGGACAACAAACACTGCTGTTGGAGCCTACTGCTTAGATCTGGTAAAGCTTGTGTGTGTGCGCGCACGTGCTTTCCTGGTATAGGTGTACTTTTGGGCCCATCTTTGAGAAAGTCATATTGTCAAGGGGACACTGTAGGAACATTTTGCAGATCACTACAGAGATAGGTTCATGAATTAGGAATAAAGTTAGGGCTTAACTTAGCGTTTTCCTCTCTGCTACAGGAGTGACAGAAAAAAAAACGTACTTTTCTTGGGAGTTCTTGCAGATTAAAAATTTCTCCTGAAATATCTGGTTGTACGCTGGTTGTTTTGAGCCATATTCCACCTGTGTTTACTTTTTCTTTCCATCCCTTTAGCAATCGCAATGATAACAATAAATCTTCCTCATCTGCTTTAGACACACTGTTTTCTTCCTAATTTTTCTGCATCTTAAAAACTCCCATCTTTGTTATTCTCACCCATTTTGTTTGGGTTATGTCCCATAGTGCTTAGTGCTTGAGATGTGTGATGGAGTGGGGGAGCTTTTTCGTCCCTTATTCATCCCACCATGGGTAACTCCACAGTGTTAGTCTTTGCACCCTACACAGTTCTTGGACTCATCGCCTTAAGACAGTGCACCCCCCAAAGTCTTTCTTCAGCCCTCCCCGTCAACATGTTTGTAGCAAATGTTTTTGAAAATGTCACTGAAACGCTGTAATTCTGACTGTTGTTCTTATTGAACAAATAAAATTCAAAGGCATAAAGAATATTTGTTGACTTGCAGCCCATCCCCTCCCCCAGCCCACAATAGCTACACAACCCCTGGGGGCCTCATCCCCGCCTTTGGATACCACTATCTTATGGAAACTAACACACACTTGTATCATATCATTATTTGTTGTCATTTTCCATGTTTATTCTCGTGGACAAACCGAGTTCAGACTGTGTTGTTGTCTCATAGAAGAAACAAGATTTAACAGGAATGGCAGCAGCAGATTTGGCCTGGAGCTCCATGAAATGTTAGTGACGGCAGCAAGATTATCTGCTCTGAGACATGTTTACACGAATTAACTGTAAAAATAAAAACCAAGTGTCTGCCAGTGACTGAATGGGCTGACTAGAAAACACTCCAGACACAGCAGTCATGGGTTTGTCTTGTGGAAATGAAAGTCCTGAGTGTGATTTTTAACCTTCAGATGAACACAGCCTGAGGTTGTACTGAGATAGTGGAGAGTCCTTTTCAGCAGGTCATTCTCTGTCTGATCAAAATGTTTAATTTTGGTGGAATTCTTTCCCTGCCATGCATCTACGCCTGCATTTACTCTTTAATACCCCCTTGCCTATGCAATGAATGTGCAACTACCCCAGGAGTTCTGTGTCTGACAGAGAGCTGGGGTTAATTATTACCCACTCCTTTGTTGGTAGTGCATTGTGACGAAACCCTGGGGTGGAGGTGTCTCCTTGTTTATCTTTCTTTCCTTGTTTCTAATATAGAACGTGCACCTCTTCCACAACATCTATAGATTTTTTTTTTAAAAACAGATATTTGCAGCTTAAAGCCTGACTTATACAACGTTATTACCAGGCACTGCTGTAGAATTAGCAACAAAAATAGTGTGTAGTCGTTCGTCTGACGATTCCCAGCCCATTTTCCTAAAGGCTCCTTCAGATTCAATGTTTTTTCTGTTATCTTCACAGATTTTTTACAGAGGCTTATGTCAGGTTTTTGCAGACCAGTCAATAGAACTCAACTTTCAGGAGAGAAGTGTTTACGACTCTCCAGGCATATTTTGTTTTCCTATCATGTTCCAGGACTAAACAGCTGGAAGGTTGTTTTTTTCAGATGTAAAGTAGTGGAAAAGTAATCTAGAAAACAAAACATTACCTTGAACGAATCACTGTGTTAGGAAGCTACAGAATAGTGGTGTTAGTGGTGCGACCTTATTTGTTTGGTGGTCAGGATAACATATATATGTGCACGAGTATAATATATAGCCAATGTAAATATTATATTATTTAAAATATTTTTGAGATTTTTAAATATTTTTTCTTATTTTGTTAGTCATTCAGGATGCTTTTGGGATACGGTTTTCCATAAAAATCCAGTAGATGGCAGTCTAGCCTATCTGCTGCACTTAAAGTCAAAAGAAAGAGAAACTGAGTAAGGGCTGGATTATATTATATTATATTATATTATATTATATTATATTATATTATATTATATTATACATGTTCTGGATAATGTTTTCTTAAATTATGGAAGACCACATTTCTTCAGTTACTTTTATTTTGAATTTTTTTTTTTTTTTCAAAAAGGTGTTGACAGTTAATATTTAATGAATACATTTTACCTCTAAGTCTTCGGTTGCTCCATACTAACACTGGCTGCACACACCTTCTGTTCGGAGCTCGAGGGGTTAAACAGTACAAGAAGTGGAGTGAGTGTCATGACTATCAGGTAACAGTTATCACGGACAGCCAGTATACGAGCATGTTTAGGGTAGGGCCTCTGTTTAAGGCCCTTCCCCCAAAGGAATCACAGCCAATAGAAAAGACACTGGGTGTAAACTACAAACGTAAAGTTCCTTCCTCAAACATTTCTGAAACCACAATAGGGCATGAACTACACACACACACACACACACACACACACACACTAAAACAATCACTGCCGCACACTCTCAGACTTAGTCATGTAGGTAGCTCTAGTCAGTGCTCCTTCCTGTTTTTCACTAGTTCCGTCTTCTCTCGTGCCGTGTTTGTATAGACTTGTCTGGGGAGGAAGTCTAGAAAGGCCAAGGAGGTAGGAGAAGAAGGGCCAGTGGGAGCTTTTTAGGAGGACTTTCAGGACATTTAACTGTGGTCTCTACCATTGGCCGTGTGGGGTTTCTCTAAGTGTTGGTGTAAAGGAGGAGCAGAGGAATGTTTGTGAAAGGACAAGACCAGCATGTTCTGTTGAAGTGCATGAGTGAAGGAGAACCAGACAAACCAGATCCCTCCTGATGGATATTGGAGGAAAACCTTGTCCTGACCTCTCAAAGATTGTTTTTAAATAGGCGTCACCTATTCAAACACACACAGAGACACACACAGAAGGACAGGAGACACTCTCTTTCTCACACCCACATTATCAGAGGTAGAGGAAAGGGGTCCAAAGGATGGAAGCACTGAGGGAAACATTTCTTCATTTGACCTTTCAGATGTCTTCGTATAAAAGAGCCACGCTGGATGAAGAAGACCTGGTGGACTCCGGTGGTGACGACATTTACCCATCATCCCCTCTGCAGGTAAATATACAAACCCTTCCTTCTAAAGCTAACATAAGGCTTACAGAACCAAGACACATTAAATAAAAAATACATAGTATCTGATGATGTACAGGCCTGTCAGTGTTCTCGTGTGGTTGTTATGCTACATAAATTGTCCTCAGAAATACTAGTAAAGTAAAATAAGGGATACAATGAGGCTCAAAAATAACAAGGGGGCATATGTCAGACTAAAAGTGTGCAGGTCTTTTTGGTTTGTCCGTTTTTCCTACCTGCACTTTTTTGTTGTTTTTTCCTTTTGTTCAGAACTTAACTTTTGTCCAATGTCTATATTCTGGTACTGCAGTTATTGCAAGTGGTTGTGTTTTTTCAGTTTTTTTAAAAGTGTGCTCAGGTTTTCTACAGCTGCAGTAGAGCTGATTGCTGATTAATAAAAAAATATATTAATCCTATCTTAAACCGCTCATCAGAATCAGGAATATTTTTTTTGTGAATTACTGCTGGTTTTGATGGGATGTCGACTGATGCTCCACATATGTTGCACATGCCTTCAGTCTCCAGCTGCTCAAAGACAAGACACATTACTTGACAGGAGTTGAGAGCAGATGCTGCAGGTTACACTGAGCTATGACAAGCAGCCAGACTTAATGATTTCCTGTGCTGCTAATAGAGAATGTAGAACAATCAAATCATTGTGGCTGCGACGGCACAGGATGTCAATAAGTGTTTCCTAAGATTTAGAAGAGACAAGCACATTGTTGTAGATATATTTCCTTCATGATACGTGTCTCCATTAAACTGTCTGCATTGACGATGTTTCAACCTGTTGTAGGGCAAAAACGAATGTGAAGATTTTGAATGTACTTTAATATTTTCCCATTTTAGAGTGGCTGTTTATCTCACTACAACAATACATTGTTCAGTAATATGTTCCTTTATATTCATTGGTCATTTTGAATTTTTTCCCCTAGCTCCTCTGAGATCATTCCATATGCTCATTCTTTAAATAGTTTATGTGATCCAAAACATACCTGAGGAGCCTACGTACATGGAGAGTTGAATGTGAAGACATAAAACATTATTTTGACCCTGACTGCAATAAACCCTGGTTTTAAACAGACAAAAGCCAGCACCAAAGGCTTAAGAGTGACATCCTCTCACTGAGATTCAGGACGAGGCTTTGACGTTAGCTTAAAGGTTGCTGTGATCTCAGCTAATAGAGATGTATGTAAAATCATATAAACATTTCACCACAAGGATAACTTCCCTTCACTTGATGTATTGAAGGTCAAAAATGTCCAATGGATCAGGTATTCACAACAACTACCTGAAGTCTCAGCCCTGAGGATTTATGGGTGCTTCATGGGAAACCATTGTAAAAGACAGTTGTAACTATGGACTGCATATGATAAGTGAATAAGGTGTTAGCATACAGAGTTAGCATCTCTTTATAGCCTTAGCCTGCAATGAGAGGGCAAAGAAGTAGAGGAGCATGTTGTTCTCCGTACCTGGGGGTACACGCTGACCTTCTTTGACTTCTTTGTCTTCATATTGGTTAAAATACTGACTTATCTCTTACATGCAGGATTATGTTTTCTTTTATTCCAAATCTGGGACAGAAGGAAATACTGTAGCTGTGTGTAAGCACAAATGTTGAACTAAAGGTTAGGAAACAATAGAGAGTTGCTTTTCTAGGTTAGGAAATGTAACTGACACCCAACTTTGAAACTGAGTCTGTTTGCCTTTACAAGGTATTTTCTAATTGTTGTTCAGTATGGTAATACTGCGGTTGACGTGTTTTGTTTGTTCTTGCAGGTGACTCTGCTGGACAGACATGGAAACACATGTTGTCCACACAGGACACCGAGAGAGAGGAGGGTGTTGTTCTTAGTGAGTGTCGTGTCTGTGGGCCTGCTGGTGTCTCTCATCACCACCGCTGTCTTCTACAAACAGAGTGAGTCTGTGTTTAACACTTCCTGTCACTTTGACCAGGTAACTCGCTGAAACAAAGACGTGAACAGCATTAACATGAGTAAAAGAATGAGACGAGATGATTAATCACTGCCTTGTTCACGTGGTCAGACCACTGCAGTCTGTAAGGTAGGAAGGGAGGAAGGAAGAAAGAAAGAAAGAAAGGGAAGAAGAAAAAGGGAAAAGAATGAAGGAAGGAAAAAGGAAGAACGAGAAGAGAGAAAGAAAAGAGTGAAGGAATGAGGAAAGGTAAACGGAAGGAGGATGTTGAACAATATCACTGGCGATATACTGTCCCTGAAGTTCTTTTAGCTGTAAAAATAGATATGGAAAAACGTTGGACCGGGGCAGACATTTCATAGAGACTAATTTTTTTTTTTCTTCGGACATTACAGCCACACCCTCAGAGTGGCGCCTAAAAGATCTTAATATTTGTCTCCTGAGCTTTGGGTCTATAGAAAAGCAGGGATGAGGGCTAACCATTAGCTATTCTGCTTCCTTAAGCTTACCATGGGAAACGTAATGCCACTTCCTCCCATTCAAGATGCAAAACATTCAAATAATAAAGAGGAACGCTGACAAAATCCCCTCAGGCCATGCTGCCTGTAACTTAGTCACAGTCTTTGTGTCTTTGTCTCCAGCCCCTTATATGGTCAGATAGTGAAAGTCTTTTACAGTAAGTAAAGAAGTGACAGAGTTGTTCCATTAAGTTAGACTGTGTCTCTGTGACACTCGAGATTTCCTAAAGCTCTTCCTGTTACAGAACTTCTCATGTCAAAGGCCTTGTGTGTCACCTCTGAAAATCTTTTTTCCAGACAGCTCCAAGGTCCTTTATTAATGTCCTTTCTCAGGATGAGTTAAAACTTCAGGAACCACATGTGAACACTTGAACACAGGAACACTGACTCGTAGTCGGTTTGATTCTCACTAACTCGTTTCTGTTAATCTCAATGGTTTTACCAATGTTATTTAGGCAGGGTATTTTCACCGCAAACCAACTTCTGGCACTGTACCAGTCTAGCCCACAGATGCATAAATCCTCGAATCCTCGGATCTCAGATCCGATGACGTAGATTTGTTGTAAACATTAACCTTTTTTTGTCTGTGTCCTGCTGTAGCTCATCCTGGCTTGTGTCTAACAGAGACATGCGTCACAGTGGCCAGTTCAGTCATGGAAGCCCTGGACCGATCCATTGATCCGTGTCACGACTTCTATAACTTTGCCTGTGGGGGTTGGTTGAAAAAGAACCCCATCCCAGATGGAAAATCTCGCTGGGACGCGTTTTCAAATATCTGGGAGCACAACACGATTGAAATGAAGCATTTATTAGGTGAGGTCTTTAATCTGAGTTGGGCCCTGTGTCCTCAACTGACATTGCTCGAAGAAAAAGCGTCATTTTTACCCTTTATTTGTGTTGTTTTTAGAGAACACAACAATGAAGGGTCTGAGTAATGCAGAGGAAAAGGCCCAGCGATATTATGAGGCCTGCATGAATGAGGCCATGATTGAGAAACTAGGAGCCAAACCGCTACAGGAGCTGATCAGCCAGGTGTGATTTGACCTAGCTAATGCTTTCAGTAGTCGATTTTAGTTTTTGTAACTTTAAGTTCTTTTAATTCACTCTAATCCTGGTTCTGTCTTAGATCGGAGGATGGGCTCTGACTGAACCCTGGGACAAGAACAACTTTCAGGAGGTTTTACGCAAAGTGTCGGCAAATTATCGCACCTCACCTTTCTTCACCGTGTTTGTCAATGCTGACTCGAAAAACTCCAACAGTAACGTCATCCAGGTGAGAGTCTTCAGGGATGTGTGCGTAGAGACCATTCGTACAAGGCTGCACAACCCTTGGTACTGTCATTACTGTGTATGAGGACAGGACTTTTGTTTGTTGAACTGAGAGCTGATTTACACTGTTTAAAAAACAGCCTAAACTTGTTTTTTAGATACATATGAATGTTTTTGCCGTGCATTCACTACTGGGTCGAATGATTGTGATGTACATGGTTTTCTTATCACATCAAGCTCTACATGGCTGCATTTTGTATATGTATGCATGAATATATATATATAAATATATAAACGGTGTATTATTCCTGAATACAGGTTGACCAGGCCAGCCTGGGACTACCATCAAGGGATTACTACCTCAACAAAACGGCAAATGAAAAGGTAGAGTGAACAAGTTTACTTATTCAAACCAGCTCCACAGAGCATGTGTACTGAATAAACTAATCTAGATTTATGGGCTTTCTGTAAAAATGACATTTTCCCAATGGCTGTGGTCCAGTCAGCGAAAGTTAAGATTTCAGCTTTAGGCCAAAGAGAACTCCACAGTTGTGTATTTTCATAGTGTGGTATTACTCTTTCAACTCATTATTGCTAACAAAACTCTGCTTATTTTTCCACTCACCTCACCTACACCCTGCTGTTGGTTGTGTTTGGTTATTGCAGTATCTATCGGCGTACCTCAGCTTCCTAACCGAGCTAGGAGTTCTGCTGGGCGGTTCTAAGGAGACGTCCCAGACACTGATGGAGGAGATTGTGGACTTTGAAACCACTCTGGCTAACATCACAGTTCCTCAGGAGGAGAGGCGGGACGAAGAGCTCATCTACAATAAGATGGAGGCCAAGGACCTGAAAGTGAGTGACTGTGTTTCAGCTTAAGAACATTTTTTCACGTTATTACCCACAGTGACTTCTAGAGGTCAATAAGTGCATTGCAACCAGTACATGTTCCATGTTCCGAGTGCATATGTGGAACTGTAAGAAAGCATTACAAACACTGTGCAGTGTTTGTTATGCTTTCACCCAAATTCCTTTTGTTTCTGTGTTGTGTCTCTGCCTCAGTCTCTGGCTCCTGCAGTGGACTGGATGCCATACCTTACAGAAGTGTTTGCCCCGGTGCAGCTGAACGACTCAGAGCCAGTGGTTGTTTATGCCAAAGAATACCTCCAGAAAGTGTCTGAGCTCATAACCAAAACAAATAAAAGGTCAGATTCTGGACTGAGCCTAATGGATTTTCCATTTGCATGGTTTTCAGAAGGCTGGATTTCTCCTTGAATTAATGAACTAATTATTGCATTCATATAAGAAACAACAGCAAAATTAAAAGAGACTATGAACAATAACCCTAACACCATTCCTTCTTTTGCAGCTTACTCAACAATTACATGATAATGAAGGTTGTGAGGAAGATGGTTTCTGTTTTGGACCAAAGGTTCCAGGATGCTGAGCAGCGATTCCTTGAGACCATGTATGGAACCAAAAAGGTAAGGACTGCAGATTTTGTTTAGTATTTCAGACCAACAACAATGCTGCTGTAGGGTGTATTTTCACATGTCTAACACACACTGACAGAGGAAATGACCTTTAGCCAAACAGCTGAGCTGAGACAGGCTTGTTGCGTAAACTCACACTCCCATTGAAACTTAACTGATTTATTTTTACTGCACTTGGAGGAAATGTAGGGCTGAGAAAGCTTAATTTTTAAAGAGAAATTTTATTTTCCCCTTCCCCCGAGACCACACTTAAGAATTGTATATAATCAATGCCTGTGTTAACGATGAATTGACGTCTCGCCATGTACTCATTAAAGTTCATATAGACTTCATTTATTTTATTGGCATAAGAAGTTCAGTAGGAAATGTGCCTAACACAGCAACTTAATTCCTAGAAACACATGACTTTTTTATTGTACATAATAAAAATAGGTTAGGAGTATATTAATAGAGCTAACAGCCTCTAGTTGTAATTCGACACTAGGATTATTTAAGACCATTTTACACAGTTTTACATTTTTGTGGTTATCGGTCTGTGCCTGACGAAATACTGTGTATTGTGTATATGCAGTATTTATACACATCATAGAAAGTGTAAACACCATGGGCCTCTGAACCAATGAACCTCTTTATTCTGTAAAATCTACATTTGAATTCTGCATAAAGTTTTTTCCTACCTCTCACTTAAGAACAACAGTTCCCTTTGACTCCTCAAGTCGCTACACCTCTTATCTGAGACGGATCCTGTTTCCTCTGCCTTGTTTTCCACTGGGGTCAAGCTGTAATAACAATTCCCTAAAACTTTCTGCGGGTCTCCCTGCACATCTGTTTTTTCTGAGAGGCTGGTTATCGTCTCCTTTTCCATCTGCGCCCTTTGTGCCCAAGTGGAATAAAACAAAATTTCCTTGCTCAGAACCCTCCTCATTTCCTCCGCTCGACCTTGGTACTTTTTATCTTGGTGTACACTCGCCTCAGTTTGTCCTTGTCCTTCCTTTTACTGATTATACTTTTGTCACATAGGGACATTTTAAGCCCCAGTAAATAGTGGAATGTGCATATATTTGGTAGTAGAAGGAGACAAGATGTTTAGTGTGCGAGCCATGGCTTGGTGGTTAAAGATGGGGCTTTTATATGTTGGGTTGCCAAAAACAAACGTATTTTTATATCACCAATAGTTTGGTCAGAGGTTTTGTCACTGCACACAGCAAAATGTGACCTCTGCAACTCACCAGTTCACCCCATTTTTGGTTTTAGATTCATTTCTTGTTAACTTCTTGATAAACTATGTAAAGATGGCGCTACGTCTCTTCTTTAGTTCAATTCCTAATCTGGTAAAATGATAAAATTCTAATTCCAATCATTTAATTTATATGAAAAAACACAGTAGTGGTATAGAGAGCCTTCCATCAATTTTCATTTCATTGTCTAGTGTGTAGTGTTCTGTCAGCACAATGGGCCAAAAATAGAAACAGACACTTGAACAAGTTTCTTCTGCATAAACATCTTCATCTGTTCTACAGCATGTAGAACAGAATGTGTGTTTTGTCAAGTGTTTGATCACATGTTTCTGTGGATGTATGCTGACACTGCTGCCACTCACACAACCTGATGTTGAATAGCAAGGATGAGTTGATAATGTACAAATGTTGTTGTTTTTCTGCAGAGCTGCACTCCCCGCTGGAAGCTGTGTGTCAGTGACACCGACAGCGCCCTGGGCTTTGCTCTGGGAGCTCTGTTTGTCAAAACCACGTTCGCTGAAGACAGCAAGGCCAAGGTGATATTTTATAAACGACTTTAAAATAAAATTTAAAAAATTGCTCCTGCTGTTTGAGTTGGCACTGATGTGACTCTTGCGTCTCTTTGGTTCACCAGGTTGAAGACATGGTGGCGGAAGTACAATCGGCGTTTGAGGACGGCCTGAAAGACATCAGCTGGATGGACCAGGAAACAAAAAGAGCAGCTAAAGAAAAGGTGGGAGAAAATGCTGTTGAGGGAAAAAAAAAGATTGAAAAATCCTTCAACTTTTTGCCATACAAGCTCATAAGATAAATTTATAATGAGATTTCCATCATTTCTGGAACATCATTAGTTTTTGTGCAGCTTATGTTAATAATGTCAGCTCAGCACAGTGCGTGGATTTTTGAAGCAGCAACTATTTAGCTGTTTTTTTAGACTTCAGTCATTTGGAGACACAACAGTTCTCTCTGCAGTCAGAAGTTAAAAGGTATGTAACGCTAAACTGTTGGTTGCTCCATCAGTGTGTGTGTGTTTGTGTGCGAGTCCCACCTTGTGAAGACATTGTTCAGTACCTCACTAGAGGAGGGTATTTTGAGGTTTAAGACTGAGTTTAGAGTTAGGATCAGGTATAGGTCCAGGTCAAGGTTAGAGTAAGAATTAAAACAGATATTTGAAATGGTTAATGTTAGAGTGAGGGGTTAGGGAATGTATGATGTCTATGTGAAGTCTTCACAACTCACGTAAATCTGACTGTGTGTGTGTATTCCCCTGTTTAAAGTGAAGCAGGCTCCACAGTAATGATGAGCTTGTACACTAATCTCTGATAGTGTTGTCTTTGGACTGTGTGTTCAGTATCAAGTGTCTGTTTTTATTCCTCAGTCAGTCTTGAGAGACATTTCCTTTTATTTGTGTAATCTTCAGTTACATTGTCTGTTGGTGCAGGCACTTTCACAGAGTACAGAGTGTGTACAGAGAAGTGAGCACATCATTATAGACTTCAGCACAAACTAATGTGCACTGGTCTGTCGTCATCAGTTATGTACTGACTTAGTTCTTTGTACCTGCCTCTGCACTGTGACCCTGAAACTAATGTCCATTCTAAAGTTATTAAGGTTTTAACTAGAGTTTAACAGAAAAACATTATTGAGATACAAATTCAAAGTTTGTCTTTATATTATTTCTCATTTTGTTTTTTAAAACATTGGTAAAAGTGTTCGATTGGAACACTAGACTAAACTACTGTGGAGGACGTTATTGGTTTTCATTCATTCCACTCATTTTACACAGTAAAATAAACAACCGTTCAGGTTAAATCATGTCTTGGAGGCCCCGTGGCGTGATTTAACCTAAACAGTTGTTACAGAGTCCATGTAACCTGATCCTATAATCTACATGCCTTGAGGACACTGCAAGGAAGCTGAGGTACCTAAATAAGAACTTTTTTGTAGCCTAACTGAAATTAGATCAATTCTAATTACAGTTGCATTTATTGTTTACCCTTTTTTAATCAGCTGTCTTCTTGTGACAACAACTAAACCATAAACAACCTGATATTTCATAGAAAAGTTGCAGGCTTTTCTGTCTGTCTTTTCTGTTTGAGACCCTAGATACCAGGCATCTGCTCTTTAATCAACCAACCAAAAAAAAAAAAAGAAAAACATCAAAGGAGCATTAGTTGACCCTGAGGTGACCACCTACTGTTACTATATGGGAAATACCAGTCTGTGGGCTCCAGTGGCCAAAGTGTAGGAGGACACAGGGAGAGCAGAGGGAATAGCCTCAGGAAACAGAAACAATTCCTGAGAACTTCTAATCCCTCCTGTGCTCCTTTGTGCCAGTGGAGGCCATTGAGTTTCTTACTGGTTTATGGAGACGGTCTTTCAAACCACACCTCTCGTCCCTCAAACCTTGCCAGGGTGTCTGTGGGAAACAAAGATCTCCATCCTGCTGACAAAGCTTAAATTTCCCACAGAGACTCTCCTGGCTTTCTCCACATCTTCTCTGTCTGTCCACACAGGAACTTCCTGCGGCGAGGCACTATACAAGAATGCACCCAGGTGTCAGCGATAACCTGCAGGGTCACTGTTTGTGATTTTTGTTACAAACTTGGCTTAATGTCATGAATCAGAAGCAAATTGATCTTTCCGTCTATTTAATTCCTCCATCCACTGGTGATAGTGTTTGTTTATACAAAGATAATGACTATAAAGGTCGTTGGAATTTGATCCCAGTCCATGTCTGTGGAGTTCTGATGGCGCTTATGAATGCAGCACTGCCACCTGCTGTGGAAATGCGTTTTTTACAATGACAAATTTTGTCTCCAACAGGCAGACACCATATACAACATGGTGGGATATCCTGACTTCATCATGAACGCCACCAAGCTGGACAAAGTGTTCAGTGATGTAGGTAAACATGGAACCAAACGCTTTCTACAACTCACAAAATCGACCTTCTATTAACACCTGAATCTTTTTCGTTTCTTTCTTTTTTTATAAAGTTTGAAGTAGTGTCAGAATTCTACTTCCAAAATGTCATGCAGTATTACAACTTCTCCTCCCGAGTGACAGCAGACCAGCTGAGAAAAACTCCCAACAGAAATCAGTGAGTTTGAGCAATGTGCTCAAAAACACACACACGCTGGATCTTTTTCTACACTGTAGTTATAGTTATAGAAAAGATAGATATTTTTAAATACACTGGAAATTAAGCTGCACTGATAGTGTGTGTGTGTGTTTGCAGGTGGAGCATGACTCCACAGACTGCAAATGCGTATTATAGCCCCACCAAGAACGAGATGGTTCTGCCTGCAGGAATCCTTAAGGCTCCGTTCTACAGACAGTCGACCTTAAAGTACGCTGCCCTACGTTAATGTTTACTCAGTAGTTGTTTTTTAACTATAAATCAGTGAAGTTGAACTACTAAAGACCTTATCTTTGGTCCTGCAGAGCTCTTAACTTTGGGGGTATTGGGGTTGTCATGGGACACGAGTTGACGCATGCGTTTGACGACCAAGGTTAGTACGTTTTTTTATTTTTGAAACATTCATTTTTATAAATATTTTATGCCAAACTAGAAAAAATAAGAACTGTAAATAGAAGGTAACCAGCATATTGTCCAAACAGGGAGGGAGTTTGACAAAGATGGAAACATGCATCCCTGGTGGAAGAACTCCTCTGTGGAGGCCTTCAAGAAGCAGACTCAGTGCATGGTGGATCAGTACAGTAACTACACCATCAACAAGGAACCACTGAATGGAAAACAAACTCTGGGGGAGAACATCGCAGACAACGGTGGACTCAAAGCCGCCTTTAAGGTATGACTGCAGGAAATGTGGCGTCCTGTCAAGTAATACTGTCAGTGAGTTCATAAAATTGTCAGACAGATGTCAGCGTTTCACTAGTTTGTTTGCCGAGACGGTGGTTGTTTGTCTTAGCTATTGGTCTGTGTTGGAAAATACAGATTGTCTGCTCTGCAGTGAAGCTGGAAATGGCAACAGGCGATTAAGAGCAGCCTCTAGTTACTTCTTGACAGTCGCACATTCTTTCCATGTAATGAAAGGTCACGGGCCATAGAGTAAATGTGCAGACCATATGAAAGTGACAATACTTGTAAAGTGGCAAAGGACCAGCAGCAGATATTTTTAATGTTTCCTCTGGTCCGTATGACTTTTACTTTGTAATGTAAATGTGTGTAATGTGATCCTTTGCTTTCCTGGAAGGCTTATATGAGCTGGATCAAGAAGAATGGTGAGGAGGCCTCGCTGCCTGCACTGGGGATGACCAACCATCAACTCTTTTTTGTTGGATTTGCACAGGTTTGTATTAGTCACAGGAAATACATTAGTTTTGTTCACCATTCTTAAAAAAACATTTGACTGATTTTCTTGCAGTCAGTTTCTTTAGATCATCTTTTTGTCACTTTTTGATGTAAAATGTTATATTTAGAATTATTTATTTTCATATGTAGCATTAAAATCCTGAAAAATACTTTTTTAAATTTAAATTTTAAAAATTTGATTATTTTGTCTTGTTATTTATGGAAAATATATAATGAATCATTCAATATATACAGTACATACATATATATTTATATATATACATTACTTTTTTTTCCTGAAGGGAACTACTGAGAGATTAATACAGTTCTATCTATCTATCTACACACACAGTAAATGCATTTGTCTGTAAATCGTCCTTGCTCAGCATATTTGCATGAACTTGTAATAACATAGTGTCTGTTCAACTCTTTTGCAGGTGTGGTGCGCGGTCAGGACACCAGAGAGTTCACATGAGGGAATAATGACAGATCCTCACAGTCCATCAAGATTCCGAGTCATTGGCACCATCTCTAATTCACGTGAATTCTCAAAGCACTTTGGCTGCAAAGCGGACGCTCCCATGAACCCTAAGCAGAAGTGTGAGCTGTGGTGATACCTCACTTACTCGCTGCTGTTTTATTTAATGAAACATGTTAAAGGAAAATTGTGTTTTAAAGAGATCTAACAGAATTCTGTCTGGAAGAGACAGAAGAAATGAGAGACATTGAGAAACTCCTCAAATTCCTTGTGCCTGGAGCCCCATCATGCTTTTTATCAGGACAAAATGTCCCTGCTTCAGAATGGAGGTTTGCAATCTTCATTACTTTGCCACGAAGACAAGTAAAAATGTTCCCCCATATCTGTAGCTATGAATGTGATTTTAGAACACTGGAAACTCTGTATATTATTTTTTTTTTTAAACCTAAGGAAATCAGTGTCTGACGTGTTTGTTTGTCACTTGTTGACAGACAAAATGACAATCAAGTCTTCAGTTTACTTTAATCTGCTCTTATAAATGTTTACTTTATGGTTACACTTTTGTTGAAGTGAAGCAGCAAACACTTTTAGGTTTTTATTATATTAACGACAGCAATGTTTGTCCTAAGTATAAATCACATAAGGTTTTGTTCACAGTTTGTAACATTGGCCAGGGTTGTATCTAAAGAGATTTCTGAACTTTTAATGGAGGCAAAGCCAAATCTCTTTTTATGACTGAAACAATATTTTGTATAATAAAACCAGTTGATTACATCTTTGTCTTTGGTCTAGTTTGTACATATCTTTAAAAAAATCAGACAGAGTTGATGATAATATGGTCAAAATTGAAAATACAGTTTTAGTTTAAATGTATACTCTCTACACTCTGTAAACACAAACAAACACACCACAGAAGCTGGAAATTTTATTATTTAACTCAATGTATTCTGCTATAAAAATGTGTATTTCCACAAATTATTTCACAATGTCTTCTAAGAAATAAAAACAGTTTACAAATGGCAAATGGTCTGACTAAACATACGTAGACAAACCTGCAGCTGCAAACCGGCTAAAAGACCAATAGATGGCGCCAAATGTTTGTAATCTTTCAATCAGCTTGTGCCGAGTGCGAACCATTAAATAAATCATGAAAAATAATAAAACCAAAGAATGTGTTGCCGTTTGATCAGGCGTAAGTGCATCTTCTATTACTGGATTAATATTATTTTGTTGTCGGTTAGTATTGATATTTACTTTTGGCCTTAATGTTAATAAAAATAATGTCTTGTACTGTTTAAATTGTGATTAATATATATTTATATTTTTTATATTGTCATCATTATAATCATTGTTTTTATTGACGTTGACCAAGCTTTCATGGTTTGGTTATTAGATTCGGTTTGATTGACCATGAGTTGATGAGTTGATCAGCCGAGTGATTCCGTAAGTCGCCGAGAATTGCCGAATCATCTGTCCTGCCCGGACTGCTGGAAGCGGCCGCAACGCCATGTTGGCGAAGTCTCTCATCTCTGTGAGAAAAAAATGATGGGAAACATACTTGTCGAGAAGAAAAGGTAGATCGCCCAAGGAGGCAGAAGATTGTGGCGACTGTTTTTTTCAAGAAACGAACCGAGCCGGATCCGCGGAGGCTCCGGACGGGTGAGGGAGGCCGAAACCTCCCACCGTCCCTATGAATAGCACCGCTGATCCGAACAGCGACTTTCCATGAGAAAGAGACGTTTGTGTTGCTATTCGAGCTTCGTTATCCTACTTCGTTAAAGGGATTTGGGGCCTGCTTTAAGAAATTGCTACGCTTGCTTGTTGTGTGCAAGCTGAGCCTTGTTTATATCAGTATTTATTAAGCTCTTGTTTTTATTTGTGGATTATTTCTTTGCGATGAGTTTGCCACCGAAAGTGGTCCCGAAACAACCCGCTGTCGCAGTGAGCGGACCTGGAAGTGGCCACTCTCCGTCAAGCCAACTGCGGGCTACCGTGACCTCCGTGTCGCTGCCGCCGGGAGCCCCAACAGCTCCTCAGCCCGGTGCCGTGCCGCCGCAACAGTATCCTTTTCACATCCGTTTCACCACATTGTTGTTTTGTGTAAAAGTTTCACTCTTTTATTTGATTAGCACACAGTCGCAGTTTATTTGGTGATTGATATCGCAGGTTGGATTGGATGATGGTTGGGTTTGGGGGCAGCTGGGATGGGAGGGGACAATCGGCTAACTGTGCTAACAGTAGCTGCCGAAGCCGGCTGTCAAAGATAAGTCAGTATATCTTTGCTCTTTTGCTTCTTGACACTGTAACTACTCCTTCCGTGAGGATTTTTTTACTTAAACACGAGTGTAATTTTAGCACCGTTGCTTTCAAAATTAATAATACACGTAGTAGCAAATGTTATCACCCATCACCAGTGAGCTATCGGGCTTTCCACACCATTTACCGGCTTTGTTCAGTGATCGCAGTTTTGCTGTGAAGGCACATTAGCAGCTCCACTGTAGCAAGTAGCTGAAAAACAGTTACCTCATTTGACGTACAATTGCAATGAACTTAACTTGCTTTTATGGGGCTAATGCTAAGCTGTTAAAGGCCCGGTCAGTAACACAAGGTATTTGTGTGCACCTACACAGGCCTATCAATCCCTGGCCCGGTGAGCTCTCTCTGGCCCACCTAGCAATAGCACGCATACTATAGCAACAAGAAGGCGGTTGGTCATGTTTATGAATGCCTCTGCAGCATTGATGTCAAAGCTAAGGCATATGGGCCATATCTGAAACGCCATCTTTACATCATTTAGGGCCAATACTGTGGTTTTATAGAAGGAAGATTTTCAAAATGGGAACAGTGAAAAATGACAAAATGTATTGTTTGTATAAATGTAGTATAAATTTTTTCCCCTTAGTTAATCATGGCACTGAAGTGGCTGACAAGCTTTTGTTTATGTTATGATGTAAAAGCAGAGTGTAGAAGCTAATGCGTTGGATATCACCCTTGAATTTTTACATTCTTTTTGAAACGTATTTAATACCAACCATTTAATAGCTTTTATCTCAATCATCTCATATACCATTTATATAACCATTTCTCTCAAACCTTGCTCCACGAAGGCAAATCAGGCATTAACAACCCATCAGAGTTGATATATTTTTACCCACTAATTTCATTCTATTCTTTTGCTTAAGCAAAATGCAAATATTATGTTCTAAAATGATGGGAAAGAAAAAATAGTTTTGTTTGGCTAATTCTAACAAATTTCTGTGCTAATGTTACGTTATCTTTTGGACAATTCAAACCCTTTTTAGCTAACTTTTAGTTATTTTTGATAACTTTGACCCTGTTTTTGATTATTTGTGGCCAACTATAACCTATATAATTTGGATTAATGTCAATTTAGCAATCATGCTTGAAACCAAGCTAACCAAGCACCAGCTAGTAGACGTATTGAGAATGGGATTTAGTCTCATACCATGAATTGTTTAAAAATGGTCACCTCCAACATTCCTTTCAGCCTTTACTGCCCTGGCTTGATCTAATCATTGCCCCCAGTGTATCAACTTACCTTTAAGTTTATTCAGAGATAGCCCAGTAATACTCTACCCTACTTTTTGTGTAATGTAGTCACCGGTTATGTCACCTAGCTCCTGTTTTATTTACAACAAGGTGGCAGTGGTGTAAGGAAGAGGATTAGGTAACTTGTATCTGTCAGCGGCAGAGAGATGTATCTGACAGCCTCTGTTGTGGCTTTGCTTTTAGGGTGTGATGTCTCAACCTGATTTCCTGACACCCATGTTCACAGCCACCCTGTGTTCCTGACATCTCCAAGGGGCAGTAACTGCTCATGACAGGTGGAAACATGAATCCCTCCTGTTGCTTGCAGTGTATTGTGATAATTTCTGGGCAGGGGTTGTCTGTGAGTTGGATGAATGGGGATAATAGCCACCTTATTTGCAATAACATGTCTTCCTCTCACTCTCCAGGTTGGTGTTTAATTTGTTTAACCTTATAATAAGTATATTAAGTTTCCCTGCCAGTTGAGTGCATATTTACTACCACTGTATTTAATCATGGAATGTCGGGTGACATGGTAAATAATTCACCTAATTAGGAAACATGACACTTCCTGGGTGTAAATATTTATGTAGCTGTTTTGCACGTATAAAGTGCTAATAAAAGTGCTTTCATTACTTTTGTTGAACCACAAATGTGATTCTGTGTAATGTAGGCCGGTGGAAAACAAGTCTCTAGGTTAGTAGGTAATGCCACTCTCTGAATTTTCTTTTTTCCAAATGTTGTTTGGATGTCTGGGGGTAAATCCTGTAGGTGGCAAATATGCAACTCCGCAGATGCAGTGCTGTTGTTAAAACCAAGTTTGTGTGTTTTGTGGTACGACCAGACTAGCTTGGCTAAAATTTGATAAAATGTCTTTAGTGTCGCACTTTTTCCTAATAATTGTTAAAGGCAAAAATTAAGTTGAAACGTTTTCATATTTGCTGTTGTTAAATGAGTAAAGCTCCATATATCACAGGACGCTCAGAAGAAGAGTGCAATAGTTTTGGTTTGTCTATTGTGATTTTTTTTTTTTATGCCCTATACGTCCTTTCTACTTAGATTAGATTGATGGAAATATTAAACTTGGGTCAGAGTGCCTAACTCAGGAAGGGGTTCTTTCAGATTCTCTCATTAAAACCTTGTCACAGGGAGTGATAAGGAATTAGCTGAAACATATTAACAAAATATATTTACAAACTTTGTGCCACTTTGGAGGGTTGCTAATACAGTACCTTGACCAATATTGTATATGTACTTATTTTACCATCTCCGTGCATCACTTATTTACAACTCCATAACTATGTCAGACACTTTTCAAAATAAAAGCTCGTATTAAAATGAGAATGAAAAAATTTCAAACTTCATGGTACTTCACTGCTGCTTGGTGTTTGTGCTCTAGGTTTATTGGCTTTAAATTGCTTGTGCAGCTCTTTATTGTGGTGCAGCAGGTGATAGTGGTTGATGGTGCTATCTCTAGATGTTGCTCTCCAGCCTCTCGTATAAACGTATTTACTGTTTTGACTACCATTCCTGTGGATCTGGGTGTCATCTGGTTGGCTAAGCGATTCTCATCTGATTGACTAAAACACATCATAACGGTGATGAAATTACGATGAATTGTGCAGGCCTAATGATGGCTCTACCAAAGGATTTTCATGAATTAAATCATGATAGTGATGTTGCATTAAAGGGTGTTTTAGTCTGTATTTTAGTATAACAATGATGCAGAGAAAATTGGATGAAGTCCAATTTCCACAGTCATCTGTTTCAGTATGTGGAGATTTAGGAGAGAGATTAAATTTCATAAACATCAAATGACTCCATTAAGATGAAAAACTGTTTTCCTTTGTCTGGGAAGTGTCCTAGCGTCACCTTGATCCTCCCTGAACCTCCCTTTGTTGACTTCTGCTGCTCTGCTACTGCACAATATTTCATTTTCATGCCCATGTGACAAAGGAGCATCTGAGTGTCACCACGTCTGTGACCTCACATCGGAGGTCAGAGAACACAGCAGGAAATTTTTGTTTTCTCGCTCTCTTGTTGGATGGGAATGCCCATACATTTGGATATGTAGTCTGGGTATTTGTGTACTCCCAGGATTCACAGGGGTCCAGAGGCAGGATTGCAAGCCAGGCCATGTGTGCAGAACATGATGAGTGTGTGTGTGTGGGGGGGAGGTGGGGGGGCAAGTTTGTTTCTGTTCCTGGTTGCTAGAGAAACACCCAGCGCATGCGTCTGCTGTTGCACTTGCCAGACAATGGCACTGCTGCTTAACATTCAGAGCGAGAGGCCAAGGTGGCGCTTCCCACCATCTGCCAACAAAGGCCCAGGTCACCCGACTTGCTTTAGCACTCCCTTTTTTCCTTCCTTCCCCCCCAAGGTTTACCTCATCCAACTGCTGGTCCAGCTGACAAAACTAAGTCTTTATTTATTTACCATGCCCCCCCCCACCCCCCCAATCACCCTGTCCGAACTCCCAGTTTTCATGGTACAGTATTTTCACTACACATCATCTCCATTTGTGTTTTCTTAGCCTTTTCTCTTATATTTATCTATCATCTCTTATACTGGATGAACAAAGGAAAACCAGCTTTTGCTTTATGTAAACAGTACAGCAGTCCTGTTTAAACCTGTGCACCAGGAAGCCTTCAGAATCAGCCTCTGCAAGTTTGAAGTAGCAGTGGCTACATCACGATTGTCCCCAGCTGGTTACACTGACTACCCAGTAGTTCTATATTTTTGGACAGGTGTGTGCAGCCTGTATGACTAGATATTCTCATGAGCATACTTGGGGTAGGGTGTTATAAATAAACTGCTGAGTAGTTGTGAGCCAGCATGCAGGACTGTTTTTTTGTTTTTTTTTCCTAGAGTGGGAGTGGCCTTCTGGAGACATCCCTTATACTTTACTGTCACATCCTTTGTGTAAACAGAAAATTAACACAAGGTTTGGACATTTATGCATTTTTTAAATGGTTTTTATCAACATATATATGTACAGTACAATTAGGGATGCATAATATAGTTTTTTCTTAAGTTAAGTGATAACTATCTGTAATGTGTGCTGTGGCTCATTACCATTTAGAGTTGAAGACACAGACACTGGCTGTTCAGGGCTGTAAAACAGGTGTGTGAAGAATCCAGCTGTGCTTCATCCTTTGTTTTTCCATTCAAAGTGTGTTACTAACATTTCATCGAGAACCATGATAACTTGCCTATAGGTAGCAAGGTCTCTTTAAATCATCTACCTTATTCTGACTCAAATAAAGGTGGGCAACAAGTGGGCAAGTCACTGGGCGTATGAGTGAAAGGCCAGTAGTCCAGCAGGGGGGAGGGAGAGATTGTGTCTGCACCAGCTGGGCCGTCTCCACTCACTTCCTGTGCCTCAATTCTGAACCCTGTGGTCTGTGGTTTCCAGGTGGAATGTCCAACACTAATGAAGTCCCTTAGCATTTCACATGTATGGCTTTTGTTAGTGTCAAGAAGTATCGTTACTATGCTTGAATACAAGCAGAACTCCTAGTTTTGTGCGAACTTGGTCTATAGAGCAGCTCAGTCAGCAAAAAAAAAAACTTTGGATGTTAACGTTTCCTGCAACACAACTGATTTAGTACTTTGTTTATTATTAGCAGATTAAAGTTTAGTGACCCGTGTTGTTACCCTTATCCTGACCTACTGCTTGTTAGACTGCATCCCATCCTCCCTTTTCTGTCCCTCTCACTCACTCTGTTCTTTAATGTCCTTACAGTAAGGCTGACGATGAGAAAGCAACGACTTTTTCCTCTCATATGTGACTCACAGCTGACAATGGCAGAGTCAGTGACCCCAGGAGTACTGGGTAAAGATATTATATGATCTCCTTCCTCGTTAGGAGTATTTAACCATACATTTCTGGTGTAACTTTGTCTGGTGAGATAGTACAGCTATATTTTCCGCCCCACTAACACACTATAACAGCAGTGTCCCTGCTCTAAGACCTTCCAGTTGACCTTGTGCGCACCGTCTCTTCTGAAACATAAAATGAATGGAGATCATACCGAGGTTTAAGTCTAATTAGTGCATTCAGCCACTCTTATGGTTGTACCAAATGCATGCAGTAAAAGAGTCCCACTGTACCTGCGACTATCTAGTATTCTAGACGCATATTATATTTTGCCTCAAGAAATCCTGTTTCATAAACATGGGTGTCCATTAACTGATGTATCTAATACTTTTAATGGTTCTTTATGAACGTGATTATTAAAATGTAACTTTTCTGTTGGCTGACATTTTAAGTAATATTTTTTAGGTCTTTGTGAGTGGCCTTGAATTATTTTTATTGGCCAAGAAAGAAAACTGAATGCAATACATTTTTACAAAAGCACAAACAAACGCATACTTTCCATTACAATTAGTATTTTAGTTTGTTTTCATGTTGCACAAATGAAGACATTTTTTGTTTCATTGTTTTATTAAAACAGTGATTACTGAACACCAGTCAATGAAAATGTCTATTTAAAGTCATTATTGTTATACTTCCTGTGTTTTCTTTTTCTACAAGCCTCTAGTCTGTGTCTGCTGTCAGCTAGTTTGGATCTGATACCGCTTTTGTTGTTGTGTTTATGATTTCCCACAAAGGCACTGGCGCCCCCTGGGGACACATGGCTTATAGTGTGACAAACCACTGGCATATAGTAAAATAGTAAAAAGGTGCATCTTGTTCTGTAGTATGTACAGTATCTTTTGTACTATATCTGAAGATTCTTCAATGCTTGGACAGGAATGGTACAGCAAATGTCTTTTAACAAATCATTTGATTTTCAGCATTAAAAAAAATACAATTTTGTAATTATTTTGTAAAGTCCGATCATATACAGTAAACATTACCTAAGATAACATTAACTAAAATAAGGCCACAACAGCTGTGTAGCCATAATAAAACCTATCACTAAAGCTAATCAAAGAAGAAGGCAACAGTTTATCAGGGCCTCGAACGGTCGCAGCAGTGAATTTGGGTCGTGTGTTCTAGAGTGTACAGATTTACCTCGTTCCAGAATAAGGAGTATCATGAGAAAGGACGATAAAATGACAGTGCATGATTGTTCGCGCCTAAGCTAAAACCACACGGGTACAGTTGCTGTTCAATCTGTGGTTATCAACAATCAACAATCTGTGGTTGATAGGGTGTACGTACAGCAAAGTTGTGTTCCCTCGTAAAAAAGACAGCTGACTCCATCAAAGTATATGAATGACCACGGCTTTTCATTTACGGGCTTTTTTCTTCCCTAATGGCAGAGGCATATTCCAAAAAGATCATTCCTCTTTAGCTTATACACCTGTTCTGTTACAACTGTGAGTGCTACAACAAGGTACTGGTGGGTAAAGTGTATGTGCAATAACCCAACAATAATCAGTGCAATAACCACAATCTCATATTCTATTACTAACCATTATTAACTATTTATATACTTGTTTGTGTAACTGATTTTATAATTATCCTTATTTTGCTTATATATACGTATGTGTACCATAGAGATATTGTGGTATACTATAGTATATAGAATTCTAAATTTAATTTAATAATAGAGATTGCAATAGTGACACCACACACAACAATAATTATCTACTAGTACTACTACTACTACTCCTACTCCTACTAACCTGCTTATAGTCACCGTTCAGGTTATCTGTATTTGATGGTGTGATGCTGTTCTTATTTGTGTTGTATTGCATCTATTCTTGGATTATTCGTGTTGTTTTGGTGCTACACCGCAGCTTGTGCCTTAATTTCCTGCAGAGAACTCCTGAGGGATTATTAAAGTTCTATATATCTATCTAGGATTAGTTTCCCCCCAAAACCTAGCAGTGAAATACAAAATTGATAATCATATCAAATTCCCTAGTGTGATTCTTGTTTTTGAACCACATCTCGCCAGTTGAAGGATTCTTTTGTCTTTCTTTATCTCGCCCTCTTTCACTTTTCCGTTGTTGGTCACACATAGAGATGCTGGCAGGGAGCCAGGGGAGCTGAAGTGCCCCGCAGGCAGGAGCAGGGTTTGAGGACTGGAAGGAACGCCCGATCTAAATGAAAGGAGGGGGGGTGGCGGGGTCAGCAGATGTTAGGTTTCCCTTAAAGCATGTGACTGGTGGTGTGTGAAGTCTGACTGTCACAGTCAACTGCTCCAGCAGATTATTAGCCATAGAGTTGTTCCTTCTCATTGTCACATCCACTTTCTGGCCTGTGCTAACATTTGATCGGTGTCCTCCAAGTGATTCTCTTCATCTTTATGGAGTCTTTTTTTTAAAAGTTATGCCCTATTATAATTAATTTAACAGCAGAGAGTTTTACTGGTCAATTCAGTGTAATAACAGAAAATCTCCTAACGATTTGAATATTCTTTTTTTTTTTTTTTTTACTGTTCATTATCACCATTTAAGGCATGAGCAGTCGTAAAATCAACTCCTGTATGTCTCCTCGCCTGAAGCAGTCCAGAAATCCACTTCACGTTTTCCTTTTAACTCTTGCAAAAACGGTGAAGGTACATAGTGTACTCTCAAAGATGGGGTGGGGTGGTGGGGGAGGGGTGTTAGAGGAGGGGTGTCCTTAAAATTCCAAATAGCTGTATTATATGGGTTTGAGGAAAGCCTCTGGACCTAAATGTGCTGTAGGTACTGATGAAAAAAAAAACAGTCTCTGCAGAGTTATATCAGCAAAATGTTCAAATCAAAATGTTTCTTTCATGAAAACATGCACTTTCGTTGCAAAAAGAAAAGTATTAGAAACCTGTTACTTGCTCGAACAACAACTATTAACAATTCACCTGATTCAAATGTCCAGTTTTGTTTTCCTGAATGTACCTTTTCCAGAATCACACGGGTTCAGCCATCACTTGACGACAGAATCTTCCCCACACAGCCTGGAGTCACTGCAGTCTACAGCGTGAGTCACTGCAGCCTTTCACTAACACTGTATTCGTGCACCTGAACACACTGCACTGAACTCATTTAGTCACTTTATAAAGTTACAGAGACACTTAAAGAAGCATTCAGTACCATTTACTGGAGTTGTTGTTTCCCACAGTTGGTGCAAAAAATCTTAGAAATATGTGTGTATTTGTACCTGTATGACCAGTTGCTGTACTATTGTAGTAACATGTGTAATTAACCACTGACATCCGTTAGCTGTAAATGAGCCATTTTTTTCAAGTAAAAATGTTGAAACACGGTACGATTCTGACCCACACAGTGATGTCACACAATATTTATGCTCCAAAATAAATACAACTCAGTGGAGTTAGGGTTTTTTTTAATTGTCTTTCAGAAATTAATGAACCTTTCACTGATCATTTGTCACAATAATATTCAGGACTCACGGTTTATTTTACCCTCTAAACTATTAACATGTCACTTAGAAGCCACAGTAAGGTTTGGTTACAGGAAAATAAATTCAAATTCTTGTCTGCACATTGTCCTTAGTTGATCCTAGGGGCTTTTCTTTTTCATTTTACGCTGCTACCCAAGGCTTCTCCTAACATTTGACACCTGATTGAAGGGACGTCCTTGCTGAAGAGCTCATTAGACTTTATATGATACTGATGAGTGACATTTTCACCGTTAATGGTACAAATAACGGAGTGTGCTGTAAAAACAAAGGATGATTTTTTTTCCCCTAGTTCATTTCGGGCATTTAGGCTCCAACAAGTGATGGAACGGATGGGATTAAATCCTGCTTTTGGCATGAAACAATCTTTCTGTGCATGTGTTGCACATTATCCCCCTCCTTTTTATATGAAGCCTCTATACAGCCAGTCGCTTCCCTTCCCCCACCTCATTGCCCTGTGTATCCTTAGAATCACTCGCTTGCCTGTAGCGTAGAAGGCTCCACCCCTGGCAACAGCAGCTGGATTATACGCTCCATCCTAGGTCATCTGAGGGAACTGGGCCACACAGAGAAAATGCTGAAAGGCGGAACGACTCAATACTATAGAGCCAGTATAGAATTCTGCCTGTAGCAGCACGTATATATTTAAAACAATATGTGTTTTTTTTCCCACTAAAAGTCAGTCTATAGGTGCCTTGCTTTCGCTTTTGACAGTATTTTAATTAGGAAGATAAAAGACCCCTGGAGAAAAGGTGGTTATTCATGCTTTCTAGTTAGTCTGCATCCTGCTCTCCTCCTGCAGTATCCTCTCATTCCCCAGTGTGTCAGGTCTGCAGCAGCTCCTGCAGTGGTATCAGCCCACAGCTGCAGCAGCTAAAGACCATTCTGCATCACAGCCCAGGCTAAAGATACGTCTTCACTAGAACAGAGTGCTGGCCGGTTTGCATTAAGGGGGTTTATTAATTGAAGAAATTGATTGATAATTGAAGATTTTTTTAAAAACTCAAAGACATTTGAACTCAAGGCAATGGCTTTTTCAAAGGGAATTAAAAAGTCAGGACCAGTTTTAAAAACTGTCCCACTACAAAGCTTGTAGATTCTGTGTCAAGGCTTGGTAACATATCTGTATTTTTACCTGGTGCGTGCTGTCTGCCAGAAGAGAGTGAGAATATGTATAATTTACTTGACCCAGTTCTGCAACATGAGGCGTAGACAACCTTGCACAACATAGTTTGGCAAAGCAGGCTCCAGGAGAGGCCAAAACCCAGTCTTTAGCCAACTGCTGTATGTAACACCCACAGCTAAAGAGTCTCATTTTTAAACACTGTGTAGAACAGGGCCTGAAAAAGGTGGACATCACCTTCCCCTCACAGTTGGAATCTATTAAATTGACTTTAATTAGAAACCTGTGCACAAATTCAGGCCCCTCGTGCACAAGCATTAGGGAAACAGAGGAATTTGGCAGCAAAGATAGTGAAATTAAATTAGAGCCGCTGTGTCATAAACAGAAGATAAGCAGTTTTATTTACCACTTGTTCTATAAACACCTTCTCTAAGACATCTTCAAGTAATTTTAAGCAAAATTACATTCATTACCATAAAACAGCAACAAGACTAACGTGTGTGGGTGTATATGTATGTACAAGTTTATATTTTCTAAACCCAAATAAAATATAAAAACTGGAAGAACATTTTAAAGGAAGAGGTTCTTAGACAAGACAAAGACAGATGTTGTGACCTATAGCGGCACACGTCTTCGTAATTCTACTCAGAATTCTCCTTCTGATGGAAACACTGCTGCTTCTAATTTGTCTTAAACTGTTTGACCTCCCTTCATACAAGTTATTACAATATTATTTTATTTCTTTTTTTAGTAAAGATTTTGCACAAAACAAACTAGTCTTCAAATGATGGTACTGATCGTCCAACTCCATTTAGCTGAACCTTTCTTCCATCACTGATGCTTGTAAGCAAAACTGTTTACCTTAAGGGCATTTCAAAGATCTGAGCTCTCTGAGGTCGTCCTGATTGTGAGGGGAAGAGAAAATCTCACATCAATCCCAACACCTGCTATTTTTCTAACACCTGCTCTTTCTGTTAAATTACTGAGCAAGTGATTTCTCCGAATCACTGATCTTAGATGCAAACAGTGAGTGATGTTTACAGACCAGGAAAGACGCATGTTTACAAACGCTCAAATGGTAAGTAATCTGGTTAAATCTTTTGCAAGGAACTGAAGGAACATGAATCTCATTAAAAGAGCAGCTGAGATACCAGACGTAGTGTGTAGTGCGAGAGATTGATTTTTGTGTAGTTTTCTTTGGTGTTCCTCACATTTTCCAGATGATTGTTTAAAAATTGCATAGATCCCATATATAAAATCCAAAAATTGCTAATAATTCTGAGTCAACATTTCATTAAAAACACTACACAGTTTTTTGACCTTTGACCTGTGAATTGAATGTGTCTGTGTGACCAACACCACAATCATTGTCGTTTAACTGTTTGTGCACACAGGTATCCAGGCATGCTGGTTCTCCTTACACTCCTCATGACATCACAAAGGGACACCTTAATTTGGCGGGCACCCCGCCTGGTCATGCCCACTCCCCGGCGCTCTCTCAGGTATCAGTACCCACGGCTCCCACATATCGCTACCCAAAGGGCTGGGAGTCAGGCGGAGGGGTGAGTTTTTTATTGTTTTTGCTGTCATTCTCTTTTTTACTTTGTTTACGTTTCTGTGTTGTTTGTTTTAACCAGAAATTCAGGTTTGGGTGACTGAATTTAAACTTTAAAAATTGAGATATCTTAAAAATAGATTTCTTTTAATTATGTAAGATCAGAAATAATATTTTATATGTAGCTACTGTAATACATAGTTTTATCTAGAAACAAGATAAAAATGTATTTAAAATTATATTTATAAAAACAAAAGAGCTCTTGTGTAATCTTGTATTGTCTACCCTTAACAAGTATTATAGGTTTTTTTTTAATAATAGTACGCCATGTTCATTACAAAAACCTGCTAAATCCTGAGGAGGAGAAAAACACACAATTCCCAGTAACAGGAAAGCAGAAAATCATTTAAACGTACAGAGAATACTCCGGAAAGAATACCTAATTTCATGTTTGTGGAACTTCTGTGAAAAAGAAGATCAAAAAGCAGTCAAAGAAATTTTAAAAAGTGTGTAACTGGATTCAAAAGTTGTTCCAGGATGGCTGTAATCTGACACATGAGTACTAAACATGCAGTAATTGTATCCTACTGGGAGTACTAACAGGCGTCCTGGCCTGTAGGACATGACAGCTATGGTTTCTGTTTCTGTCACCACGTAAAGACAAACATTCCAGAGTTAAAAGTCTACTGTTTGTTAGGTTGTAAAACAAAACTATACATTGACAAAATGACACAATTATTTTCAGTTATGCATCATAGATTTTTGCCACATCAAGTGTAAAAATTTAGTAAAAACTACGAGGTGTACACAAGTATTAAAAGTTCATTCCCCACTGTTTTCAGCCCCCGTGAATGCCTTGGAGAACATTTCATCAACAGGTTTTTAGGACTAAAAATTTTGAATGTAGTTGCGTCCCTGTAAGCTGTCAAAGGCGTGGCACCTTTGTAAGCCCAGTGCTTCAGCTGAGCAGCTCCAGCAGCCTGTCTGCCTCAGGGGAGTGAGCCACCAGGGTCCCTGCAGCCTGTCCTCCATGTCTGCTTAAAACAAATGTTTTCTACCTCTGATAATAAACTTCTGGTTCTCTACATTTGCCTTAAATTGTTAAAATAAAAGAGTGCACTAACAGGGCCATACAGTAAACGTATGCACCTGCACAAATACTAATTCTTCAAGCAAAAACTAATACTGAAACTAATTTTTTTTTTCCCCCCAAAGGCTTTACCTTTCAACTATAGCCTGCAGCGATTAGCTTTGTCCATTTCTAATATTGACAAAGAAAAACAAACTAAATAAACAGATGCCTGTGCAAAGTGTTTTGTCTGAACCTTAAAAACTCATGTCACAATGAATTACTTATCTGTTGTAGTCAGACCAGAGTTGAATAAAAGAGCTGCGAATTGTTAGTAGAGGTTAGATCAGGATTATATCTGCCTGTGTATACTATCTACATGTCTGCGTGTACTGTAGCTATAACGAGGCAGTAGCAAGTGTGAAAAAATGTTGATCCACAGGTCACCGTTTTTCTGTTATGTTAGAATTACATCATCTTATTACTTGTCATTTTTCTGGAAAATGCCCAACAAATGCGAGCCAGGAAATCAGTGTGTGACCGTTTGTAATAAAGTCAGACACTGCGCTCATTTACAGCCGTGTTGGCTCCATGACTCAGCTCCTCTGAAAGTATGCGACTCCACTTGTGAGGAATCTGGCTGTTCCTCTTTGCTGTAATAGCCTAATGGGCCCACTGCCTCACTCTGTAGCAGCTCCAGTCTCTCACCAGCTGTCTATAAATAGTGTTTGTCATGCAGCACAAACTCAAATGATAGCAACCGTACCAGAAGACCGATCATATCTGTTTAAACACACCTGTGCCTAGTGCCACTGCTTTCAAGGAAATAAAAAGGAATTCCAGATTTTTTCAGTCCAGATGACTGATCATATTTGTAAGGTGTGTAAAGCTTTAATAGGAGATTTTCTTCTGGGATCTTTTAAAGTGAGAATTTGAGTCCTATGTCCAACCAAGATATACATTTGCCTACAATTGACAAGTTGACAAAACTGTTTTCTATGCATCATCCTTATTTTGACAGTCTCCGTACAACCCTGGACAAAATGCTGGCTCCGCCCCTCTGGTGTATTCTCCACAGACGCAGACGATAAATGCACAGCCACAGAGTCGCCCGGTGAGTGTATGTGCTCCCTGTCGTTTTACTTCAGCCTTCCTGCTACACAGAAACTGACCCGATTGCGATTCATGGAAAAAGTGACGGAGAGTTTTATAGAGTTTGATGAGTGGTTCTGTTTTAAGTGGCCACACACAGTCAATCGTTCCAGTCCCATGATGCTCATCACAGTTAAACCATCTGCTTCTGAAACTGTTTGTTTAATGATCTTAATATCAGTGACTAGTAGATGTATGATGATGTTTTCAACAGAAGACATGGTTACTGACAACCTTGTGGGTCAAGCTGTTTGATTAGTGTATCTTAGGTCTATGATAAAACAATTATTATTTTGATATAAATTGATAAAAAATGTCTGGAGAACCACGGAGTCAAACTCGTATGATTAGTATTTGTTAGGATGAAATATTGTCAGTGGTGAAGTTTCCCACAGAAGATGGTAGAAACATTCTTTATCATCTGTGTAAGCCCTGAGTCACTTCATTAGAAGCGATTTAGACCTCTTGACCTCTTTTCTAGCTGTTCCTCTTATTCCAATCCATCTAGAACACATGTCAAACTCGAGGGCCGTGGGCTAAATCTGGCCTGCCAACTCATGTTGTGTATCCCAGTGTTTGACTTATAATAAATCAATCGCAGAAATATTTATTAATGCGTTATAAAGTAGTTACATCTGTACAGTCTTCCAGTTAGAACCTGCCCTTCAAGTGGAACTTTATTGCTAATGTGGCCCCCCGGTGAAAATTTGTTTGACTCCCCTGCTCCAGAACTTATAGTCTGTAAAAGCCTACCTACGACGACTACAGATACAACCATGTACTCAGTCTTGCCTGGTCGTGAGTCCCTGTGTTTCTGTACAGCTTTGTCGCTCGGTGGTTTTGTGCTGTGTTTTCAAGCCTCTTCCTCCATCACTCATCCAATCTCTGTGTCTCTCTTTTGCCCCGCCCCTCTTCGCTTTGCCATCCCTGCTTCATGCCTTGCTGGACCTCTCCTCACCCCCTTCACCAGTTTGCCACGGGGCCTCGACCAACCCACCATCAGGTAATTTGACCCTCTGTTCACACCTTTGGCTTTTTCCCTCTGTTGCATCATCATCATCATCGCCATCATCTAAGCTGTGTTTTAGTGTCAGCCTGCAGTCAGCTGTTAAAGGGACAAAGCCCTTTTTTAACCTGTCTGATATGAGAGCCGTAATGAGTGGGAATAAATGGGCTGATGCTTCATTTAAGAAGGGATGTTTTTGAAGGAGGTTTCACACTACAGCTGTTTGGTCCACTTTAACCAGACCAGAACTTTCCTTGCGTGCATGGCTCAGCTGCACGTATAAAAGCACATTTTAACTCCCGTGTGCAGACCCAAGGAGGTGAACTCTAAAACTTGGGTCTTGGTGCAGTTTGCTTGCTGTGGCAAATGTAAACAAATGACCCAGCAAACCAAATATAGGAGGTGCTGTGCATTTTGGATAGGAAGAGAAAGACAACAGGAATGGGAATTATTATTTTTAATTATTACGATTATTTAAAATAATAAAACATTTATTTTATGGTGTTCTCTGTCTTGACGACTGGCTGTTTTATTTCAATGCCACATCATTGGACTATATTTGAGAATTTTCTCCAGTGCACCAACACTTAGATCTCGGCTGGACACCATATGAATGTTTTTATTCCCTCTGAGAGACTGATAAAAAGAGCAGCCAATGTGGGAAAAAAAGATTAAACTGAGTTTATTAAACAAACATGGCTCTAATCAATGACAAATGTATTAAAGCTCATGAATATTCTGAGTCTGAGCTGAATTTGATATCACACAACCTGCACCACATGTCCTACGACACTGGATAAAAATGCATTTTTTTATTAAAACCTTTTGTGCTTTAAGAAAATGGATTCTCTTTGTCCTGCCTGTCGTGATGGCAGCCAATCAAAGGGTGGTTTGCTCCATGGTTTGGGTTGAGATGCACTGGGAGCCCACTGTGCATTGTTTCTAGAATTGTATAACTATATCAGGTCAACGACCAGTGCTCAAGTCGACAGTCATTTACCTTAGATCAGGTTCAGAGATCTGCTCTTGAGTTGTGTTTAAGAGAAACTGATGAAGAAAAACCCCTTTCATTTTGTGCAGCCACAGAGAATAATTAGTTGAGACATATGGTCTGAATTGTTAGCTATAAGCAAAACTGGAGGGAAATGCTGGCATTTCAACTGAAAATTGATCAATCTAAGTCTGTTGATTATTTTATTATATAAACCCCTGTTTGAAGGTCATGGACCCCAGTGTGGCTGAGGACCAGTCTGAGTGAGCTCTGAAAGTCCTTTTTGTGTGGATGGATGTTTGAAATGCCATGTATTTATGATGGGGTTGTGTCTCTCTGTGCATGGTATATGAAAGTGTCATTGACTTCCTGTTACCATTGTAGATTTTTTTAGTTTGTTATTGTCTTAAAGACTAGACATTTTTATCCTGACTTTCTAGATCCTCCATAAGAGGATCAGAAACATTTGAAAGTGTGTTGGAAAAAATTACTGCATTTGTTGGAAAAACACACACACACACAAGTGTGTGCTCTGGCTGTCACACAGTGGCGCAGGGATCCGTTGTGTCATCACGGAAGTGGAGTTGGAAAGCAGATGAAGCTCAACAGTGGCCTTTTATGCCAACTGAGAAACGGCCATTGTCTGCTCTGAAACACACTCCATGGAAAGCGAAAAGGAGCAGAAAGATCAGAAAACAAATACATTTGGTCCAAGTGTAGGTCTGTCGTCAAACAAGCATCTTCATTATTTAAATATATTCCCATTCATGTGAGTGTCCTGTGATTTAGGTTTCAGACACAGCTGTGTCTGTGGGTTGAAAATGTCAAAGCAAACAGAGATTACAGTCACCACTGCAGCAGATGGTTGCTGGTACGGACAAGTAAGAGTTTAAGGTCGACAGTATTTTATTATCAATATGTTTATATGCAATGTAGAATCGGACAATGTTGTTGTAAACTGCCAGTTTGCTTATTTCTGTCTATGTCTACCCCCATCATTCAGTATATGCTTGTTTAGCATTCAATGTTTTATTTTTAATTTTCTCTAAAACTGGAATATTGAGCTATCTTTTGCAGATTTTTTATTACAAAACACATCGAGTTACATACAGTATATTGCAATTGTGTGCAACTTTGCAAAAGAAATTGAGTTATGATTTTTCAGACAATATGACCAAACCTAAGATGCTGTTGCAAACTAACAACAAGTGGAAAGTGAGAGGTGCCACTAAACCGCAGTACAGTGTATCATCCACTCACACAATATTTGCACTGGATTTTCTGTATTGTAAATACTGCATCCAACCTCCAGCGCCGGGATGTGACTCTTATCAGCTTCATAATATATAAAGATGCCATTAACTGACTCTGGCTGACAGCCCACGTCTGCACATCACTTGCAAAGTCAGTCCTTCAGAAGATTGCCAAGTCCCGACCAGATCAAGGAACTGATGTGAAGTTCAGGCTGCACAGTATGAGGAATATATACAGTAACACCAGCTCACTCACAAATATTGTTTCATAACAAAATGGTAAGAGAAATTGATACCTGCCACACATGAGTCAACCCTGGGCCATGCCGTCTTTTCCGTTGATTTAGAACATTTATCACTGCAAATTTGCAGGTTACCCTCCCCTCCCCTCACCCCTCATGTCTGTTGTCATGTGTGGATACTTGGTGATTTTGTATCAAGGTTTTAGTTTGATCAGTTCAGTCTCCCCATGGCTCTTTTCTCTTTCCTGCTTTCCACAATCAAGGGAGGATTCAGGCCCATTCAGGTAACAATGACCTTGATGTTTAAGTCTCTCAGACCTGCATGGCATGGAGAGGATCATCCTGAGATGATCCCATTCTTCCTGACTATTAACCCTCCACATCCCTCTCATGTGCACCAGGGTGTTTCAGTCTGGATGGCCCTGCACCACAGTTATGCCCATACATCCTGTCTTTTTTTTTTATTCCAAGACAGCACCATTAGGGGGTGTCTTTTTAGTGGTTTGTTCATTTCGTTTTTAATTTCTAGTTTTAACAGCATGTGGGAGTTAAAAGGTGCAGAGCATCTACTGTATATTACTATTTTTAGTTGACTTTCTTTTTATCTAACGTTTGTGTGAAGAAGTGTCTGCAGCCTGTTGGAAACGCACCATCACCACCATACACATTTTCTTGTTGACAGTTTCCAACCTACATTTTCTGTTAACTCCTCCCCTTATCTTTTGTCATGCTACTCACTTTACTCAGACCGTGTTGAAGGAGCAAACAGTTTTCTCCTCATTTCCCACACTTTCACAGATTGCTTAGTTTTATAGTGTCTCACTGCTGGATTACACAGACTGCGGTGAGGTTTCCCCACTCTCAGTTGTGTGTGCTCCACATCCAATCTGGAGTTTCATTTTCCTAATTCAGAGCACAATAAATGTTAAGGTAACCAAAAAATGGCCACTTAAAGACACATTACCACAGCAGCTACTATTCATTTCCTGTATCATGGCTCAGTGATCCTCCAGTAAAGACCATATTGCTGCTAAATGCACACTATAGTGTCACACATTTTTGTTTTATTATTTTGTTTGGTTTTTATTGGTGCAGTTTCAAGGTAGTCAAGCAGGTCTGCACAAAAAACAAGGCTACCTGTGGTCTTTGAGCAGTTCTTAGAGCATGTTTAGTTTCATTCTCTCCTCCTTTCAGTCCTTTCTTATTATTGGCTTTTGTCCCTTTCATTTTTTTTAATTCAGCAGTATCTCTCTCTCGCTCTCTCTCTCTCTCTCGCTCTCTCTCTCTCTCTCAAGGTGATCATTTTACTCGTTTTATTGTGCACAGATTCAAATTCCAACCCTGTACAGAATAATACACATTTTAGTAAATAATCTGGTCACAGTTTTGGCATTTTTCTCTTTACATGTTGCTTTTGTTTATTTTACAGTCAGGCCTGTGTTTTATTACAGACATGCTATTGTCAAAGAGTTGAATGCATTTAGGTTGAAATGTGCAGAAACAAGACAAGATACATTTGGTAATTGATAATTATAATTGTCTGATGTCATGTTTCTATGCTTTCTTCCCATATTGCATTTCAGTTTTTCCAGAGGACTCAGATGCAGACCGCGAGGCCAACACTCCAGACAAACACCCCTCAACTACGGCCCGGCACTCAGACCCCCACAGCAGCCGTCTACCCTCCCAATCAGCCATACGTGATGACAATGGCACCCATGCCATTCCCCTCCCCACAGGCTGCACAGTACTACATCCCACAGGTGAAACTCAGTCTACTGCAGAACAAATTAAAAACTCTCATTCCTACATGCAGTGTGGAACTAAATTGTTAATGACATACATATTTTAGAGGCCTCTCTTTTATGGCTGATGCAGCTTTTTTCAAGTGTGACATGTAATGTCATTTTAAAGAAGGAGACTAATTTATGGCGGATACCTGACAGACTGAAATATGAAGTGGTTTCTCAAACAAGTCTCCTCTGTTCTTTCTGTTTACATTTCATATCATGAAACCTCTTAGAAAAAGTTCTGATGGAGTGTTTTATTACACCTTGTTAAGTAACAGTGGTAATGTTGTTTGTTCAGTGCGTGGAAAAACGTATCCACTTTTACACAGTGTGCTCCAGAGACAACAAGGAACTGCTTTTCATTTTATCTTATTTGCTGGAAAACTTGTGATCGCCATGAAATCTGTACAGCATTTCATTTTATTTTTTAATGATTTAATGAAGTCCCTCATGTGTTAGGAGCCAAAGCAGAGCTATAGAAAAAGACAGTGAAGCAGAAGCAGAGGATGTTTGTGTTGAGGGCAAATGAAAATGTATGTCCATTCTTAGCATTTGCAATGTATATGTCATTAGGTGATAATGGGAAATGATTAATAAATTGGTTAAATGTAAAATGATCAGTTATAGTGTTAGAAACAGCTTATATTTCTTTGTTGATGATGCTGTTCTCAATACTTCTACCCTGCTCTCCATCACTTGTAGTATCGACACAATACACAATACGTGGGACCCCCTCAGCAGTATTCTGTCCAGCCTCCTGGAACTGGTACCTTCTATCCTGGTCCAGGACCAGGGGAGTACCCAAATCCGTACCGTAAGTCCTTGTTTCATCACAGTGGCACGATGGTTAACGTCAACTGGATGCTGAGATTTCTTTACTAAATTGTTGTCTTTCTTCTTGTCTCATACATTCCTTCAGATCCCCTCAGGTACCCCCCACCTGTCTCACCCTCTGTCCCTGCTAACGTTCAAACAGCTGGCCCACCTTACTACCCGGGACAGTCTGTGTACCCCCCCTCACCTCCCATCATAGTGCCTACACCACCACAACCTCCACCAGCCAAGCGTGAGAAGAAAACAGTGAGTACCTTAGTAGTTTCTTTTCTTTTCAGAGAGACGTATCAACAGTTCACTGTTGCACCTGTGAAACATTTCAGGAAAAGTCCCCCAAAATGCAGTTAAAACCTCACATCAACTTTGGGAATTTACCTGAACTTCCAAATAACCAGCTGAAAAGAACAAAGCAAATGTTTGCACAGACAGACTTCATTTAATCCAGCGATCTTGAAGTAGTTTGGATTAGGACGCCTGCGACAATATGGAAAGAGTCAAATTTAGACCGAAAGGTTTGTTCAGTTAAAGATTTTAGTCGTGCCATTGAGTCATTGTTAGCATACAGCTGTTCCACTGTAGCTAGTGGCAGAAAATAAACTCGAAATGAGGCCGGGTTTCTGTCATTTGAAGACCTGGATGCTTTAGTTAGGGCTATTCTTTTTTGTGTCATTGTCCTCCCAGATCCGTATCCGAGACCCCAATCAGGGTGGAAGGGACATCACGGAGGAGATCATGGCAGGGGGCTCAGGGAGCAGGAATTCAACGCCTCCTGTCGGCCCCCCATCCTCCACTCCTACCCCACCACAGGTATGGAATCCTTCACAAGAAAATGAATGTGACTCTCCACATCTCATGCGCTACTCATTTTGACCAGAGTTTGCTGCTTAAATACGACAGGCCCAGTTTCAGAGCTGAGTCATGAGTCATATACAGAGTAGGATTACCATAAAAACTGATAAGATGCACCAACAAGTGTACACATTTATCTGAGAAGGTGAGTCAAGAAGTTCATACTCAGATGTAACTTCAAAAGGTGTCTGAGGCACACACGTATGCACATGTGTGTGTGGTCTGCTTTGAAGAGCTGACTTTGATGGGTTTTTTTTGACTTGCCTGTATAACTTGATTATGAATTTAATGAAATAAAGTAAAGAGTCCCGTGGTTTTTCCGCACACAAAATTTCAACGACTTTATTGTTAATTTCTCACTCGTTCCATCTGCATCTTCTCCAGCTGCAGGGTCCACTCAGGTTCCCATACTTATCAGTTTCTGTACCCTATGGTAAAGAACGCCTCAGAGTAAACATGATACAGTGTCATATACAATTTCATTATACGTCCGTATTTACTCTTTAAGCACACAGGAAACTTTTACTTTAAAGCAAAGAATTCATAATAAATGTGATGAGTCCATGTTTTATGCTGGGTTCTGCATAAGGACTTTTTTCTCCCTGTGATCTATAAATGTTAACCGTGTCTTTCCTCTCTTTTTTCTGTCTTTTTGTGCCCCCTTTAATTTGTTTCCTAATGAATCAAACCCTTTTATTTTTATTCTTTTTCTGAGCCATCTTTGCACCCATCTTCTTCCTCTACCTTTTCCCGACCACAACCCATCCGACCTCTTATTTCTGCTCGATCCTGCATCTGGGCTTGCTTGTCTCTTCTTTATTTGTATGTGCGTTGCCTTCATTTCTGTGTCCGGTTTTCTGTGTGGGCAGTTTTTATGGTCGCACCCTCATTATCCTCACATTTTCTACCTCAAATCGCAGCAGCAGCAGCTGAGAAGCAGTCATAGTCCAGAGCAGCAGCAGTCGCAGCCTCAGCCTCCTCAGCCACAGCAGGCTCATGCTGGAGGCTACACGATGGAACCCACACCCACCCACCAGGTCCCACCACTACAGCACCCAATTTCGGCAGCGGCTTCAGACACCAAACAAGGTCGGACACCGAAATGTTTAACACAACTTCAAACCGCAGCACAAAACATTCCGAGGCTGATAATTCTGTCAATTTATAGTGGATTAAAATCTATCAGTCCACAACTGCTGCAAACATCTGCTGACGCCACAGTAAATAAAAACTGCACACAAAAAGTGCTGAAAGAACTTTGACACAATGGCAACCACTTTTCCCATTGTGTAACTATGTTCTTAAGGCAGCTGTTTTTTATTTTCCTCATCTGTAGTGTTGATCCTGTCCAAAAATTAAAATTTAAACATCCTCAGAATGTCATGCAACTTTTATAGAAACACAGTACAATAAATGTACTGTAAAAAATATCTTTTTTCTCTGGTTTTTTTTTCCCAATTCTAGAAGATCTGCCAAAACTGGAAACCATTGTCCAGAAGTCTTCCTCACCTGAGCCTCTGCAGCCTGAAGTCCCTGTGGAGAGACTGGAGGTCAACACACCAGTCACTGAGGCCATGTTTCCTACGGAGCAGGCGCTTTCCTTCCCTGCCTCTGTCACCAACCCGGGAACCCTTGCACTTACAACGGCCAACACAAGTGAACGTCTCTCTGCCAGGGAGTCCACTTCTGCTTCCTCCTCTTCTCACCTGACCACAGTTGTGGAGCAGAAACTATCTATAGCTGCACCTCAGATTCCCAAAACAGACAAGCCTCTTTCTGTTGCACCAAGAACTCTGGCTGCTCCTTCTGTACCAGCCCTCAAAGCTTTGAACGGCCTTGCAGAGCCTGCGACTGAGTTGAACAGTGCATCTCCAGAGCCTTCTCTTCTACCCTCTGCTGCACTCCAGCCCCAGCCCTCTGCCCCACTTTACAGAGACGTTGCTTCTGAATTGTTGCCTTCAGATGTAAGGCCAGAGGTTCCCATTGCTGCCGTGCTCGCCCCGGTGGCACCCGTGGCTGTGGTGCCAGTCACGTTGACCTCAAGTCCTGCCCCTGCTCTGCCAATTATGCTTCCCCCAGGCCTTCCGCCTCTAGTGCAGGCCACAACAGAGGCTGATGAGCCGGGCAAACCTTTAGACAGTGATGACCTCGTCTCTAGAGCTGGGATTGAGGTTCATTGTGGCATCAATGTCAGCAAAACAGAGTCCCTGCATTCAGCACTCATCAGGAACAGCCCCACTAAAGGTAATGTGGTTTTTCAACAGTGAGTCTTTATTTGGTTTTCTGTGAACAGATCCATAGAGTTAAAACTCATGAAGCAGGTGCTCTGGGTCACAGGTAAAAGTTAGTCATCTCTGAAAATATAGCTGAAGGGTAGAACTGCACATCGTCAGCATATGCTAATATATCTCTACAGATTGTGACAGCACACATGCCGTTCATCCCTTTACGTTTTGATATAACAACGGAAATGTTACAGTTTATGGGGCCAATTATGTCTTGCATTGTGTTGAATTAAATACAGGTTCTTTACATAAGTAAGTTTGGCGAACCAGAGGCTGGAATAGATTATGTTGTAAGACAGATCAGCAGATTTTAAATAGCGTGTTAATGATGTCAGCTATACCTGTCGTACAATAAAAAATAAAAAATCTTCAAAAAAACTTGAAATTTCAAAAACACATTCTCTGTCATCAAAAAATGTATTTTTCATGGAAATTACTGTTAATTTGTTATATATTTATATACGTGTGCAGTTCCATTATCATTTAGAGAAACAATCAATGATAAAAATGATTTTTTTTTAGACTGATGAAGACATTGCCAGTGTTTTATGTTTTCCAGTCGCACATATTCGGTGTCTTCTGTGTCCTACAGTAAATCAGACAGCTTCTGCTATACCAAAGACCTGGAGGAAACCAAATGAAGAGGTTGGTGCTGCAGATGGACCACAGAAAGAGGACAAGGTAAAAGCAATGAGGAGTCCTTATATTTCTCATAGCTCATAGCACAGGGGTTGAAGAAGTGATCAGATCATCTTTAAGGTGAAACAGAGATCCTGTCTGAACTCAAATTCTGAAACTTCTGAAGAGTTGCTGTCTGGTTTTGGTATGTTTCTGGAGTTACAGAGGAGTTTCAGGAAAAAGGACAGACACAATGTAGGCAATAGTTCAAGTGAAAAACTCTTCCACATGTGTGGTTGGGGGGGGCAGACACAGATGACTTTAGGGTGTTGTTATCGTCTGAGAATGGCAGGGAGAAGACATCAGTCATCTTTAATGCTTACCCAACTCACGGTGTATAAAATTAGTGCTTCCTGTTGTTTTGTTCTGGGCTGGAACTGTAGGAACATCCAGGCCTCCAAAAGTGTCATCTGAGCTGCAGCAAAAAGTCAGTTTGTCAGTTCAGTAATAAACTCCATGGATCGTATGTGAAAGATGGACATCATTGGCAGTCAGTAGTAAAATAGCACCTATACTTAAATTCAAACACATACTGTATGTTTATGGCTTAATGTTGGACTTCTGTAGTTTTTAGCAGCCAAGAATACATTTAGAACTTCATTCTTCTCTACATCCAATTAAATAAATCTGGTTCCTTTGAAAGCATCTCCAGTTCTAACCTCTCAGCTGTTCATCATCCTCTTGCATTATGATTTCAATTCTACCGTCTTTAATTTTTTATTCTCGTTTTCCTGCCTTCAACCCTCTCACCACCTCATAACTGATAATTATGGACTGTGTGTTATCAAGTAATTTGTGTTTTCACTTTAAATGCTCCCTCAGTGTGAACCCCTGGCAGTGAGTAAAGAGCTGTTTGGAATCCATCACTTAACCCGCTGATTAGAATGTGTGATAAAAGCTTACCAAGAGATAACAGGGATCTGAAAACTAACTTTCACGTCTTTTCAGGAGGAACCATTGCCAGTGGACCATCCTGCTGGAGATCAGGTCTTGCAATCAACTCCGCTGAGGAACAGCCCGGTGCCTCTGCCATCAGCCTTTACTTCCGGTCCTGCGCCAGCTCTCTCCAGCAGCCTAGAAACCGACAAAAAGTTCACAGCACCAGAGGAAAACGGTGAGACCGAGATGGAGCCCATGAGGAACGGAGCCGGTCACACCTCAGAGACAGAGAGCAGCGACAGTGGAGTCATGCCTGGAGACAAGGAGAACTCCACAGGGATTCCACAAGACATAGAGGGTGAGACAGGCCTCACCAATAAAGCGTTTCATTAAATCAAGATGATTTGTTCTACCACGAAAAACAGTTTTATTTACTGTGAGACTTCCCTTCCTTCCTAAACCCTCCTTGGTGGTCTAGACTTACCTGAGTCCAGTGGGAAGCGTCAGTACGACCGAGACTTCCTGTTGGGCTTCCAGTTCATGCCTGCCTGCACACAGAAACCTGACGGGCTTCCACCAATCAGTGATGTGGTGCTGGACAAGGTAGGTTACACCAAGCCATCCAATCTTTCTGACTGTTAGGTAAAATAATGGAGCTGTGATGAAATGTCAATCATAAACAGATAGATCCAAACAAATTGTTTCCTGTGCAGATGTCAAAGTGCCTCCGAAACTGTCATTCTAAAAGACTTTTCTCACATGCCAAAGACTGCTAACAGTTAATTATCATAAACATGTCTGAATAGTTTTCTGTTAAATATAATGGTACATTTAAAAAAAATATATATAAAGTCTGTCTAAAACTCAGCTATTCACTCAATTCACTTTTACTATGTCAGATCAACTGGGTACCAGTGTCATTCTGTACCGGGTTCACTCAGTGCCAAGCGTCTGACGGCCTTTAAATGTAAATGGTTCCCACAGTCGATTATTTGCCTCCATTTTAATCCTGTGCCTCTTTGGCTACATCCATGAATCTTCTGCAGGCTCTTCCTCTTTCACTCTTGCCTGGCAGCTCCAACTCCAACATCCTTGGTCCACCATCTTCGTCTCCTCTACCTCCAGCTCAGTGTAGTAGATTAGTCATAATATGTTTATTCAGTCCATTCAGTTTTGGTGATTTCCTCATTTTTTATGGTTGGAATGTTTTGTCATTATTGGCTTTTGTTGGACAAAGAGAGCAGTTTGAAGGTTGAACAGACATGGTGATTAATGTATTAAGTCGTGAATTGGTAAAATGCAGTACAGTTTGAATCATTTGCATCTCTAATCTTGAAGTTAAGGCAGCTATTCGTGAAACATTGGTCTTTGTTGTAGGCCTCCAGCAGCAGGTTGTCCTTTTTGGCATAACGTTTGTGTGAAGTGGATCAAAGACACGCCACAGAGAGTTGGGCTCGTTCCTCCCATCTTCACATATGCATGGGTGGAGCATATGGACCACTGAAACACTGTTCTGATTAAAATCGCATTGCCATTATGTCACACTTGGCAGTGCAAAAGTCCTAGGAGCCCTCTCCCCTCCCCCACCTCCCTAGAAAGAACAGCCAGACGGGCAAAGTCTTGGAGTAGACCCTCTCTCTTATATCCTCCATGGGACACAGTCAGGTCTCACTAGAAACAGGAGTTGAGAGGAAGTCAAGGACAGCTGAAAGACAAAGAGCTGGATTTGTTCATCACTCCTCCCCCACAACTGTCTCACCCTCTCCTGCATTCATTCCCTCCCTCCCTCTCTTCTTCTCTCCTCGTCTCCCTCCCTGTTTGACTTCCACATCTGGTTCTGAGTTTTGTTCCTGAAAAGTCTGCAGAACACAGCAGGACCGGTCTTTGAGCAGTAGAGTGAAAAGGGAAAAACAAATCGGTAGTGTTTGTGTGATCTATCATTTACTATTGGTCAAATTTAAAAAGAAAAAAAAAGTTTCATTCTCCCCTTTGCTCATAGTCTCTCTCTCTCTCACACACACACAAACGAAACTTTTGCCCCTTTCTTTTTAAGGAAAACTGCTCCCTCTACTGTTCGATGTTCACTGTGTCTGCCTGTGTGCATGTGAAAATCAAAGCGAAAGATTAATCTCCTAATCTCTTGTGTCCGTCAGATGAACCAAAACAAGTTGCCATCTCGAGTAGTGGATTCGAGGGTAATTTCCAGAGGCCCTGATTTCACACCTGCCTTTGCAGATTTTGGCAGACAGATAACTGGAGGACGAGGCGCTGCAGTGAGTCATGCATTAACAAATATACACATAGTCATTCATGAAAATCTCAATGCATACACACTCAACCTTGACCAGCTTCCATTTCCGTTTCTCTGAACTTAACACTAAAATGTGTGAAAATTGTGATTATTTTGTTAATAACGTATTTTACTTTACTGTAACCTAAGCTCAGTAATAAATGCAGGTCCTAAAGATCCTATTTTTTTCTTTGATTCTATGTGAAGCTTATGAACATTGGAACCCGGCGACCTCCTCCCAGGAAGATCATCATGAACCTGTCAGTGCACGATGAAGTTCAGCTGAAAAAATCAGAGAATGCCTGGAAACCAGGCATGAAGAAGGAGGGGCAGCCTGAGGATCCTGATATGCAGAAAACCCAGGTAGATAGCATATGAAAAAGATAAAAAAGCAATTTGAAATTATATTATTTTTCATAGTTTTTATTTATAATTATAATATTGTTGTTGTTGTGTTCATTAATAAACCAAAGCAGCTGTTTGGTCAGGGGTTGATTTACATTTGTCATCGTTACTCTCAGGACCTTTTCAGAAAAGTCCGCAGCATCCTGAACAAATTGACACCTCAGAAGTTCAATCAGCTGATGACACAGGTGACAGAACTGACCATCGACACAGAAGAAAGGCTGAAAGGTGTCATCGACCTGGTCTTTGAGAAAGCCATCGATGAGCCCAGCTTCTCTGTGGCCTACGGAAACATGTGTCGCTGCCTGGCCACTGTAAGTCACTCCCTGAGACTGAGCTTGTAAAAATATTACATTTTTATAGAAATACTTCTATTTTACCCCAGAGCTGTTGGCAGGAAGACCTGTAATATATCACAGGCTTTACAGCTGTAAACTATGAACAGATGCAAAAAGTGATCATCTTAAAACATTATTTAGTAAAAAAAAAAAATCCTCTTATACACTTTATTGATGGGCTCAATATGCATCCAAATTTGCAGTTAACAACCAGAACATAAAAGCCCTTAGTTTATACGTACCTTAGTTTCAATGCATTGATATAATTTATGCTGAAGCTTTTGCTGCATTTCACTTTAATAAAATAGAAAAACAAATGTCTTTTAATGCACAGGTTCTGTTCTAATCACCTGGTAACAAAAAATGCAGTGTTGGCAAAAGTCTAGAAATAACTTTAGGGGGTTGCAGTTAAGTGTAGAAAAACTGTTATATATTGTTGTGTTTGAGGTATGTGTCCATTCTTTACGTGTAAAAAAACCTAAACAATAACATTAGAGAGAGGGAGAGAGAGAGGAAAAGCCAACACAATGTGATGACAATGTGACAAATTTGCAGCTCATAGAAACGGTACTGACATCAAAATGTACATTAGGATTCACCAAGATAGATGACAAGGAGCCAACCTTTTTGTGCGAAGTTTAGAAGCCTCGTCCATTGAAGTCCATCCTTGAAGTACAGAAAACCCCTGTGATATTTTGTAATGTACAATATAAAGTTGTTATAAATTTGTTTTTAATGTTAATTTTGTCATTTTTATCTCAAATTTCAGCTCAGAGTGCCCACGACGGACAAACCCGCAATCACAGTAAACTTTCGCAAACTGCTCCCGAACCGCCGTCAGAAAGAGTTTGAGAAAGACAAGGTGGACGACGTGGTGTTTGAGAGGAAACAGAAGGAGCTCGACTCTGCTGCCACGGTACCTGAGAAACCAAATGTCATTAAAAAAAGAAGAGAAACATTTCTCCAAGCCCTTGTTAAGATGTTTATGTGTATTCCACCAGACGACAGAGCGCGAGCGTCTTCAGGAAGAGCTAGAGGAAGCCAAGGACAAAGCCAGGCGCCGTTCCATCGGCAACATCAAGTTCATCGGGGAACTCTTCAAGCTCAAGATGTTGACAGAGGCGATCATGCACGACTGTGTGGTCAAGCTGCTGAAGAACCACGACGAGGAGTCTTTGGAGTGTCTGTGCCGGCTGCTCACCACCATTGGAAAGGACCTGGATTTTGAGAAGGCCAAGGTGAGACTGAGAGAGTGGGTCTGGGACCACCAGCAGGACACACTCAGATAATTCCAGGGTCAGAGAAGGTCATCCCCAGAGCATGTTGTGCTCTGTATGTCTTCCAGCTGTTCTGTTTTTCTATTCACTCTGCAAAAGAAAACACACTCACCAGTTACCACACCAAAGCCTCATCCCTTAATTTATTACCGTTTTATTCTTGATTTGTCTGTTAATTAAACAGAAGCAAATGTGGACAGGACATCTGCCTGTGTTTTATTTCCGTCCTATTATCTGTGGTAATAAACTGCATATGGAAAGTTTATTGTCAGACAATTACAGCAAATGCCATCTGTTAATTGTCTTTTTTTATTCTGCCAGATCCAAAATGTTTCAGTTTAATCGCAGCTCAAGACAGAACATCTTTACAGTTAGTGTTTAGTTTTGCACTTTAATGTTTTGTCCTGTCTTGTCTACGCATGGGACAGTGAGAAACGGAATTCCGATTCCTTTGTATGTCTAGTACAAGGAATTGACAATAAAGCTGACTTTGACTTTGAGTTCTAAGTAATTACAGCAACAGTTGTGCAACTTCAGGTGAGATTATCTCTGAGTAGTTTTGTTTGTATCGTTACTTCAACACATGCTTTTGTACAGTAAGTTAGATATACACATATAAAAGTTAAAATATTTTGTTGTAAACCTGTGTGCAGACTTAAAAAGAAAGTCAAAAACGTGCCTGCTGACTAATACATATGAATCAAAACGTTTGCATCTATAATGAACATTTCTCTCTCTCTAGCCCCGAATGGATCAGTATTTCAACCAAATGGAAAAAATTGTCAAAGAGAGGAAGACGTCATCTCGGATACGATTTATGCTACAGGATGTAATAGACCTGAGATTGGTGAGTGTGTGGCCAACACATTTCTTTATGTCAAAAGTTTGTAGTAAACTTTTCTCCAAAACCATTGTTTAAATGCTGTTCTAAATCATGTGGTTGTCATCTTTGTTTCAGCACAACTGGGTGTCCAGAAGAGGTGACCAGGGCCCAAAAACAATCGAGCAGATCCACAAGGAGGCAAAAATCGAAGAGCAGGAAGAGCAGAGAAAAGTGCACCAGCAGTTGCTCTCCAAGGACAGCAAGAGACGGCCAGGTCAGGCCGGCATTCCAAATCCTCTTTAAAGCTTAGATCCACATCCATAGTGTAGGTCTCCGGATTGTTGCAGGCAAACGCACAGACTTCCTGTTCCCGTATGCTGCAGAGATGCTATTGTGCCCGACAGCAGACAGGAAGCCCCGTCCCCTCCCCACGTGTTAGCCAACCTAAAACAGTTGGTTTACTTCCTAGTAATGCAACCAAACCGTTCAACATGGGAACCTTTACTACTTATGTTTGGTGTTTGTAATGACCAACAAAATTCAGTTGTTGTTTTTTTTTTTCTCAACATAAAATTCCAATATTGTTTTGGTAGATCCAAGAGAACAGCGCATTCCGAGAGAGGAGACCTGGAGCACTGTGCCAACCACAAAGAACAGCAGGACCATCGACCCGAACAAGATCCTAAAGATCTCCAAGGTGAGAAATTAAAAAAGAGAAAATTTCTCAAAAAATCAGAAATTCAAATTCATCCCTTTATTCAGATGTGCTCCAAAGCTTAGTAGGTTTAGTACTTATGGGTTGTTGGGTTTTTTTTTGTGAGATTCACGAGAACTAAATCTGTAGACAAACTACTTCATAAATATGTAAACTACTCTGTAGTCTTTGTCGTCCAGAGGACTGCTTACACAAACCAGACCTGCTCTACATTACTGTGATTTACATGCTTAATAGTACAAAGGCTCTGTGAGGTTCTGCAGAGGGAGCTGCTGCTTTTTCACAGCTCCACCTGCTGGTGTCAATGTTAAATGTTCCAGTGTGGGCAGAACAGAAGAGACAACTCACTATCTGACCCAGTCCTTTAAAAAAACAAAAAGATCTATATGGTTGAAGTAATGAGATACTTGTTCTGAACAACTTTAGAAATCTGGAGCATTGGTGTATTTTTTACACAGAAGTTAATTTCTCCCTTCATTGGAGCTTAAAGAAGTGGTTTCCTTTCTCTTTGCAGCCTCAGATGGATGAGAAGATCCAATTGGGCCCGAGGGCTCAGGTCACATGGGTTAAGGGCAGCAGTGGAGGAGCCAAGGCCAGCGAGTCAGGTAAGTGTCTCCATGAGACAAGCTGGAGATACAGCCCAGAATGAAGCAAACAGTAAAAAATTCTATCAAACAACCAAACATCTGTCTGTAGAAATTGCGCAGATCTTTAATGTGTAATATTTAGATTCAATTGACGTTTCAACCCAATTAACTCATGTTTTTTGCCATATATATGTATATGTGTGAGTGTAGATATTTTATATATTATTATTTCACAGTTCACTACCATCTTTGGTCAAAACAATCATTTTCTTTTGTTTTTATTAGTTTTTTCTGTTATTCACACATACAATATCATATTGTCATCCTGACTCTATTTTGGAACAATTGTCCTTCTATTGTCTCTTTTTGTCTCTGTAGCAGACTTGTCGCGCACAGCCGGCCTGAATCGGTACTCTGCTCTACAGTCCACGCCTCTGCCTCCTCCTTCCACCACACCTCCACAGAACACGGACTTTGACTCCAGGAGAAGTTTAGGAAGGTAATAGGCAACACAGAAATGTTTTACCACACATGCCATCATTTTAAAATTATTTTGCTGACTTCTTGCTGACGTCTTTGCACTTGGCAGCCGTAACAGTACAGGCAGGGAGCGGAATGACAAGCAGCTGACTTCTGCTCTGCCAGCTTCACGGCCCAGCCCATTCATCAGGGGCGGCAGTTCGAAGGAGCTGATAGAGACTCAACCTCAAGAAGAGGTGCGAAAAGACCGGGAGCGGGAGGTAGTGGAGCCTTGGAGGCCGAGTGTCACTGAAGACAAGACAGAGCCAGAACGGAACAGAGTCCGAGAGTCTGGTGAGTCAACACCTCATCTATATAAAAATCTGTTTACAACTCTAAAAGTAAAAAAATAAATAGATGTAGAATTTCTTTATGAGCCAGGTGGTGAAAGGGTGGTTAGTTCTTTTGCATGATCTGTCTCCAGATTCAGGTTTCTGTCACAGTCCAAAAACATACAGATTGTTGATTATCCTAATAGTTCACTTGAAATTGACCATTCAGTAGGTGTCAATGCGTGGCCATGTATCTATACTTTCTATGTGGCCCCAACTAAAACAGGACAGTACCTCTCTGGGCCCAAGCTCCTTATTCATACCCAGTGTTTCCCAACCTTTTTTGAGCCACGGCACATATACTATACATTATCATCAGGAAAAAGCCTACAGCACATCACCAAACACAAATCTCACAAAAAGTATTTTTAATGAAATATAATAATCTAATTTAAATGACCTCAAAACTGACTATAATCTAGGCCTGAGCAGTGGAAGACAGTGCTGATATCCTGGCAGGAATTGAAGAAAGACACTCAAAGATCTTCTTCAACATTGCTTTGATTATCTTTTTTTGATTATCTTTTTTTTTAGATTTCATAGACATCTGCTGCCACCTAGCAGAAGAGTATTTAATTGTTCTGCCTTTCATGGTTTGATGAGCAAAGAAAAAGGATATGCAATAAATAAATATTAGTTTTCAGCCCAACTGAGTGAAATAATGATCTCTCACACTAATGTGCCACGACGTAGTGGTTGGGAATCACTGTTTTTTTATTCACAGTGAAACCTGAGCCTGTGGTCCAGACACTGGACAGACCTGCCCTGTCAGACGAGGAGATCGAGAGGAAGTCCAAGTCCATCATCGACGAGTTCCTGCACATAAATGATTACAAGGTGCTCTGATGCAATTTATGAGGAAAATAAGACTGAGATTAGAGACTAAATAAGATCATTCGATTGATGTCTTTTCATTCAGTAAAAGTTTTTTACATTAAACTTTTTTTTTATCGCATAATTTAATCATGACTATGATAAATGCATCATAGTCATGATTAAAGGATGTTATAAATCCATCCACACTACTGCCTCCATAGTACATAATTCCTTTTATCAATAAAAAGTATCGGCATTAGTGTTGGTACAGGTTTGGTATCGATTGATTTTATATTTACTAAGTTACCAGCAACATTTTTAAAGTATTTATTTATATTTTATTTCCGGATAAAAGGCTGTTCACCATCTGTGACAGTAAAAACTTATGTTTATCTGTGGCCACTACAGGAAGCCGTCCAGTGTGTGGATGAACTCGATCTGGGTTCTCAGCTGCACATCTTTGTACGCGTCGGTGTGGAGTCGACTTTGGAGCGCAGTCAGATCACACGGGACCACATGGGTCAGCTCCTCTTCCAGCTGGTGCAGAAAGGAATTCTGCCCAAACCCCAGTTTTACAAAGGGTCAGTCCACCTACTGTGTGATTTAAGGAACTAAATGTTACAAGGACTTTAAAAAGGTTTTACAAGGCCATAGGATTAAGAGGTGTTAAGCTTCGGTTTTAAAATTGGTGATAAAACAAATTGTTGATCACGAAAGTTTTACCGCTGTGAAGGTTCATATAGATAGATTACAATTGATTAATCATGATTATAAGTAATCTAATTATTTAAGATTCATAATAATTAATTGTGATCTAACTAATGACTAAGCATGACTAAGAGAGATTGATGACTTTTAAGTTCTGAAACAAAGACAAATGACTGCAGATAGAAGTGAGTATTAAAAATGAATGGGATGTATTTTATTTAAAAATGCATGGATTTTTAAGCTGTTCTAGTTATTCTCCACTCCCATCTCCATGTTTGTGCTCAGGTTTGCTGATACGCTGGAGCAGGCGGATGACATGGCCATCGACATTCCTCACATCTGGCTTTACCTGTCAGAGCTGCTCAGCCCTGTGCTGAAGGAAGGAGGCTTCTCTATGAGAGAGCTCTTTAGGTACCAATCAAGTCTGTAACTCGATTGTCGACAATGTATCTACTGTAGCACAACAATCCAACATCTCTGTCTTATTTTGTCTTTTATTCCAGTGAACTAAGCAAACCTTTGCTTCCTGTGGGAAGAGCTGGGATTTTAATTTCTGAAATACTGCACATACTATGCAAACATATGGTAAGCAGCATCAATGAAAATACCTGTCTCTCCAAGTGGCACCAGTATGACCATTATTAAACTGTCAGCGGCACAGGCCTACACTGTTCAGTAGTGTGATGAGAGCAGACTATAAAAAAGATGTAATTAATACAATGAAACTACAATGGAATTCCACTACTAATGGCACTAATTATTTTTAAAACCACACATTACCTGTATGAGTAACAGCTAAATGACTCACCAAATGGAATCTGACTTCCCCATGTACCACTAGAGAGAGCCCAAGTACTACCACTGGCACTTGTACCAGTAGTTTGGGAAACATTGTTTCATGTTCATTCATTCTGTTTGTGTTGCGCTGTGTTGTCTGTGCAGAGCCAAAGGACTGTGACTTCATTGTGGAGAGAATCTGGTCTCAGTTGGAGCGACTTTCTGTCAGAGGAGGAAGACTTCCAGACCTTCATCTCACAACAGGTCAGTAGCAAAGCTTTTCTTTCAAGTCAACTCACTGTGTACCTGTGTGGACTGCCAATGATATAATGCCATTGTCTCTCAAACAGAAACTCCAGTTCCTTTTGTCGGACAGCTCCAGCTCTGAGACGCTGCTGTCTAAGAGGCTGTTGTCTCCTGAGGAGCTGAGACGTCAGCTGGAGAGACTCCTCCTAGAGGAGATGGCCACGGACGAGGAGATCTTTGACTGGGTCGAGGTGTGTTCACCACCAGTAACCTGCTTTAATAAAATAGATGGACAACATATTAAAAAGATTGGTGTTTTTGTCTACTGTGCTGTTTTTCAGGCAAATCTGGATGAATCTCAGATGAGCTCGTCTCCCTTCCTGAGGGCATTGATGACAGCTGTGTGTAAGGCAGCAGTAAAGGGTGAGCTGCTCAGATCCAACCCTCTCCAGTTCAGCTGAACTCACTTCACAGATTGCAGCATTTACTTTACATTTGGCCAAACTTTGAGCCGAGCGGAGCGACGTGTATTCACTGCGCCTCCTATTTCCTCCACAGACGATAACACCAACTGTCGAGTGGAACCAACCATCATTCGGAGAAGGTTGCCTGTATTACTCAAGTACCTTAACTCAGACACTGAGCGACAGCTGCAAGCACTTTATGCACTTCAGGCACTGATTGTTGCCCTGGATCAGCCACCGAGTAAGTTCAGCTTCAGTTCCGACTTCCTGTCAAATGATGCGTTCTGTTTCCTTTAGATGTGGCCAAGACTAAAAGTCTAAATAATATCTTAACCACCGTCTCCAGCAACAACACTGTTAACAAAGCAATCTTATCACAGTCGATTTATCTGATCTGAAGCAGTTGCTAGAAACAAAGAGATAATGAACATATGGTTGGTTGATTCCAATATTGACCAGAATAATCATGATTATCATTTTTTCATAATGGAGCGGCCCTAGTACACCGTCAAGTGACTATAGTTTGACAACCACAGCTTGTATGTTCTACTCCTATTTATAATTTCCTGCACAAACCACTTTTAAAAGTCTATCGTATTTTTTCTCTTCTATCTGTGTCTGTGTGCCATCAGATCTACTCCGGATGTTCTTTGACTGTCTGTATGATGAGGACGTCATCTCTGAGGATGCCTTCTACAAGTGGGAGACAAGCAAAGACCCCGCGGAGCAGCAGGGTAAGGGCGTGGCCCTCAAGTCTGTTACGGCCTTCTTCACTTGGCTGCGGGAGGCGGAGGAGGAGTCGGAGGATAATTGACGAGGGGAGACACGCGTGGACATGACGTAGTAGAGCTACATCCTTACAGCAGAACGAACGTTCAAAATGGGCGCGTGGGCAGGACGACCTGTTTACGGCTGGAATTTTTTTTCTGCGGTACGGTTCTGAAACATGTCGCCATTTTGATTTTGAATTCCAACGGCAGAAGCACTAAATACCTGTATTATACATAGAAAATATTTTTGTTTTAAAATTTTAACTTACTTTTCTTTTGTTACTTTATAAGAAGAGACTTAAAAGACACATAGGTTCCGGACTCTTTAATTTATTATTTTTTTAAGAACTGCAAATATGAAAGTTATTTAACATTTGCAGATGCTCACACCAATTGAACAGAAATAACAGTATAATAATTATAATAACAAAATAATAATTGTGAAATGACTAGCCTCCCTGGACTCCACACTGTTTGGTTTAAAACAGGGTAAAACAAATTTATTTTGGGGATGAAGGGGAAGCAGAGATGACCTGAGATGAACTGTCGACGTTCATGTTCACATATGACATTTGAGGTCAAAGGTTATGGCCTAATACCCTGAGCCGTGACTGGCCCTGCGCCGATATGTACTGTACATAAACCTCATGAGAGGTCCACGTATGCATTGGTAAGTGGTGCAAGTTGTTCCACAGAATTGTGGAAACAAACGCAGATGAACAAAACACACATTCAATTGTAACGAGCAAAAATGCAACTTTAAAAGCAAATGGCCAGGTTCACTGAACAAGATTATGCTTGTTGTACTTCAGACCTACAGAGCAGAATCAGTGCTTGTAAATACATTAAAGACAAAAAAGGTATTTAAAAGTCCTGTGTTCGGGTGTGTTTGGGGTCCTTGTATGTGGATGACTGGTGAAATGTTCTTTTTATATTCTTTATACTGTATTCTTTTAAGGTTTTAGCACATAGCACATGCTTATTTTATTTTTTTATTTGTCCTCCTGACAGCATTAGGAAGACACTATCACAGATGTCCATCTGTCTCAGTGTATGTGTTTCAGATGACAATTCACCATCTCCTGAGAAGTACCTGGATGTGACCATGAGGGGCAGCAGAGAAGAACAGCATACAGTACTGGTTCATGATCTATTTTATTACTTTCACCAGATCAGTCACCAAAGTCTTGCAGCCTTGTTGTTGGAAGTTATTTGATTGGCATGATATAGATTAAATGTTATTCACTTAAGATTTTCAAGATGTGATTCCCAATAATAGTGATTATTTTATTTTATATGTTGAATGATTTAGGCTTTTTCTTACAGGACACTTGACACAAGCTATATTCATTTTCTGCTGATTTGTTTTTACTATATTACACTTAAAATGTTTTTATATTTTATTGTACCAAACAGGTTTTTTTCCATGGGATCAAAAGGACAAAGGGTCGATAGAACTCCCACAGCTGCTGGGACAAGTTTAACAAAGGATCTTTGATCAGTGCTGATGACAGTTTGTCAATGAGTTAATGGGATTATCACATGCTCTCGAGAACAAAGCTCAAATGATCAGATTGAAGTGACACATGATTATTTTTAAGGCTTTATTGACTAAGAAATCCAACTCCAATTCTGATTTTTAAATCACTTCAGTTAGTTTCATAGGTCTACAAACCAATTGTTCATCAAGCTGTAGATATACAAATCTTCAGTTCTTGAGGTATTGCAAAATGTATACATATAAAATGTATATATATGCAAGCCATTTCAGAGGGCAGCATCACATGTAGTTGGAATTTTAAATCTTTATTTTATTTGTACTAACTGACTAAGTCAGTATTACAAATCTCATTCGTGTCCCCTGTGCTCTTTGAAAAAAAAAATTATTAAAAAAAATATTATTTGAATGAACTGATACACTGAGACTAACACGTCAACACGTTATTATATTTCATATGTATATTTTAATTTGTGATAATACGTTAAGATTGTTTTTTAACAAGATGTATATGTAATGGCCACGGCCCACATTGGGGTGGGATTCGAACGACTGTACCCAATGTTTGTCCAATTGTAATGTTCGACTCTGAACTGGGACTGGTTCTGCTGACATTTTTGAACTGTTTTCTGTTCTGTTGTCATGTTACCGATAAATATTAGGTCAGTAACGTTGTACTGGTTTAGTTGTCTGACTTTTTAGTAGTACGAACAGTAGCAGCTGTATCAGTGTTCGGGATCTGGCTACTTTTTACACGTTTTATTTTGGTTAAACATATGATTTGAATCGAGACGCCATGACAGTACGTGAGTATGACGCTACCACGTGACCAACGGTCGTAATGGGCGTGGCTCCTAAACAGAAATCTAAATAAAGGATCGTGCAGAAATTTACACCAAACTATTTCACTTTTATCGACAGGTTTAAGGTAAGTTTATTTAACACTGCAGCCATCTGTTGGCAAAATCCGAAAATGCAAGGTTTACTGATGAATAAATCTCTAAGCCAGTGCTTATTTTACTCCGCACAGCTGAAATGATTTTTTGTGCCTTGTGCGACGCCATCACTGTGTTTTTAAAACGACGGACAAAATGGCGAAATCGCCAAGCATTACGGTCGCTTTATCTTTCGACTCGGATGCAATTGTTAGAAATTCTCGTGTGCACTCTCAGGCAGTGGGAGTCCCGCTGAGGTGCACGGTGCTCAAGGTTGTCAGGGTTTTTATGACACATAAGCAGCTTCAACTCCAGTTTTAGAGTAATGGGCCGCAATGAATGAAAATTATGTCCATTGGGGTTTCATCTTTGTTGAGCTCGTACTATCAAGACCACATAGCGATCCCGTTTGTTCACTTTGTCCTCAGTTTCGTTTTCTTGTCTCATCCCAGACTTTGTCTCCAGTGCGATGCCGATACGCCGAGCAGCAGCGACTCCTGCCCAGGAGAAGGTTCCTCCGGCTGCTGAAGAGAAAGGTGAGGATGGGGGTCGTCCATTACCTGAGCTCCAGACCCCTAAACTTACCGTCATCTTTCCCCTCATCACGACTTCCTGCGGCTTCGTGCTGACTCCACGGATTCTGTATATGAACGAAGACAGTTTTTTTTAAATATAAAATAATTTATTAAAGTATTGGTTTTTAAAATCTACAAGTACTCCAACTAGTTGCTAATCGCTAAGTTGTATGATGCCCCAGTACTACATCTGCTACATATCAAACATTTTAAAAATACTTATAATTTTTAAGTTTTTTTATATGAGCCCAAAATAAACAAAAATACTTATTCTCGTCTTAGTACAGTACAATATAGGGTACATTATTATATTAGTATTTTCATGATGAAGTAAGTGAAGTTGATAAGGCCAATACCTCACCTCTAGATGTTGCTCAATCCAATACGTGTTATTAAAAATAAGTTAAACAGTGGGCAGCTTTAAGCACCCAGTGCAGCAGTGTATGGGGACAGTGCCATGCTCAGAGCACCTCAGTGGTAACTTGGCAGCTGGTGGACTTGAACCTGAAGCCTTCCGGACCTAATTCCGCTTTCTTCACCACTAAGCCACCACTGCTGACATTAAAATAATGCTTCAGTAAAACTTTGGTTCAAGTTGAATTAATAATTTAAATAGCTCTGCACTATTTTACTATAAAACTTACTTGATTGATAGAATAACTGTGTTCCTCTGGGCTCTGAGTGTTTTTATGCAAATGGTAGAGAAAAGTATAGTTTACTCTGAAGTACTACCTTTTGTAATATGAATAAGATTTGAAGCTGGATATTTCCCTGTTTTCATTTGTTGCCCCAGAGCCTGAACCTTCCTCAGAGGAGTCGCCCTCTGCTGAGGAGGAACAAGCAGCACCATCCACCACAAACGATGTGAAAAAAGGAGATACGGAGCCTGCCGAGAACGGAGACACGGCTAACGAAGAAGCAGACAAGGAAGTCAAAGGGACGGGGAAGAAAGAGTGAGTGTCATGAAAGTGTGCAAACCTCCAAACTGCGATATTTCACTTTGATAGCACTTTTATCTGGTTATATTATCCTTACCTCTGCTGGAACACAGCCGACTGCTCCAGCTTTGGTTGCATGGTTGCATTTCCAAATGATGTGACCTGTTATGGCCACATTTACTCCCATACCACATAGTTGTCAGGAGGAGTCAGGAAGGAAAAGATGTTAGATCAAAATGCTGCCTGGTCACTCAAAGACTTGTGTTGTCTACAGTGCTCTAAAATTACTTCAGAATCTTTTCTTTTTTTTCTCATTTTGATTCAACAAATTATCTCAAATTTTATCGCAATCCAGCCAAACTGGATTGCTTTTCTTTACTGTCATAGCTGAGTTTTGGTTGTTTCTCCCAGCCCAGATTCAAAACACAGATAGACGTATGATTGACCATGACTTAGAGTCCGATGTTCAATGTTCATCAAACTTCATTTTGTCTTTCCCGTCGGTGACAAATGGACAAAGTGACAAATGCAAGGACTGCGCAGCTGGACATTGTGCAACACACTGCTATGTTCTCCTACTAAGGTGAGGATGTGATAAAGATAAGGGTGAGGACAATCACAGTGAAATATCGCTTCCAAACAGCTGAGTGCCTTCACTGAAGATCTGTCTCGTTCCTTTTTGGCAACAGGTTAAAAGATGGGTACAAGTACGAGAGGTCCAAAGCCAAGAAAGTCAAAAGGAAGATCCCCGCGTGGGCCAGCATCTCTGGCAACAAAAAACTTCCTGTTACCAACTTTGCAGGCACTCAGCACAGAATGGATAACATTCTCATTGAAGCTGTTGGGGTGTGTACTAGCTTTGTGACCCTTTGTCTTTGTTGAATGATATGTGTGTAATGTGGTTTTCTTCTTCTAACTCCTGGTGTACATTTCCTCCAGTCTTGTAAAGATAGATCTGGGGCTTCGTACCAATCAGTCATGAAATATATTCTGAAAAAATACCCAGACATGGAGTTGGAAAAGAAAAAGTTCCTCATCAAGAAAGCAATGAAGAAACATCTTGAGAAGGGGACCATCAAACAGGTAATCACCATTGTTTTTATTATTATTTTAAGACCTCTTTATTCATAAGAATTGTTCAAAATATGATGGGACAACTACAGTTTTTTTAAGAACCAGTCTTTGTTCTCCTGCACAGCTCAAGGGTAAAGGTCTCACAGGGTCTTTTACCATCGGGAAGCAGCCAACTGCAGCTAAGGTATGTGATATAATTAAGAAGGTCATTCAGATCTGAGTATGTAGGGGGATCTAAGGGCTGAATGAAGGCAAAGACTTAAAGGTAAATATATGTTATCTATATTACTGGTGATGAAATGATGCAGTGTTGTTTTTTGTAATTGAACAATGTTTCAGAAATC